ACCTAATGGTGCCGTCACGGTTCCACAAATGAAACACTCGCCCACGACAGCGTTTGTGAAGCAATTGCCAAAACTGGAAATCCTGCTGTCATGCAGTGGGCCCACTTTGAAAAAGACTTTTCTTGGGATGAGGAGGCATGTGGAGCGGCTGCTGAAGGTGGACATCTTGCACTACTGAAATTTCTTCATGAAAAGGGTTGTCGATGGGATGCGATGACATGTGCACGAGCTGCCCGGGGTGGTCATTTGGAATGCCTCAAGTATGCCCATGATAAAGCCCGTGGGACCCATGCACGAACTTGTCAAAATGCTGCAAAATGTGGGAACATTGAAATTCTTAGGTATGCTCATGAGAAGGGTTGTCCATGGGATGAACAAACATGCTCTGATGCTGCTGGTGGTGGGTATTTGGATGTCCTAAAATATGCTCATGAGAATGGTTTTCCATGGGATAGAGATACATGCTATCGTGCTGCTGATTGTGGGCACTTGGATGTACTAAAATATGCTCATGAGCATGGTTGTCCATGGGATGCACACACGTGCGCATGTGCTGCTGCGTGTGAATTTGTGGAATGCTTGAAGTATGCCCATGAAAATGGATGCCCTTGGGATGAACTGACATGCAACTATGCAGCTAGATTTGGTCACTTGGATGTGCTCAAGTATGCCCATGAAAATGGTTGCCCTTGGGATTCATGGACGTGTACCAATGCTGCACAATGTGGGAGTATCGACATTCTTGTGTATGCTCATGACAATGGCCGCCCTTGGGATTGTTTCACGTGTTCTTACGCTGCTGCTGGGGGGAATTGGATGTCCTAAAATATGCTCACGAGAATGGTTGTCCATGGGACGAAGACACATGTTCTGGTGCTGCTCGCAATGGGCTTTTGGATGTTGTAAAATATGCTCATGAGAATGGTTGTGAGAAAGATTATAAACACAAATTTGGTACCCCCTAATGCGGGGAGCTCTTTTTCAATAATCCCACATGGTAGCATGCGAAATTTCGATCCGCAAGTGGGTTCGAACCACGAAGAACACACATACACTTCTTCTGCACATTATTGTGGCTATCGCCACTTCCCGTAAAAGAGTTTGATGCCTCCTCTTACCCAACACTACACACTTTCAAAGGAACAATCGCACATTCTACGCACTTCTTCGCCCTAACGATTGGCGGGGATGTGAGAAAGATTATAAACACAAATTTGGTACCCCTAATGCGGGGAGCTCTTTTTCAATAATCCCACAAATGGTTGTCCATGGGATGGACAAACATGCTCTGGTGCTGCTGCTGGTGGGCATTTGGATCTCCTAAAATATGCTCATGAGAATCATTGTCCATGGGATGAACGAACATGCGCACGTGCTGCTGACTGTGGATTTGTTGAATGCTTGAAGTATGCCCATAAAAATGAATGCCCTTGGGATTCATCGACGTGCTCCGATGCTGCTGGAGGTGGTCAGCTGGATGTGCTCAAGTATGCCCATGAAAATGGCTGTCCTTGGAACGACTCAGTTGCTTGGGCCCTCGGGCTCGATTCGTACCAGCGTTGACAAAGGTCCTCCGGACCAGATAGGTAGTCTGCCTAAAACTAGTACTTTTTATATATATGGCTGTCCTTGGAATGTGGAAACTTGTAACAAAGCTGTTCAGCATGGTCACCTTGATTGTCTGCAGTATGCCCGTGAAAACGGATGTCCCTGGGACTGCTCAACATGGAAACTAGCCAAAAGTCGCCAAATTCCTGCAATATCTCAGTGACAATGGATTCCCTGTGGGGGACGGGGACGACGGCAGCAGCAGTGAGGATGCATACGACGAGTACTGGTACTATGGCTAGGGAGTGTATCGGTAGCTATTACACACACATTACCAAAAGACAATTTCAAAAACAAGTGAAGAATTTTTTTAAAAAGGCCCATGTGAAATCTACATGTAGTTCGTAGAGGCAAGACAGCGTACGAAGGAACCTCTCGGTCACTGTACAAGATTGGCACGATAGCCTACGTCTCAATGCCTCCACCCGTCAAGAGACGACCGCCCTTTAAGAATCCAGCCAGCGTGCTTGGTGGTGGCTTGAGAGCATCGGGCATGAACTTGGACTGCAGCGAGTTGAAGGCATACAATGCCTGGCCAACATTCTTTTCACAAACGGGGAGCCGAGTCCCGTAGATTCGCATCCGCGTGGCATCTTCCAGTGTTGTGTCGGGTACTTCTTGATTCCTGTGTCGTTGCTGTCGGAAACGATTGGCAAACTGGGCCTGCTTGTACGTCACATGCATGGCTGTGCGATCCTTGCCTGATTTGCAAAACACGACCCCGCCACCTCCAAGCTGCTGCGCCATGGTAGCAGCTTCGTCCAGGATACTATGGTTCATTCTCCCAGCCGATGTCATGACATGATTATGCAACATGGACAGAGACGGATGGACCGACATGTTCTTGGCTTGCTGTTGAGAGCTCTGTGACGTCGACGCAAGAAAGGTGTCAAACGGATCGCCAGCAGGGACGTTACTCCCTGGGACAGGTGAGATCAAATGGGCGTAGGCGTTCATCTTCTGGAGCGCTTCGTAGTTCAACGCCACCAAAACATCGTCATCGGAAACGCCAACATCGTCGTCTTCATCGTCCAACAAGCCTGCTCCTCCAGCACCGGCGCCACTGCTGTAATCTCCACCCGCAAACTGATTCTTCATGTTGGATCCGGCATGTGCTCCCCACTGACGAATATCCACACCGACTTGGAACAAAACGGGATAAAATCGCACTTGGGTCCCATTCTTCAAACAGGCCGGAACTCGTTGTTCAAAGTAACGAGAATGCACTCCGACCTGAAGGAGATACTGCGTGGAGCGGCTGTTGGTACTACTATTACTGGTCGTGGGAATCAAATGCACCCACTTCAGAAGAGGCGAATGCGGAATGGGCACACGAGCCGGATCTCCTCGCGTGGTATTATCATCCGGCACCAAGACAATCTTGACCATGTGCAGCATGCTAATGGCGACGGATGCATCTTCAATCATTCCCAATTCTTTTCCCGCCGCACTGAGCAACCCTTCGTACGAGACCAAGTAGCCGTGTCGAGCCCACAGCTGTGGCCATCCCATTTGACACAAGGCGACATCACTGAGCGATGTCAAGTAGGACGTGACGGCAATTCCCAGCGCTTGCGAAAAGGCATTGGCTCGTCGGACGGCACAAATCCACGTGACATGATGATACGCATGGACGGCTTCAAAGACTTTCCATCTCAAGTTTTGCAAATTGGAGTGCCGTGCCGGTACGTGATTGACAAACTTGTTCTGTGGCTGTTGTCGTGCCGCTTGAAAGAACCCGGCCACACCGGCAATCAATTGTGTTTGGGCATTCTTGACAATTTGGGCCAGCTCAAATCGTTTGGCTTCGAGTCGTCGCAATCCTCCCGAGACGGATCCAATGGGACTGGTAAAGGTTCGATCGACAAAGACATTTCCAAATCCAGCGGCATGGTCGGCGGGAGCTCCACAGGTGATATTGTGAAAGAGTGCTCCGTCGTTGGGTTGACTGTTGTTGGGATCAATGATATCCAAACTAAAACTGGCATTGTGTGTATTAAAGGGAATCATACTGAGGAGTAACTCGGGACGACTGGACGACGGTCGAAATGGTTTGGGCGATCGATCTTCCCAGGATGGTTCCGTGTGTCTGGGCGTTGTATTGGGAGTGCGCGAATGACTTTCGAGGACTTGTCGATATTCGCGCGCTTTCATGGAGAATAGTTCCCAATCGGCTTGTCGTCGCGATCGCACATGCTGATCGAGATAGGCATGGGACATGAAACTTCCCATGGTAGCCAATTGTTGTTGTCGTCGTCTCGTGACATCGTCTGCTTGTGCTGCTTGTTGTTGTGGCAACACGACATGATCGACCATGGGTGTGACGACATCTTGTATCAAATTTTCGAGTCCGACCATGGTCACAAGTCCTCGTTGGGGCGATACATAGTTTGGTAGTGGCGCCGATGGTGTTTCTACAGAGATATCAATGGTCATGACCATGGCACCGACTTTTAGTCCCGTGGCGAGTGAATAAAAGGGCAACTGAATGGTGCGTCCTCGTTGTTGATTGACATGTTGTTCGAGTACAACAACGGCCTCCCAGACATCCGGGGGTCGTGTATTGGCCGTGAGCTGGACTCGTAAATTGCCGAGCATGAACGCGGGCAATTGAGCACCGTGTGCCTTGAGAATGGCGGGCAAAATGCCGGTAGTAACCACGGGTGGAAAGAATTGCAACTGTGGCGGTGCGACTTGTGGATGTGTGCCTCCGACGGGGACAGTTGCGGACGGAATGAGTTCCAATTCAAACAGCGAATCGGGTGGTTGCCACGCCAACGTCATATTGACACTGGGGAGTTGCGCGGCCATGGCGGCCACGGGATTGGATGCCGATGCATCGATTTGCAAGTATTGGAACTCGACGTGTACATTCGCGCAAGGTCCGGGTTCATCGTGTTCGGTGCGTTTGGCAAGTAAATGAGTCGCAATGGCTTGGGCGTGCTGAAGCGAGACATGACATGCTTGAGTACAAATTTGCGCAAAGGCGGCGGCCAGTGGAAGAACAATGGTGGATTCAATGGCGCGTTCCGTGGCAATAAGCCATGGTTGTTCTTGGATATTATTGCTGCTATTACTGGGTGGTGTTTTGAGTGCATAGGATTGATCGAGTGGATAATTGTAGAGCCCCGATGTGCATCCCGAGAATTGTGGATCCATGAGTGACCATCCTCGTTGTGCCATGGCGGGTATTTTGAGATCGGGAAGTACACAAAAGTGCAACTGTTGTCCTTCCGCCACAAGTGTAGATGCGAGTGGCAAGGAAAAGAATCCTTTGCGTTGCTGCAATAGTAATTTTCTCATTTGTCCGACATTGACTTGTGTCTGTCCTAACAAGAAATGTTTTGTTTTTGGTTTTCCCGTTGCCGAAATCATGAGTGATGCTTGACTGTGAATGAATAGTTTGACCGTGACCATGGCATTGTCTTCGAATCTCGGTGGTACCCAAAGTGGAATACTAAACGTGACTCCCACAATGGCAATGCGTGGCATGGGCACGGAATCGGTCATGGCAATGAGTTCTCCCGTGGCAGTGGAGAAAAGACAAGCGGTCAGTAAATCGGGCGTTCGTCCTTGATCCGCTTTAATGGCCAATTCGTGCATTCCTCGTTCCAACGCTCCCGTCGTTTGCTTGGCGACTTTTTTGAGGAATCGTCCCAAATTGGGTCCTTTCTTACTGCTATTGCTATTGCTAGTGTTGTTGTTGTTAGTGTTGAGGTTTTGCTGTGTGGAACTGTTGATACTGCTGGTTGCCGACGCATAGGAAAAGTTGTCACTGGCATTGGTACTACTTCCCGTAATACCAGTCGCTAGAGTGCCCGTGTCGTCGTCTCGTAGAAAGCCGTATGGGTCATCACTACTTGGATTGGTCTGACTGGGAGTACGAGAGGAGTATGCGACATCTAGATCGTCTTCTTGCGTGTTGTAATTGTAGTCACACGTAGAAGTAGCGTGATTTGGCGGCGGAGAAAGACTCCGCCCCTTTGTCTTCTGTAACTTGAGTATCGTTTCCACGCCGCCTTGCAATCCACAATTGGCATTGGTCTGTACGAACAGTAGTAGGCGTTGTCCTACGGGAGCACTGTACTGTCGATCCAACGTGGCAATGGCCGGATAGACCATTCCCGTTACTTCCTCGACGCCACCCACTATACTCGATATACCCGCTTGGTTGCTCACGCCATTATTCGCCGCATACGCATTATTGCTAGCCGTTCCGTTGATGCCGGCAGAAGAAATGGTGGATGTCGAGTGGACACTGTTGTTCCCGCCTGTAGACGTATTCGTCCAGTCTGCTGTGGACATGGTGCTTATACAACTACACTGATCTATACTGAACTCAATGGATTGATCAATACAACAAGTCCACTTCCAAAAAATTTGTGATGGTCATTGCCAGGTTGGCCAAAAGTTGACCGTTGAGGGTCGGAGTTTTAAAGCCATTCGAGCTGTTTGAAAGTTTGAATGTACATACGTTTCAGACTATCTTTTAGTAAGTCACACTCGTGATCCAGTCACTTGGAGAGGAGTGACGCAACAGCAATCACCTCGTTGGTTCCGTGTCATTGGCTGCCGACAATGACGTGTTGTGTCAAACTACATGTACCCCATCAGCTTCCGGTACCAAATTGTACGACTGTATCCATCATCAGAATTCACTTCTTCTTCTTTTGAGAGTTAGCTTTATTTATATTACCGGCGATGCAAGTGGTAATAGACGGGTAGCATTTGATGAGACTGTGGCACTAACATCATATCATTTTCAAAGCATCAACTTTACATGTACTAGTACCTGTAATGCACCATGGCCTTAACCAACTCTTCTACCAACTCCTCTATTAAAAATACTAGACATGATAGTGGTAATCCCGCCATCTCTATATCGTTGCTGTTGGATCAAGAGGATATCTGGGTGGATGGCGTCCTACCGTTTCTGGGCACGGGGCAATTTGCCTTTGTAGGAGCTGTCAGCAAGAAACTCCAGCAGCATTACAAGACGTTCTGTGCTACTAGTATCGTCCAAAGATCTACTAGAGCTAGAGTACGAGATTTCGTGTGGAGAGACGACGGCACCATTGCGTTGGAAGAACGTCCTATGCACGTCACAGATACCCACTATGCCGCTGCATTTTACAATATGTCAGCTGTTCAGTTCTGGAAAGACAGTCTTATTCCAACATCAACATCAACTACAACAATATCCAATGAGGTTGCCACTTGTGGAAACGTACCAGAAGATCCCTTTGAATGGTTAGTGGCCAGAGAACGAAATTCCAAAATCCTGCGATTAGAAGCCATTCAAAGAGCCATTGCCCATGGTGGAAGCATTGCGGTGCTAAAATGGGCACTCCAACAAGATTATCTTCGAACAACAAATCCAGGTACCATGGCATTGTTCGCCTTACACGGTCACAGTAAAGCCTGCCAATTCTTACGCAACAAACAAAATTGTCCCTGGAATGAAAGTGCGACTGCCAATGCCGCCCTCAATGGACACTTGAAAACATTAAAATGGCTACGAGCCAACAACTGTCCTTGGAACGAACGAACGTGTACCAATGCCGCCAAGAATGGACATTTGCACGTTCTACAATACGCTCGCGACAATCACTGTCCGTGGAATGAACACTACTTGTGTCAGACTGCCGCAGGACACGGGCAGATCCATATTCTACAATGGCTGGCAGAGCAAGGATTAGTATTGCATCTATTATTTGATGAATTGACGTGTCTGAAAGCAGTACAGCATGGGCAACTACAAGTCGTCCAATGGCTCCACGAACAGCAGTTGTGGCGAGAAGGCAACTATTGCTTTTGCGACGAAGCGGCCGGTAGTGGACATTTGCACGTCCTCAAGTGGCTCGTCGACAAGGGACTCTCGCACTGCGACGCCACCACCAGTGAATTTGCCTCCCTTTCCAAAAATTGGGACGTCCTCAAGTTTCTCCACGACCTCGGATGCCACCATGCGGGAGGGTACCTCGATGCGGCTCGACAAAATGGGGAGCTCCTAGAATGATAACGGAGTTTCCAAAACTACAAAGTCTCCATGGATGTATGGATTGAGAAAAGTTTTAGATCCATGGAGGGGCGACAAGGATGGAAGGCAGAAAAATCGAGTAGCTACCTCTATACAGAGATGACTCGACTACTAGGCTGCAGAAAAGCAAGGCACAGGTAGGTGTTTGGAAAAGCTGTGTATTCTTTTTGTGTTGGATTTCGGAGGTCTCAGCTGGTTTATCTGACCGCATATTTTTTCTTCGACGAAAAGTGAGCGACAGAGCCCGAGGTGCGAATGTAAATAGTTAGTTGCACAGTTCACAATATTTAATAGCCTGCATGTTGAAACGACTACCTTCGTATGAGATCTAGCTTTGGTCTGATATCCTACCGGTATCTACGACTCGTGCTGCTCTTCCCCAATGAGCGGTATCTGTACGATATACCGTAGAGTACCTGTTAAACAGAGCGGACGCATTGGGCTTCAGGGAGGCTTCTGTCGTGGTGTCGCTGGCTAAAAGCAAAACACTGGGCAAGCAAATAGAGCAGGAATAGTGCCGGATCTGTTCTTCAGCAAGGCAAAACACGAGACTGAGATCCTTATTATTAATAGAGAGTGTGGAGCTCCTTTCCCAAGGGACACCCTCACCCCAGGAGGATTGGCTTTATGAGAGCGTTGCTTGCGAAGATCGTAGTGTCGCGGTGCGGGAGTCCAAAGAATCCATGTCACTGCACATGCACAGCCAGCCATCGGACGGAAATGAAGAAAATTGAAGCCCTCCATCCAGCGGACTACTCTAGAGTACGACACTCCATGTTGGTGAATCAAGTTTGTATGCGAAAGAAGTGCTCAACGGTGCAGGTGACCTACCGTATGTTACTAACAATGAGCCACATACTGCAATTAGGTTGATTTGCTTCCGTTTGACACTCGTGCGCCGCAGCAGTGACATCTTGACTGGCTCAAAGCGCCCATCATCGCGCAGCGGCAAGATAAAGAGACTGGATGCGGTGTTGGATCCAAGCAACCGTTCAGAACGAAGGTACCGTACGGTACAAGGCCACCAGCACAAAGAACTCTGTATCCAAAACAATACCGCTGCAGTCGGAGTCAGAAGACTGTCACTCCTGGTGACTTCTTCTTTCAATCAAAACGTGAAGTATAGGTTCTAAAGGATGTCGTCGTGCTCCCGGAACCCAAAGATCCGGTGGCCTTAGATAACCGTGAGCCAAATTGGTGTTTAGGGTAATCTCCGTTTTTGCGTGCGCCGTAAAACTAATTCAACATAGTCTAGTCACATGGAATGGATGTCGCGGCGGATCGAACGAAGGGGGAGCGATAATGCAAGCTATGATGCATAATCAGTCCACTTTTACAATGATCCCATCCCAGTACCTTGCTATTTCACTTTCTTTGCTTCTTTCTGTCAGTGCTGGGAATCACATTCGGTCTCACAATCGAAATCTTGGCTTTGATTCCACCACACCAACAGGAGATGTGGACGTGAATGATCCAAACAATCAGGGCATTCGGGGTGGTGGTGATGCTGGAACGGTTCCTTGGTTTGTCCGCCTAGAAGGATCCAGTGTTTGTGGTGGATCTCTGATTCATGATGACTGTGTTTTGACTTCAGCATCCTGTGTGGATTCGGGCTTTCCCTCTACAGTTTTGGTTGGCCCCACCTCTTCAAGCAATGGTACCTCATACACTGTGTCAGGAGGAACCATTCATCCTTCATGGACTGGGACTCCTGATGCCAACAGTGACATTAACTTGGCAGTCTTGAAACTAGCCACAACTTCTTCCAATTCGAAAGCTACCCTCAACAGTAACAGCGCAGTTCCCTCCGGAACTGACAATTTACAGATATTTGGATTTGGACTGATCAACAATGCAGAATATGCCAGTTCCTTGCAACAAGCCTTTGTCACATACACTGCTGACTGTGCATCCAGCTATGCCAGCTACAATGCTACACAAACTATTTGTGCTGATGCCACTGCCGCTGCTACCTGTACAGGCGATTCAGGGGGGCCAGTGCTGGGAGCTGATTTGGTGACTCAGGTTGCGGTGGCTTCCTTTGGTGTGGGAGCAACCTGTACTGGACGAACTTTGTTGGGATTTGTACGAATCAGGTGAGGACCAAGAGAATAAGAGAACGAAAACAAGTTACAAGGAGAATCTTTGTACAAACATCTCACAATCCTGGCATGCATTCGACACATTGCCCAGCCATGCTTATGACTGGATCCAAAGCGAAATCTGCTCTTTGTCATCCAGGTAACTTTGTTGTTGTTGTTTATGATTGTGTTGAGTTTTTCGTTTTTCTGTAGTTTTTGTTGTTGCTCATCCTTTGTTCGTGTCTGTCGATTATTGGGTGAATCGATTCTGGTAGCCCTCCATCCAGTTGTCCTACACCTCCCCCAACTTCCCCACCAACATCTCCCCCAACATCCCCCCCAACATCTCCCCCAACATCCCCCCCAACACCGTCACCTACTCCTGCTCCTACAGCAGCACCCGAAATTCCGTGCATCTTTGGTTCAGATCTTGTGTTTCATGTTTCTCACGCAATCGAAGAAGGTCTCGTGGTAATCCAAAGGTTGATTGGTGGTTAAGTGCATGCGTATTAGCCTTGAGTGATTTACTTGTTATAGCTCGGTCTTCAGTTACTTTAAAGTTGACGATGAATCAATCCAAGAGAGTAAGGTGAAAATGAAATAAGGCATGTTTGGTATCAAGTTGTCAGAGGCGAAGAAAGCAAGCGTTTACAACATAGGATGCAGCAAGATGGCCGGTGTTGGCTGCCAGGTGAAGTCGAGAGGAGCTATACCTATACGGTACACTGCTCGGATGAAGCAATTATAAGGCAGTGTAAAGGTAAACAGTATTGGATAGAGCACAAAAATACAATCATGAGGGGAGAAAGGAGCCGCTCGTCCATCCAGGCAGAGCTAGCTCGGTAGCTAGGACGCAGCCATCACCGTGACGGAGAGAAACGTAAAGCGAATCGAATCGAATCGAATCGAATTCGTCCTTGTCAACGATTGCTCATGCATAAATTGCTATTCTCCTTGGAACAACACTTAGAACTACCGGTACAACGAACGCCACTGATCGAACACATTTTTTGTCTTTGGGGGACAATTCCGACTTGGTAGTTTTCATGTTCTTTTGAGGATTGGTTCCGTCCCTCCACCCGCCTCCACTGTAATAGACGTGAAATTACTCTGCCGGGGGCAAACTCAACAATGAGGCTCTGGTGGTAATGATTCCATCGTAGAATTCCGATGGCAAGAGCACCATGGAGCGACGACAACACTCTTCATCGTGAGTGGTAGCATCATCGTCGGCAGGCGGCAACGGGAGATTGTAGGCAATGGCAAAGGATGGTCTGGATTTGATTTTGCAAAAAAGATGTTGTAGTGTTGGAAAATCGTCCTTGAGTAGATTGAGCGAATGGGCATTGTTGAGTGGCTTGGCGACCAGCAAGTCTACAGCGGAAAGTTTGTCCCCCATGAAAAAGGGTTTGTCCCCCAAGAATTTGGCCAACGTGGGTCCCAGCTTGGTTTTGAAGGTGTCCCGTCCCGTTTGAAGATAGACTGGATCTTGCTGATCGGCTGGTTCCAACGTGTGCAAAAACAGAGACGACAAGAAGGGGTAGACCGTGGCTGTCACGTACTGACACAAATGACAATAATTGGCGTGGTCCCGCTTTGGCGCAATTTTGGTGTCGGGATGCAAGACACACTTGGTGTCGTACGCTTCCAGCAGATACATCATGACGGCTCCCGATTCCCAAATATCAATACCTTCTTTGGCATCCACAAAGGTGGGAGACGTACCCATCGGATTGCGCGCCAAATGTTCGGGAGTCTTCAAATCGGGAAAACTCAACGTCTCCACGCGGATCGGATTGTTCACTAGATCCAGTTCCAGCAGAGCTTGGTAGATCGGAGACGAGATCGTACGAGGCACATGGTACAGAGTGGGAGCAGGTGCAGCAGACTCGTCGCTCATGGTTGGTAGTTTAGTTAGTTAGTGCACTTCAGACTTTCTCGTGGGGATGTTGTGGTGTTGTTGCTGTCGGCCGTTCCGATGCAGCTTATTGTTGACGGAGAATAAAGATCCAAGATCGCTTCAAAAGAGCAATAGAAGCAGAAAGACGGTTAAATCTGAAAGTGTTCTTACAGTCAGCACTCACTTAAGTTCCGTTTTCTTAAGTTCCATTACTCTACAAAGTTCCTCTTTTTCAGGGCTGCCCCCCCTGAGTCACTAGTTCTCATGACTGACAAGTGAATGTGCTTTGTGGCAGTTTGAGACAGTGCTGCCAATTAGGACCCAGCATTCAGATTGTTCATTTATACATATATGAAGTTTCTTCATCTATCTTTCATGACAGGCATCTTAGAGAGCTCGAAACTAGCTAGCCACATAGCATGTTCTACTGGTCCAACACAATACAGACACCATACATAGGAGCAAAGCAGTTCCACCCCAAGACCCCAAGACCGCTTATCTCTCCTTTTCCCCCAACAACAATAGAATATGACAGGAACCACCCCAAGTGGGTCCTAAGACCACGAACGGGCTGATATGGTGCTCCAAAGATCTAAAGTTCCGTAATTCAGCTAAGTTCCGTTTTTTTCTTAATGCTGGGGGGTGGAACTTTAGCGAGTGTTGACTTACACCAATAAGTGCTTAATACCCCATCTACTTACAGTATTCAGGTATAAAAACCTCCTCTACCCGAAGCAAGATCCACCCCAGCACTCGCCTCAATCTCACACCTCTCGATCACAGCTTCCCCTCCAAGCTCAGACGTCCTGTCCGGTACTATAGTACTCCTTCTTTGCATGCTTTGCAGCTCTACCTTTACTTACTTTGGTTGTCGAATCTACTGGAGAGCTGCCGGATAGTTCACTACTGGTACATTGGCTTTCGATTTCTGCCAAATTTCGCACTTTCAGCTCCAGAACATCCGTTAGATCGATTGATCGATTGCTACCGGTACCGGTACTAGTACGGCTACCGCGATAAACACAGCCAGCCGATAACACGGCCTTCGTTTGTATGTGCACCGGAAGGATCGACTGGATTCAGGAAACACCAAAGCAACAGTGGTACTAGTATTTGTGAAGTTGCGGGTACCCCCTGGCACACGACAGCTCTACGATTCCCTATTCTGTGGCAGTTGAACGCGGGGTACGGTACCGGTACTTATCCAACCTCAATCAAGACCCAACCAGAACGGGCAGATATCCTAGTATTGACTCAGCTTATTAATTAAGCAATTGTGGTCCAGAAGTTTTGCCTCCCAAACTCAAAGTCTGAAGCTAGGCCTATCCATTTGACCCATCTCAGGATTCGTTCAAGTCATCAGCTGGCCAACCGTCAAGCTACGGACCATCCTTCCAAGTCAGTTCCTTATTCCATATGATGAACTAACTATTTATGTCACACCATGGATGAGTTGCAACCTTGGGTAGTATAGACAAGCCGCCAATGGAATGATGGAGTCTATTACTGGAATGACAAGCTGCGTTTCCGGTGAACCGGAGCCAATGCCAATCAAAGAGGACGCAAGTCTTTGGTGCATCAGCTATGACCAATTGCTGGAGGTGGAACATGTCGCCCGTGAGCTGTTTGGCGACGAAACGTATTTCCACGGTGGTGTGACAATGAGAGACATCAATGAAAAGATTATCATTCCTCGTTGCCGAGCTTCTGGGACTTCCTATGCACTGAGTCTAAATCCACAGGGACTCGCCATTGACACAATGTGCACGCACTCGTGGGACGGGAACTTTCACGGTTTTGTACAATCCATTCGATATGTCTTTCAAACTTCGCTCAAGAAACCTAATCTATGGATTTGCGCCTTTGCACTCAATCAAGTCAATCTCAACCAGCACTTGCAACAACCCAATCAAGATTTGCACGAGTTCCCATTTGTTCGGGCACTCCAAAAGGCAAGCACGTTTTGCGTCGTTCGAAACGACCAGACAGACCTGTTTGGAAGGATTTGGTGCATTGCAGAAGCCTTCTACTCCAAACATTTTGGGCTTTTTCCGGACAAGACGTATGTGACTGGACCCAACGTCTTTTGCAACGTGCAAACCAGCTGTGTGGATGCGCAAGCAACCCAGGAACAAGACCGACAATTGATTCTCAAGGTACTCCTAGAGCAACATGGACAAGTCGAAGTAGATCGCATTGTCCACATTTTTAGAAACCATGGGCCGCCCAAACCACCACCCGAAAGCGACATTTTGAGGGCTGTTTTGCACCCTCTTCATGCCCTCGATCAAACACTCATTCAGCAACACATGGCACGCTTTCAACCGGGAACCAGGGAATGGGCCATGCGAGCATTTGATGACTGGATCCAACAAAAAACAGAGACAAACGAAAGCAGCAGCCGCATTTTTGTCCTCATGGCACAGGCTGGGATTGGGAAGACTGGGATTGTGTGTCGTTTGGCTCGAGAACGATCGCAACACATTCTGGCACAACACTTCTGTCGTCACGATGACAACCGCAAACGGAATCCAAAGCACATGTTACTCTCCATTGCTTATCAAATTGCATGTCAAATCCCACAATACAGACGATCCTTGGAAGAAGTTGTCGTAACACAACAATTGACACGGGCCAACATTCTCAAGGACTACAATATCGTGGGAATTTTTGAAGAATTCCTGCAGATTCCACTTTCGTCCATTGCAGAACCAGCATCACCCGAGCAATACCGACAATTTGTTATTCTCATTGACGCCCTCGATGAATGTGAACAGAGTGGCAAAAATGAGATCTTGCTGTGTATTCAACGTCACTTTTGGAAGCTGCCTCCTTGGATTCGAATCTATCTCACGACGCGTCCCGAGATTCCCATAGTCGACAAGCTCAAAAAGTTCTCTCCATCTTTCATTGAACCTAGCCAACAAGAAAACAGAGACGACTTGGCAATCTTTTTTCGAAATCTGTTGCGACGGCTCGGGGGAGTTGTAGAAGAGGATACAACAGAGGCTGCCGTGGAAATGCTGATCGAAAAGACTGGTGGTCTCTTCATTTACGCCGCTCATTTAGCGAAGATGATTGCGTCTGTATCCTCTTCTGGCAAGAGCCTTACGTGGAGCCAACTGGAGGCATTCCCGACCGGGCTAGAAGAATACTATGAAACACAGTTGGAACGGATCATAGTTGATGACAATTCTTATTCTACGGAATGGAGGATTGCCCAGCTGGCCGTCGTGGCGCCGGAGCCTCTCCACGTAGAAGTCTTGCAAGCGATTCTCGGCTCCTCTCGCAAAGATCGCATTTCAGCGCTCAAGACCCTGTCAGCTTTCTTTGCCATTGATGAGAACAGAAAAGTTCACGCCTATCATAAGAGCTTCAAGGACTGGCTGACTAGTCCAGAGAGAGAAGATTCCGATTTTTATATTGATACCCAGCAGGTTGAAGAACTGTTCGCCACGAGATGTTTGGATATCTTGAAAACCAATGGAATCCTCCGTGGAATGGATACTACTTCGGATGTTCCGTCGAAACCTTATCCGGATGAAGTGGCCCATTACGCATTGCGTTATGTTGTACATCACCTTTGTGCGTGTAGAAGGCATGAAAAGGCTCGCCATGTGATATTGGACGTTGGTTGGCTCATGGCGCGAGCTCAAGCAGGCGATAGCAGGGGTATCGAAACAGACTGCAGCTTGCTCGAGCACATCGACCCAGCGGCGAGACTTGTCGGGCGTGCTATCGGTCTTTCGATGAATGCGTTACGTCGTGATCCACGACAACTTCCCGGGCAGCTGGTTGGCAGGCTCTTGTCCTCAACGGTAGCCACGGAAGAATGTCAGAATGAAACGCAAATGAAGCTGTCTCGATTCATCCAAGCTCTCAAGCAGTTTGATCATGGATTTGACTGGTGGTGCCCGGTGACACCAACGTGGGAGCAAGCTGAGCAGCCTTGCATTCGTTTACTCGAAGGGCACAAAAGAGAAGTTCTTTGTTTGGCTTGGTCCAGAGATGGTTCGGGAAGAATTGCCTCTGGATCGAATGACGAGACTGTTAGAATTTGGCACTCTGCGACGGGCGAATGTGAACTGGTTCTTGAAGGACACAGTGGTCGTGTGAACTGTGTGGCATGGTCTTCAGACTCAACACTGGTGATCTCGGGTGGAAACGACACGCATTTACGCGTATGGGATTCTGTGGTTGGGACCTGCGAGCTGGTTGCGGGCCAAAGCGACTATGCCGTTCTCTGCCTGGACACTGGCAACGACTCACGAATATGCTTTGGAAAGGGGAAGAATATTTCTATATACAATATGGACACTGGTGAAATCGACGGCGCCTTGGAAGGACACACAAGAACGGTTCTATCCCTCTCCCGTCTGCTCGATAGTGCCAAGCTTGTCTCTGGTTCAGAAGATGGGGCCATCGCTGTCTGGAACGTCGATGACATGACAATGATGCGTTCCTTTGTCGGGCACGACGGGGCTGTTACGTCGGTGCAGTGGCATTCTGCTGGCACAGTCGTTTCAGCGGCACTGGACCGCCTCGTCAGGGTTTGGGACGTAATATCGCCGTCCTCCTCCCCCAAGCAGCAACCAACCCAGGAATATCTGCACTGTTCGGATGATTTCGCATACTGTTCACGATCACATGTATCGGCATTCCCTGGGTCGGAATGCGTGGCGTTGGGCTCTCGATCAGGCAAATACAGCACAGAAGTTGTGCTGTGGAACGTGCGGAGCGGAAGGGTCGAAAAGAAGCTTGAAAAACACTTGGGAACGAGTAATCCTCTAGCGTTGTCGCCTGGCGGAAGAGTTGTGTCTGGGTTAGAGGATGGATCGATTCGGGTGATTGAACCGACCGCAGAGGACAATAATCTTTGTGGAATGTCATTCTTGAGTCGTTACTTTGGATGTCGAGTATGGTCACCTGATGGAAACACCCTGGCATCTGGCGGCGACAACAATATCATCGGAGTTTGGGATCCTACGAACGGGGACTGCTTCTGCATGCTAGCAGGACATTTGGGGATGCAGCGTGCATTGGAATTCTCCTCAGACAGCAAGCTTCTGGCATCTGCTTCAGTCGACCAAACAGTCAGAATATGGGACATTGAAAAATACCAATGCCGATTCGTCCTTGCGGGCCACACAGGAAAAGTAAGGCGGCTGTCATGGTCAAGAGATGACACCAAGTTGGCATCAGGATCTTCCGACAGGACAATCCGCATCTGGTGCGCCTCCACAGGAAGTTGCCTGCAAATCCTTTCAAACCCGCTGAATCGAGAAATCGATTTTATTTCCTGGTCTCGAAGTGAACGGATTGTCGGCGGCACGGATGGTCGCAGTACATTCGTTTGGAATGCCACCAATGCAAACATGGAGCATTCACTTGGATTGGACCTACATCGCGATGCCATCACGCGTTCATTGACATGTTCTCACGATGGAGATAGAATTGCAGCCGGTTCGTTGATTGCCCATGTCATTCGCATTTGGAGCATTCCTGAGTCATCTTGCGAGAGGGTTCTCGCAACTCGAGACGAGGAAGCTCGAGAAATGGATCGATGGGCTGATTTTGAAGATGGCAGCAGCGAAGATCGGAATACGAAGATGGAGGCAGCTCGCAACAAGAGGGTCAGGGGCTTGCTCTGGTCGAGTGATGATTCGCTCTTGCTGTCTATGTGTCAAGAGTTCATTGCAATTTGGGACGTACGAAGCGGTGTGTGCACGCAAACACTAAGCAGTTCAGGCGGTATCCCCCCCGCGTTTTCGCCTTATGAAGCATCATTCCTTATTCGAGATTTGTCCGAAATGGCTGACCCGGTTGGAATCGCCTGCAAGGATGTTTTAGTCTTTGGAGACAAAGCGTGTGCTCTCATTGGCTATTCGAACACCATCAAATTCTTTCAGCTGGTCCGTCGTCACGATGGAAGTGGCAGAAGCTAGCCAGGAGTCCTGTCAGCTACCAGGCACTGAGCCAGCTCCAAAGGGGTCAGAAACACAGTTTACTTTTATACGTTTACTGATTCTATATGAAGCTTCGTTGGACTTCAACACCAATTGAACTGGTACAGTACGGATCATCGCAGAGCCCCAGCTGGTGCTAGTTGAAGTCGTGCTGGCTGAGATCTCTTTTTTGCTGGATGGTGTCCGCTTGCCTTGACATCATGGTATTGCTTGACATCACTAGGGCTGATCAAACTGTGAATGTAGGGGAGAAAAACCCTGGCATCGCCATGTAAGTCAAGAGGAGAAGTCCCAAGGCCGCAATTCGTTCCACGCCCACTAGAAATCCACTGCATAGCTGCTTCACGTGTTCAGATGCAATGCCCCATCTCTGTAACTGACTTGTTGCCATGAAAACAACAATGGAAAACAAATGGAAGCATAGATAAAGCACAATGCCTAGTACCATGACATCTTGGTTGTGCTTGGTGGTTCTTGTCGGGTTGGATGGTGCTGAGCTTTTGCCTTGCATATTGTCTTTCTTGTCGTTAGCTAGTACCTGGTAGTTGCGATTTGCTCGGTGTCTTGTTGTTGGTTTGTCCAAGCTTTTTATGGCATATCCGAGATTTCAGCCACTCCAACTCGAACGTCGTTGCGTCTGAGCGCTGTTGCACAGATCCGGCAACATTTCGAACATGATGTCTCTGTGCGAGATGCAATCGTGCTCAAACCCATTTCTCGCGGCACGGCGCAAACACAGATCGAAGCATGACAAAAAAATTGGTTGGGCTCAATTTGCGCGGGCTTAGCCTCGTTCCACCATAGCATTAGCCTCAGCTTTGTCCCTGAAGATAGAGTACGTGCGTCCACCCCAAAATGAGTCCTTAACTGCGGGCTCTGGATTCTCCACGTCCAAGATCGGGCGGTTCAGGGATTGTAAAATTCTTTAGTGACAAGTGTATTGTTGAAAAGGCAAAATCAGAGCGTACCGTATCAAATGGCAAATCGCACGGTACTCCGCACCCCCGAGCCAGAGGCCAAGTGTCCCTCTCGCCACTAGCTAGACTAGCTAGTAGATTGTTCGATTCAATCCACAAACTAGGTTTCATTCATTTTCAATTTAAAAAGTTGGTTTGCATTCCCCAGATCCCGTTTCCTCATAATTGACCTGTTTCGCGACCTCACTATCATCCTTGTCAGCATGTAGCACAGCCCCATCTTCCACTGTAGGATCTTCAGGAAAATTTTGTATTCCAGAGAAAGCTCCAGATTGAAACTCATTGGGATCTTGGACTGCCACCACCAAATCATCACTGCTGGGTCTCTGAGAAGAGCCAAAGATCGACAATGCCCTCCAGAATAATGACGAACGCCTTCGATCATTGCGGAATTTGTCGAGACTGCTGCGGCTTCGTGTGGTGCCATTCATGGAACTGTCGAATTCTTCATTGGCTTGTTTGGTTTGACAGCATATAAAATCCAGTGTTGCGTGTCGGATATCAGATTTCAATAGACTAAAGATCGACGTGACAAGCCCGGTCGCATGGCTCCAAATTACAGTAAAATAGTAGACCCAAATGTTTTTGGCTCCCACCATGAAGCAGATGATTGTGGGTGCCCACATGAGTTCCATAACGAGGAATATTCTGGCAAAGAAGATGGCAATTTCCCGAGTCCTTCCATTGTCGGGAAGGAGTCCACCTCTAGCAATATGTAGAGCCACATAGCATACATGGAGAATGGGGATGAACAAGAGAGGAACGAGGAACAGGAAGTATGCCAATTTTGAGTGTGTGTCTTCTCCCACCATTGGAACACAAACAACCCCTTGGAGAGCATCTGTTTGTACAATGAATAAACTGATGGTAGCCACCAGACATGCCCAAAGGTACGAAGCAGTGACCAATAAACATATTCTCTTTTGAGAGGGTGGAAAGTACCTCTGTCTCCTCATTGATGCCTGCAGAAGTATTTTGAGTTCTTGAGCTACAACAGCATTTAGGTAAAAGTTGCTGATGGCAAAGAAAACAACAACAAAGAGCTGAGTTTTGCACCAATGACCATAATAGCTTCCCGTTGCAGCCAGAATATTGGATTGAAGGGCACAGTATCCATTGCATATTATGTCAGGAAGCATAATGGCCAACAGATACTGGTTGAAACCATTGGTCCTGGTTTCCTTGGTCAGCAAAATGGCCAGAAATACCAAAAGGTTGAAAACTAGGAAGATGGAAAATACAACTCCATTCCCAAGCCACATGGAAACCAGCTGTTCATCACTGGGAGCCGCGATCAGATGATCGTGATGGCTAGAAGTCTCATTCAAGTCCCACAGACGAAGCTTGGGGTAGCCAAGGCTAACATGTTCATTACCGGTACCGGTTGCAGTGGGCATGGCTTCAAACTCGTCTAACCAGCTAGCCTTTCGGATTTATGTCAAGGAGCAATGGGGGCGAAGCTATTAACAGGCGGAGCAGTGGCTGAGGTGGTGGGTGGTGGGTACCGGTGGCCGTGGTGGTCGTATGTGGAGAGAGCAATGAGGACGGAAGCTGGTGACACGCTAAAATTATTGGTACCGGTACTGCTGTACGTGGCTCTTCACTCTCCACGGGCAAGAGCAACAGTGCGTCGTTTCTTTGTCATTCGGAACCCCGGACGCAGCCAACATGCAAGACTGCTCAAGCGAATAGAACAACGGCCAAGTCTCCTGCCATCAGGGCTGCGCAGCATCCATGGAAAGCAATTGAGTGCAGTGTCTTGACTGGTTGTTGCATCTGCTGATGGTTGACACACGGGGAAAAGTGCAGCACAACAAAACCAAGGAATAGCACCCTTGCACGATGGCTACATCTGCCTCTGGTGACGCTTTCTATGATGAAGATGAAGGGCCTGCACCTTACCGGTACGGTAGCGGAGAAATGATTCCAGTTGTCGTCCATGCGATAGCTGAACTGGAAGAAGAAGATAACATTCCAGTTGTGGAAGCAGCAGTAGTGACTCAACTTGAAAACGATGATATCCAACCGAGGTATCGTGATCCACTCCGTCGAGACAATGGCACTCTTCATAGTACTAGGGCGCCACAAGCAGAGTTGCGCCCCTCCATGATGGACCGTGTCATTCCAAAATCATCCGAAGGCAAAGCATTTTGTTTGGCACTGGCAGCTCTTGTCGCCTTCACTTTGGTTGCATCCACCGGGTTGTTCTGCTCACTGGGAAACTGTGATGTGGCAGGCAGTGGATCACCTAATGCGGACAGCGCCGGTGAAGATGCTGGCAACAATTTTGTTTCCCGTGAGTGTCTCGGAAGAGCCAATGCTTCAACTGTTCCAGATCTTCTCTAACACTAGCACCACAGTCTCACCCTCCTCAGCAACAGTTTCGCCAAGCTCTGCACCCACCTACTGGAACCAAGCAGAAAATTACACACTGTCCGTGGACATGTCTTCACTTGTGATTTCCACCTCAAACTTCTTGCTTGCCAATCACAACAACGACAACGACACCAGCACACCCATGATAGAGAAGCTCATTGAATCAATCCTTGAGGGATTGCCCATTGAGTCATCAAATCCCGTGGCCTTGGTTCCAGGCTCAGCTGAGATTGCGCAGGAACCTTTGGCACTTGCGATTCAAGACTGCGTCGTTGGCATTGAAGACCGCAACGAAAACAACAACACGCATTGCTACTTTGTTCGTGTTCACTTTCAACTGTTCGTCACGGAGGCTCACAAGGCCCGTTACAAGAGACTGTGCTCACAATTAGGAGCATCGCTGACTTTGCTCACAGAAAACAATGGACACCTTATTAGGAGCTTTGTTGTCAAAGAAGAATCCAATCTACTTTTTCAAGATGGCAGGATGGATCATTGCGAGCCGGTCAACAACGATTCAATAACGATGACTTTGACACCAAGTACGGCACAACCCACCGCAACAACAAACCCTTTACAGCAGGCAACACCAGCACCAACACCAGCACCGGCTCCCTTGAGATTTGACTTTCACTACACCTTCTTTGATGACCTTGTGCCACTGGAGAAGCCCACTGAAGCACAACTATCAGCATTGGTCTGCCAAACGCAAGTGTGGGTATCCGAACGGATGAATACTAACTCAACCATCAATAGTGATACATCGTTGACAATGACGGCAAAAGACATTGGCTACCAGCTTGGGAACAACAGTTTCATTCTATTTTTCAGAGGAGAGTTCAGCACAGGTGGTGAAGAAGAGTCATACTTTCCAACCCTTGAGGACGTTTCCTCTGTCCTGGACGCAACAAGCAAGAACTCCATTATGATTATTGATTCATCCGAGCTTGACTATGTGCTGGATCATGTCTATGCATCAAGTCCATTGGATGGCAGTTTGAACTATTTTCGCGATGTCAATGGCACAACCTATCATGTGGATTACGACGATGAGGCGGATGGTGCACAATCCAGCGTGATGGAAGAGGCTCACTGTCATCCCTAGCAGGATACTATCTAAAGACGTGATCCATTGTGAACTTGCAAATTTGCATCCATGCACCTAACCAGTGTACTTTTAGTTCAAGTCATAATAATGCTTTGAATTTACCGGTTCAGTACCTGCTTGGTTGGAAGCAACAGCGAGCCACTAGTACCGTACCGTTAGGGCATCTAGTACCGCGTTACGGGTATCGCGGTAGGCTCTTCCTAGCAACCTCCGTGGTTTTGTGTCGAGCAGTGATCGACACAGCACCACTTCATTTCAATGCTTCATTGATCCGGCGGCAACTTCAGGCATCAGAATTCAATAATCTGCAAACCTGGAACATCCTTTACTGCTTTCTTTTGTAGGCTCCACTTTCCTCGCTTTGCCATTCCACTTTTTAATGGATGACGTCTCATTCATGTCTGGCGGACCTTGACGTAATATTCATGTCTGAAGAATGCATTCTCGCTTCCTTCCATTGTTCTTAATAAAATCGAATCTTCCAACTGCATGTAGACCAGTACCGGTCCCGGTAGGATATATGCGTCATGCACATTCTTATATCTATAAATCTCCACTCCACTTCACGTAGCATGCCATGCTTGGTGGGCCCGGGAAGATAGACAAGAGCAAGCAAGCGAGGTTGGTCCTGGAAAAGATGACAAACCGCGGAATACTATGCACCCACGGAAGCCGGTCTCAGTGGACACGCGCAAGTAGAATAATGTCTTTTTTTCATCCAGTGGAGAAAAAGACGCTCGATCTCTGGGTTGGCGACAGATGGTACCACCGTTATTATAACTCTCCAACCAAAAATGGCGGCCACACAAACTGGCACACATCACTCTTTTTGCGCACTTTTACTACGCTACGTATGCCTTGCTTGTTATCCATTGAGAAGTAACAACCGCCCCCAAACCATTAGCATTCCTTTCCTCCCAATCTATTAGCTGAATCCAATAGGCTTGGGTAGCATACAGGTAGATTGAGTTTCTTGTTATTCTTTGTGTGTATATTCTACTCTCCAGATTCGATCATTTGGCGATAACGGTAGCCCAGATACCCATATACCCCTTGATATACCCAAGATGAGCAACCTTAGAATGCTGAGCTTGTTGGTGGTGCTGGTGCTATTGGCAGATAATGGCTCTGCCTTTGGCATGGGTGGAGGGATCAAGAAGAACAATAAAGAGATTCTTCGGTTGAATGTGGAAGAAGACAAGTTTCCCTTTTTGCATGGCGTGGGATCTGCCGATCCACTCGAAGACTCGGTCTTGATTTGGACGCGGATTTCTCCTCCTTGGCCTTTCAAGAAGCAACAACAAGAAGAAAGCAATTATCAAATTGAATGGAAAGTTTGGCCAATCTCAGATACCCTCAAGGTGAAAGCTCAACAAGACCAACTGTGGGATAATCCAGCAGCAGAGGTAGCCGCGCAAGGCAGTGTTACCGTCTCACCGGACAATGACTACACTTTGACCGTGGACGTCCAAGGCCTGCTACCCAACACCAAGTACTATTATCAATTCCAAGATCATCCAAAGACCAATGCTACCCATACGCGACGTTCTCGCGTTGGATCTACCCGCACATTGATCACAAATCAAGACGAAGTTGACGTGGCCGTCCTCTCCTGTACGTCCCTCTGGAGTGGATACTTTAACATGTACCGACACTTGGCGCACTCCCAGCAAGCAGCCGACTTGGCCGCCATTGTTCACTTGGGAGATTTCATCTATCCCGATTTGGATCCCGATGAGTTGTATCGCGTTCCCTACGGACTCTGCAAAACACACTTTTGGTTCTCCCCCACAGAACATTTCCACGGCGACCCTAGTGCTACTCAAACCAACCGCGCCGCTCCTGGAATCCGGGGTCAGCCAGAAGACAATGAAGACCCGTACGTGGCCCACATGATGGCCACGTTTCCGCATTGTAGCGAAAATCGCACCGTCTCGACCATTCCCGGACGCAGCGGTGTTCCTGACGCCGTCGCATTGAGTCAATTCCGATGGATGCATCAACTCTACATGATGGATCCCGATCTCCGCGATGCCAGAGCGAAACATCCCTTTATTGTCCAATTTGACAATCACGATTTGGGTGACGATTATCCCAGTCTCGCTACCCATAAAGGATCCGCCAAGGCAGGATACGAGTGGGTACCGCAACGCGTCAATCTCATTCGCGATGACGACGGAGAATTGACCGATGTCGAAACGTTTCGGCATTTTCCATTGGGACAAGACAATCTGTTTGATCTCATCTTGTTGGATACCGGTGCTTACATGGGCAATTATTCCTACAAGGAAACGCACGGTCTTTTAGGACAAGGACAACGTGCGTGGTTGCAACAAGTCCTCACCAATTCCTCTTCCAGCAACAGTCAATGGAGAGTGATTGCCAGTGGCAAGGCATTCATGCCACTCACACTCAACAAGTTGGGACAAGCGGTTATCAAGTCATCTGCGATGGTCTTTTTGTTTCCTCTCGGAATTTTGAGTCTGCTCGTGGCACTTCAAGTGTGCCTACATCGTCGTCGACGACGACGACTATCCGCCAATGACAAGACCAGCTTTCGTCAACGTACCCGAAGTATCGAAATGGATCTTCTCGCAAACTCGCGTCAAGGAGAAGCTGCTGCCTATGATGTCGGTGTGGGAGATGATGAAACAGAAGAACTCGTCACGGGAGGAGACCACAAGGACGAAAATTACGAGGAAGAAGAAGAAGAAGATACCGATGACGCGTCATCCGAGGAAGAGAGTGTGCCACTGTCACCGACTCGTGGTGGTGGTGGAACAGATAATCCTAATCCACCACAGCGACGTCGCAGCGGAAGAAAGCCGCGAACAAACAAGGAAATGCTCTGTGAAGCACACGAGGAGTCACCGCTCCTTCTACGATGTACGGCCACGTTCTGCCGTGGCATCACTATTGCATGGCCCGTATTTTTTATGATTGTGGCAATCTTGGTACGGAAGCTAGCCATGAAGGGCGATGGACTCTTTTTGTTCGACAACAGTCCCGTTGTTTGGACGGGAAATCACGAATCCACCATTCATCTATTTGATCTGTTGGACGAAACCAACACGGACTCCAACAATCTCTGGGTCACGGGAGATGAGCATCTCTGCTACGCATCCGATGTCTTTCGGTATAATCCCTATGAACGAGACATTCTCCATTACAATCCCAACGACGACAGTAACACGACGCGGTACGGCGTGGAAATGCTGCCCTGCTCCGGTACTCGTGGCAATCTCGATGAAATGGCGGGATCCATCCTGGGGCCGCTCTTTCATCCACGGGGCATGCTGAGTTTCCTCTCCAAATTCATTCTGCATGACGCCGTTGTCCTTATCAATAGGCACTTTCGATATTTCAACGGGGATGATCATGGCTACGGATTGGTAAAGGTGACGAGAGAACAAATCACCGCCACCTTTTACTTCTTTCCGATTCTCGAAGTCACCAACAAGCACAACACCAAAACCATGGTGGTTCGTGATGGCGGTAACAAATGGGAGTAGACGAAATGAAACGCATGCATGCATTCACACGCACACAATTTTGACATCCCATGAGAGAGAGGCAGCTACCGGTACTTCCTGCACGTGGTGGTACTATTTGCGGTAGTTGTTAATGCATAAAAAGACGAATCATTTACACGTTATCAAATCAAAAACCATGACAGACGAAAGCAAACGCGAAACGAAACGAAAGCAAATACTGCAGCTTTTGTGCTCTATGTAGCTAGAATACCTTGCTTCGCTCTCAAAGGAACCAACCACCACGCAGTTCCCAACAACTCGCGACCTTGGGGATCTGTGATTGTTACCGACACCAAACTTTTTCACAAGGGTCAAACTAGCCAATATTCATTGAGAACTGCTTCTTCAATGTTTACACTACAAGGGCACTACTAGTATTGCTCTGCACTGTGCTCGTCTCCGCACCGGTAGTGTCCATAGCTAGTCGAATTCATCCTCTAATTCATCCACGCTTCTGCTGCTGGGGCATCCGTTTTCACGGGCATACTGCAAACATTCCAGGTGACCATGTTGAGCAGCTTCGTTACAAGTGTCCACATTCCAAGGACAGCCATTTTCATGGGCATACTTGAGCACATCCAGGTGACCAAATCTAGCAGCATCGGAGCATGTCGATGAATCCCAAGGGCATCCATTTTCATGAGCAAATTTTAGGACATCCAAATGCCCATTGCTAGCAGCACATTCGCACGTTCGTTCATCCCATGGACAATGATTCTCATGAGCATACTTTACGACATCCAAAAGCCCGCCAAGAGCAGCATTAGCACATGTGTCTTCATTCCATGGACAATCGTTCTCACGAGCATACTTTAGGACATCCAACTGCCCACCAGCAGCAGCTCCAGAACATGTGTCTTCATTCCACGGACAACCATTCTCATGAGCATATTTTAGGACATCCAAATGCCCCCCACCAGCAGCATAAGAACATGTGTCTTCATCCCATGGACAACCATTGTCACGTGCATACACAAGAATTTCGATACTGCTAGTTGCAGCTCTGGTGCACGTCCATGAATCCCAAGGGCATCCATTTTCATGGGCATACTTCAAGCATTGAACAAATCCTTTAGCAGCAGCAGCAGAGCATATGAATTCATCCCATGGACAACCATGCTCATGAGCATATTTTAGGACATCCAAGTGCCCATGATCAGCAGCATCATGGCATGTTCGTTCATCCCATGGACAATGATTCTCATGAGCATATTTTACGACATCCAAAAGCCCACCAACAGCAGCATTAGCACAGGTGTCTCCATTCCATGGACAACCATTCTCATGAGCATATTTTAGGACATCCAAATACCCACCACCAGCAGCATCAGAGCATGTTCGTGGGTCCCATGGACAGCCTTTATCATGGGCATACTTGAGGCATTCCAAATGACCACCACGGGCAGCTCGTGCACATGTCATCGCATCCCATGGACAACCTTTTTCATGAAGCCATTTAAGTAGTGCAAGATGTCCACCTTCAGCAGCAGCACCACATGCCTCCTCATCCCAAGGAAAGCCTTTTTCAAAGTGGGCCCACTGCATGACAGCAGGATTTCCAGTTTTGGCGATTGCTTCACAAACGTTGTCATGGGCAAGTGTTTCATTTGTGGAACCTTGACTGCACCAGTAGGTGGCGCACTCAACACTGTTGAAGGCAGCTGTGTACAATGTGTCGGTGCTGGCAGCATCAATCCTTGGTTCGAAACCTCTGATCCTGGGAGGATCTTTGACTTTGTCACAGTATTCCTTGTACAGCTGATTCATTTTTTTGCTGACAGCTCCTGCAAAGGCATAGTGACCCATCCCAACAAAAGGAAATATCTTTCCCACCAAAATATCATCTCGATGCAACAACAAGGAGATGGCTGGAAGGTCCTGCGAAACATGAAAATCTGGAATTGAATTCATCACTAATTAAATATTTTCATCACCATTCATCACCATTCAACACATTGGTGATGAATTCATCACCATTCATCACATTTCATCACGGTTTCATCATTTTCATCACCATTCATCACCATTCATTATCTCTATAGTAAAACAGTAGTATTTTTCATCACGATTCATCACCAGTCATCACGAATTAATCATTTTCATCACCATTCATCACCATTCAACAAACTGGTGATGAATTCATCACCATTCATCACCATTCAACACATTAATCAAGAATTCATTATAATTAAACTATTTCATTATTTGCAGGACCTTCCTGGAGGTGAGACTTTCTGTCTCTTGGGGCTGGTCTCAGTACAAGCTGACATTTTGGGAACTGTTCTATCGTGATACAAGTATGTTGTGTTTAGCAAAGGAGCTTATCCCAAGAAGAGACCACCCTACAACTTCGTGGCTGGCACCATCACCATAACCATGCGGCAAATGGATCGTCTTTTACACCAAAAATAAATATTAAAATTAATAGATAATTTCCCTACTCTAAACCCCCCCCTATATAAATTAATAATAGATACTAGTACGTTTAGGAGAGAGGGGGCTATCTAACAAGTCATGCAGAGTGGTGCCATCGGTAGTGGGAACTACTACTAGCTAGCCAGTAGTAGCACTGGGAGAGAAGGGAGGACGGGAGCAAAAAAGGGGGGGCTGTGGGGGAAGGTGAATATGGTGAGCAAGACTATGAGGATGTCCACGCGTTATTAATTTTAAGAAGAAGGTTTTCCCTTTCTTTTTAGATACTACCGTATCAGTAACCCAAAACACAATTGGTTTTCCATTTTCCATATTCCATAGGTGCCAGCACACAAAGCTCACAAAGCAAGCTCATGATGCGAAACTTGTTTCGGCTGGCAATGTCATGTATCCACACGCACTCGCTTCTTTGTGGTGCCCAACTGGCAGATAGATGCATTGTACCAGCCATTGCAGTATGAGAGAGTCGAGTCCGGGCAAGCAAGCATCTGAGATGCATAGTCTACGAGTCGATCGAGGCGTTCAAAGTGGCAGTAGATTGCAGATGGCAATATAAGATAGCGTTGCTTATGCATTATGTACTGTAGGTGCCTATAGATAGATACATGTGAGTTGTTAGCACTACACTGTCCACCGTTCCTGCGCCTCCTCTATGGTTGTTGTGATGGTTGTTGTTGCTGTTGCTGTTGGAGAAGAAGAATCCCCATTGAGAAGTATGGAGAGACAAATGGACCACACAAAGAATATGCAATTGCAGTATAGAACTCGTAGCTGTGGTGGACAAAATGCCATGTTGATGAGACTAGCTGGCACCCACAGTTTCCAATTGGCCAGCATGGTCATGACAAAATCATGTTGTATGTGTTGCACAGCATTCTGTCCCTGTAGAGTATCCAAAAAGAAAAATACCCCCAAAGTAAAGAGTGGCGCCCAGATGAGTTGATCAATGGCCAACTTGAGAAAGGTGGTGCGTGTCCAGGGATTTGGGGTAGGAGGAAGTTTGGCATCCAATAGGACATAGTAGTAATGTGTAATGGGAGCTTGCAAGAGTAACCCCATCAAGAAGAAGCAGCTTGTTCGGTACAGATCCAAATGGACAAACCATATACCACTGCTGGTACTACCAGTACTACTGCTACTAAAGATGGACAGCTCTTGAATGAGTTGACCGGCCAGATCTCCAGCTCCCGTTAAAATGGCGGAAGTCAGAGACTTGGTCAGAATGGGCATTTGATCCAGTTGCGCTTCGTACCATTGCCATGCCCGTTGACAGCCAGAAAGCAAGGAACACTCAGCTGACTGCGGAGGATTTGAATGCGCCGGCTTGTCCAGACCCAACAAGGGAGAATTTTCGTCAATGGAAAAGTGGATTGCCTGGAATTGCGTGCCGTGAAATGATCCTGTCTCTTCGTCATTGTCGTTGTCGTCATTGGAAGAGCTCATGCCCAAGTAGTCCACATCTTCTTCTGGTCGAGGACTCATACTATCTATCTCTGTCTTCTCGTACTATTAATAGCAACTATGAGGATATCTACAGGCAGTATGTGGTGTGGTAATGTTTGGTCAGGACCATCAAACTGTCGGAGTAGTGCCGAACAGATCCTTCCGCCTCAACGAGGTGGCTGCGACGCTGCGACCTCTTGCATGGTTGGAGGCTTCCCACGGCCAACACAAAGATCGGCACAACACGTCGGCAGCAACCTGAGAAAGAATTCCCACAAGAATTCTGATGACGTCACGATCATTAGAGCTAGGGATAATGGATCTTTTGCAAAGATGGAAAAGAGAGAATAAGTCCGATTGTACCGGTACCAGTACGAAAATACTGATGTTCCAACAGAAGATCCACAAAGATCCCAAAGTTGTGCGTGCGAAAGAGCTGAAGGTGGAGGGTGGAAAGACAGAAGATACAAGAGGTCACAGTGAAACGTTGCATGTGCGTTCTGCGGTTGTCAACCAGCATTGCCATGGCAAAACAAACCATCGATGAGCTGAGTTGACAGCTCTCTCATAAAATCAAAATACTGTAGCGCAAGAAGCAACTCTTCTAGCTAGCTAGCTATAATACTCAACCAAAAAGATATCTTGTTTTTTAAAAAAGATAACATCATGTCAAAACGCCAAAATGATTACGAAACCATAGAAAGCAATGACGACAGCGACGGCCAAGAGTCCATCAATCCTCGCCACGATCAACTCAAGTCTCATCCCAAATTGTGGGCAGCCATTGGGGTCATTCAAACACTCATGACGGCAGGAATCATTTTTGGATGGGCGTCTTTTTTACCTGTGCTTCGAGAAGAAGGAGTCGATTTTACACCCCAAGCATTTTCGGTCATTTTCACGGGAGGAGCCGTGGGAAACTACATTTCCACACTCTTTTTTGGACTCATTGTCGACAAGTACGGACCCCGTGCCACGGGCATTGTGGCATCCATCCTCTATGCAATAGGATTGCTGTTTTGTTCTCTGGTGCACAATTACGTTTGTTTGGCCGTGGGATTTGCACTGCTCGGATTTGCCGGACCCGGTATTCAAATGCCCACACTTCATCTCGCCAATCTATTTACAGCTGGAGCATCCAGCAACAACAATGATGACGACGACAATAAGGAATCATCGGAAGAGAGCAGCGGAGGTGGTGCCATCTTCATGTCTGCTCAGGCGGCTGCATTTGATGGAGGCACTGCCATTTTTGCCATTCTACGGGTCCTCTTCCAGGCCACGGGGTTGTCCTCGACTACCTTTCTGAGACTCTATTTGGTGGTTCCAGCATGGGTATTCCTGACTTCTGTCTTTGTCTGGCCCGATGAAATTTTGGAAGATGAACGGGTCGAAAACAGTGATGATGATAATGAACCAAAGCGACAATCCTATGTCGGTCCAGGTTCTCCCTACATATCTCCCAATCGAAAACGCAAGCCGCCAACTCCCACCACCCTCATCAATGCCCCCTTGAGTGTCGTATTGAGACATCCCGCATTTTGGTCGCTGGCTACTTGGGTTTCCATTCATATTCTCAAACTCAACTTTGTCGTCGCAACCATCAATGATCAACTCGAGGATCGCGTCGATCCAGAAGTGGCCGCACATCTCATTGATGTTTTTGGAGCCATGTTGCCCTTTGGGTTTGTCGTCTTGCCCATTGTCGCGACCTTTTTGGACAAATCCGCCACTCTGGCACTCCAAATGGCCAACATTGTGGGAATGCTCTACGGAGCCGTCATGGTATTCGCACCCGGCAGTCGATGGTTGCAGACACTGGTCGTATTTCCTGCCGTGGCATGTTCTCGACAATTGGTCTACTCCACCGTCTTTCATCAAGTGGGACAGCTCTTTGGGTTTGCCAATTATGGGACTCTGTTGGGCTTGTGCAACCTGCTCGTGTCGACTGTCAGCACCGTCCAAACACCCTTGGTCAATTATGCCGAGACGGTGGGATCCTACACGGGATCCAACATGGTCTTGTGGTTGGCCACCTTGCCACTCTTTGTCCTTGTCTTGTGGTCCGATCCAACATCTTCCTCCTCCTCGTCGTCTCCTCTTGGTGCGCGCAAGGGGGAACGTGCACCTCTTGCCATGGATGACAGTGAAGCCGATCATGTCAATAAGAAGCGATACAGTTCCGTGTTGGGAGAACTTTCTGTGTAGTTAGATGATAGACAATTTTTCTGTGTTAGATCTTTTTTGAGTTTGTTGAAAAAAAGATACTATATAGACTAATGAGAGTCAGAGAGAGAAATCAATGACTGAGATATGATATCAATGATGGCGCTGAGCCTGGAGCATCTCGGCCACAGAAGCAAGTACAATTGGACGTCAATTGGCAGCGGGACATCCCCAGAGTCCAAGACGACAGATATCTAGACCACTCAAGTCCATTCCTATGCCAGGGTATCCACGAGCTTGTGCTGCTTCATCGCCATAAAACGAAGCCACAACGGTGGGGTAATCATTATCAATGGAAGCCTCTTGGTTTTGTTTCAAAATGTCCAAGCAAGATTGTACTGTTTCTTGATCTGGTTTGATGTCGGTGTCAGGATGGTGTGAGCCTTTTTCGTATACCCAAGCTTCTTGATCCAGCATGTCTCCCAGCGTAATACAAGCCTTGCCTTTTTGGAGCATGTAGGCTACTCTGTGCGTGGCCAGTTCCACGGAAGATTGAGCCAAGGATTTCAGTTGGTCAGGATCATTATCACTAGACCACAAGATAGCTTCAATCCATCCTCTCTTCAGTAAAGATTGGTTTCGGAAAGCGTTCTTGAAAGCTACATCCAGACGGTCCGTCCATCCGCCTTGAGCATCGTCCGCCATGACCAGTCCCACGGACAAATTTGCAAACAGGTCTGGAGGATACGAAGCCAGCACCTTGTCCAAAGATTCCTGAGCAGCCTCTTCGACATTCTGACCCAGCAACTCATCTAAAAGGGCAGGAACGTGTGCTTTGGCCATGGGATTCATGTTGCCCAGTGGGTATCGAATATCTATCAGATCCACCAGCATGGTATCCAAATAGGCTTGAAAGCGAAATTCTTTAGGCATTTCATAGAAGCCACGCTGGATGGCAAGAAGCGGCACAAGTTTCATCTTCTTTTTCCAGTACTACACAATAGGGCAGAGCACGTGTTGACAGAAGACCATTCCCATTTGTGATCCCTTTATCTGTTGTGGCCGCTTTTTCTTGCTCCATGGTAGAGTCACATGCATGACATGCACCATTCTCGGATCCGGATCCATGAATGGATAGGCTTCCCAAGCAATAAACCAGTGAGATCAGTCATACATCACATAAAGGCTGCAGTCCGGTCCAAAGATGAGTCTCCACAACGTATCCAGGCGATTGTTGTACAAGGACATCTGTAGAGTCCGAAAAGACCACTCCGGCTTGATTGTTGAATTTGCAAAAACCAACTTCAATGCTTCGAAGGCATTATGTTATGGTACTTTCTTCGAATTCCTCTGTAGATCCCCTCAATAAGAAACGTGGAGTGGTTCCCACTGCAAAAAGGTTTTGCTTCAAGATCTTTCCTCCCACCCCATGCACCATTCAAAGGAAAATGGAGACCCATTGGGTTGCTTCTCTGGGTGGGTGCCCACATCGAACTGCACGGAGAGTCAAGTTGGCAGCCAACTCTGGATCTTGCTGCACTCCCCCCCACTCGGAGAGACTGCATGGTCTTGTCTTCCACGCATGGGTATGTTTCTTATTCGCAGGGCAATTTAAAAGAAGATCTGGAGGGAAAGATTTCGGATTAACATTCGGTCAGAGCGAAATAAACCGATTTCGTAACATCGGACATTGATTAATTAGGACGCACAAGTTCCCTCACACAGTGGCTGCCAGAACCACCAATCGAAAGCATCCAACACGAACAAACCGTCGTCTTCTCTCAGCATTCCAGCAGAAAAACAAGCAACACAAGCATCGAAGCACCATGGTGGACGGCAGCAGTAAAAGCAGCGGAGGCCTCAAGGGCTTTTTCCAAAAAGCGTACAACTCTCTGGAAACATTGGGCAAAACGGGTGGTGGCTATGTGTTTGCGTATTCCATGTGGGCCGCCAAGACGGGAGGAACGCTAGGATTCTACTTTGCCACCACGGCCATGGTCACATTCATGCCTCTGCTATTCGAAATCAGTCGAGAGAGACAGGTGAGTCTTAATTAGTTAGCACTACGGTACTAGTAGAGCTACCCTGGTGAACTGAAGGAAAAATATGGGTATATACCCCTGGTTTTTATCTTTCCATGTGAAGTTCTCTCATCCCTTATCTTTCCTTCCGTTCTTTCCTGTTTCTACCTATTTTTCTTTGTGTATGTAGCAACTGGAGACAGAACGGTCTCTTGTGAAGGACCTGAGAAGTCAAGGATTTGGAGACCGACAATTACAAGAAATGGGATTTACCACCGCCTCGATCCATGAACCTTCTGTGGCCTCCCTCAAGAAGTAGATTATGTTTCAGGTTCCTTCCTTTCTCAAGAGGCAGGTTACTTTGTCTATATTTATTTTGTTTGGATTGGCGGATGGCCAGCATATACTTTTTTCTATCTCCGCGTCTAAACGAAACAGAATCCCCATTTTGAAGTGCTTGCTAGCTTGGGATGTGGTTCCACACACACATCCATCTCTAGCTACTAGATAGATACTATCTCTAGTTACACTTCAGAATAAAGAATGATTTACATAGTTTGAATGAGCACGAAAAAGTTGCATTTGCTATAATAGCTGGCTACCGGTATCCCAGAGTGCATTGGATGGATTGCCCGAACATACATGATGGGACTCTGGCTCGTGCGGTTTTGCCAGAAAGAATCCCACGCGAAACGGTTCGCATCTTCGAAGTATTCGGAGAAGTCTTGTAGATCTAGTTTACTCCGCCTCTACTCCTGCTCTCCCGGTAGCTAATATATCCGTCTACCATGACATCTTCAAGTCTTTGGCAGCAACCAACTCAATCCCACGGAATAGCGAGGGTGATGATTTTTTCCTTTCATGAAAGAAAGCAAGCTCCAGACAGCCTTTTTGGTTGCTAGCTAGCAGAAGCTATGCATATACGGAAGCTATCTTACCTGTTTGCTTTTAGTTTTGCTTTGGTTGGTCAAACGATGTTGGGGGGAGGGATTTTTTTTTTCATGGACAGGTTGAGCTTGTTTTGAAAGGCGATGGCTTACCGGATAGACAGGGTTCCGCCGATTTTGGCCTTATACGGTTGGTTGGACCAAAGGGTAGCGCCAAAATGCAACGAAACCATGGGGAACCTAATGAATCGAATCTAGATTGGTAGCTAGCTAGCTAGTTAGATAATGATTGTGCCATTGGAGGGTTGGATGCTAGTGTTACGGAGGAGGAGCTTATTGGTATAGTTTTACTAGTATAGGTTCTTGATAGTTTGCTTGGTGTGAGGCTTCAAAAACTAGCCTTTGTGTCATGGACTAGAGAAGCATCGGTATGACCGGAAAAGGAACGGCAAGGAGGTTCTGGAACGGGTGAAGTGGATCGTTGGGCATCTTGTCGTTCTTCTTGGGCACGTTGTCGTCGTCGCTGAAATGCCAGTCGTCGTTGGGTGACCAATGCCGATGCGGCCGATCCCACACCACCAACTCCACCGACCACTAGCCCCACAGGACCTAGCAAGACGGCTCCGACGACTCCACCAGTGACGACACCCGCTGTGACAGCCGCCGCCGCCACGGCATTTTTGGGTTTGATTCCCGGCTTGCCGTCTTTGTCATTGTGTTTTCGATTTTCATCGTGAAGGGTATATCGTGCTTGGCCGCCCTTGTCTTTCCAAATGGCGCGTTTCTTACTACCGCTGCGTTGACTGCGATCCGTCATGACCGAGTGCTGATCATCGCCATCCACGGAAGAACAAGTCGTGCTAATCACCGAAACGGCGTCTTCGTCATCTCCATGATGATGCTGGTTAATACTACTAGTAATAGTAACACCACTACCGACGCCGTTCATGGAAACTAACGAGGCAGCTAGAGAGGGAAGATCAGAGGATGCTAGTGTCGAGGTCATTTTTAATGTATTTGTTGAGTTGTATTGATGTGTTGGAGTTTGCGAGGTTTGGATGAATGAGAAGAGAAGTGTTACAGTTCACTTGGGAGTGGAGATGTTACTTGTGTGACGCTTTGAAAGTTAGTAATCCTGGGAAACCAACCTCCCTCCAACGGATCCCTAAAGAAACGGTCAAGCCAATCGACTGGTTTTAGCACGAGCTATTTACTTCAGTCAGGTTTCGTGCTTACATCATTGGCGACATTCCGGAAACGGCTCTGCTGGCGGCTTGTCCCACTTGCACACGTAGAACCTACGTGTGACTAGTACTGAAAGAACTATCTAGAAGGATCCTGCCATGTTGAAATTCATAGGGAACACCGGCGAATGACAGGATTCGATCCTGCTTGCTGTCCAGGGAGATCTTTCTCACTGGTTATATTTTTATACAGTACAGCCATGCCAGTGCAATATTTATTTACCACTCGAGAAGCTTCTCAAGCGCTGATCAAGACGCCGTAACTGTTGAGACAGCTATTGAGACTCTTCAATGTAAGATTTATTTAGTGGATTGTAGCTATTAGTCGGTTCTATGCGTCAGTCGTTCAAAAAGTCGGGGACTTTGTGCGTTAATTGTGCACAAAGTCCGGTACTTTGTGCACAAAGTAGAGGACTTTATGCGTGAGTCGTGCACAAAGTCGGGGACTTTGTGCGTTAATCGTGCACAAAGTAGAGGACTTTGTGCACAAAGTAGAGGACTTTATTCGTCAGTCGTGCACAAAGTAGAGGTTTTTGTGCGTTAATCGTGATTAAAGTCGGGGACTTTGTGCGTTAATCGTGGTTAAAGTCGGGGACTTTGTGCGTTAATCGTGGTTAAAGTCGGGGACTTTATACGTCACAAAGAAGGAGACATTCCCACAGAACGACATTTATACTAAGACTTTTTCGACCGGCTTTCTGAAAAAGACAGTGGCGAGACACAATGACCAAAGGCTCTTTTGTACTGGTACGGGAAGGATGCTGGGTGCGTGGGCCATCCCGCGGACTGGCAAAACACACCACTCAAGAGACAAAAATATCAGATACGATTCTCCTGGCCACCGGTACCACTTTCTATGCTGTGCAATAGTAATGCTCCTATTATGATACTGACCGGTAGATGGCTAGGTCTGAAAGAGCCAAACTATACCGTGCATACCTATCTGTGTTCCTGGCTGGCGGCTATCTGGGACAAAATTGCAGACCACAAGCAGGATGCCAAGCAAAGCCCACGGAAATCCATACCGATTCCTGTGGTGCCTGCGGTGCCTGCGCTGCTCCTCTCAAGTAAGTCTACCCAGGTTGAATCATTAGACGAGCATTAGACTAGTTTCTGATCGGAAGGTTGCAAAACCAGCTGTAAAGTTCCCTCTAGCTGGTGCCATGCGTTGCTGGAAACTGCCTAGCTGGCTGAGGCTACATGTATTAGTTGACCCCAACTTTAGTTGTTGATTGGACACTTGAGGGCCGCTACTTATTCCACCAGCTTTGTTCCAAGCAGGCATGAGCCCCTTTGGGATGATGGCACTTACAGACATACCGAACGTCCGTGTATTGTTCAAGGACTTGAGCAATGTACACTTGGAGCGCTGCAAACACACTGTCCTCTGCACTTCCGCGATACGTTGGCACATAGATGGCATTTCCATAATTATAGCGGCAGTTCTGAGGCATATTCTCCACCAGCAACGTTCGCTCCCTGTGAAACTGGAGTGTTTCCTCGTCTTGATTGTACCACACTTTCCGAAGATCTTTGGAACCTCGGCAAAAACACTGGTTGGGATCGATGTAGCACTGACAAGCCCTACAATTATCTTTGTAGAATTCACACCAATGGCATTGATTCTTGGGGATAACGCCCCGGCTTATTTGCTGTTTCCTTTTGAGTATCTCACCGTAGCCGAGTGGCCGTTCTTGGCGCATTCGATCTCCTCCCCAGCAAAAGTCAAACGTCAACCTGCAACCATGTGGGCAATCATCATGGACTCCTCCGTTTCCAAGTCCTTCTTGTACAAGAGGACAGAGTTTTCTCAGCACTCGGTCTGCCCATGTCTTGTCACCAGCCGTCCAAAGTGCCAGACGGTGCCCTTGTTGCCGGCACCAAACCAGAAACTCTACGACGTGTGGTCGGATGCGAATGCCCGTCAGATGACGGCTTTCGCGAATCAATGTGCCATCTATATCCATGACGATTCCGAGTGGGTGATTATTGATGGTGCTGTCAAACTCGTCGTTGTTGTTGCAGAAAGGCATGTTGTCATTACTATTCTCCATCGTCCCATTGCTTGGATGTACCAGGTGTCGTACCTCATTGTGTGTGCAACAAAATGAGGTTCCAGTCGTGCATATTGTACTTGTACCGGTAGGTAGACTAATGTTGGGGTTGTCCTCGGCTCAAGCTGCATCTACCGATACGGATGGCTGTAGACTGCAGAAGATCCAGCAAAACGAGTAAGGCAGATCAAAGCCAGCTAGTATCCGATAAGGAAGAAGTCAGTATTACGTCGGTGGCAAGAAGTCCAATACGATTGAATGAATCGAATCTCTCGCAGGGTTACCAGTGTTTGGCTCACCGATGAATGGTCGGCGAATTGTGATCTAGACTAGTCTACTCTATGCATACTACTTTTGTCAGAACGCAGGCAACTCATTTTTTTTCAATTCAAAAAATAAAAAGGGTTTATTTTAATTGGAGTCGAGTCCCGCACAAACGACGCAGCGACGTCGCTGCGACGTCGCTGCGTCACTGCGTCGCGACGCTGCGTCGCTTTCGTGGGACTAAAATAGAATCGTGACTGCTCCCAATTCAAGTTGGAACCGAGTCGGAAGCAAAAGACACCGAGTGACGGTCGAGTCGGAAGCAAAAGACACGGTGGAGGCTGGGAAATGCAAACTGAACTAACTGGCTTATTACAGACAAGATCTTTGATGATGAAAGTTGGAAGACCGACAACCACAAAAACTGTCTCGATCTCTTGGCACCGAAGCAAGCTACCGGTATGATAGTAGCTAGCTAGTAGATGATTCATTCTAGCTAGTACCGCAGACAGACCTGGTCCAGGACTGAATACGGAGAAAGAGAATGTTTCGCTGCTGTCGTTTTTCTTCCGTTTTCTTTTTGTGGCTTTTGGTTGCTCCTTTCCTGGATTATCGGAACATCTTTAGCTCCGCGTTGTCCTCTACCCGTACCACTACTGGCACTGGTACAATCTCTGGTAAGGACGCGTATCTTGTGAACCCACCAAGTTCGCACAGTGCCATTCTCCGTCTGAGCTACGATGGATCTCGTTTTTATGGCTGGAGTGCTGCCAATGATAAAGATACCAATCTCAAGCGGGTGGCCGGGTCTTCCAGCTTACGTCGCAAACGCCGCAAAAGCAAGCTGCAGGCACCCGTGGGAAGAATACGATCCGTGCAAGGGGTATTACGTCAACAACTCGCCAAAGTCTACGGCAATGTCGATCCGGCACAAATCGTCGTAGAAGGATCTTCCAGAACTGACAAGGGAGTTCATGCCACGGGGGCCATTGCCATGTTCTATGGAATCAACTGCAACAACGATACACGTTCTACTACTATAGATAGTACAAGCGATCCTTATTTGCCATTACCCATGAAGGGAGACTTCAGTCGACTAGCCTTTGCTCTCAATCGAATGCTACCGCCTGATCTCAGAATTGCTGGGATTGCTCCGAAACCAAGCACTGACGCCAACATGATCTTTCATCCTTCCGTCTCGGCCTTTTCCAAGACATACATCTACACGTTTTCAATTGTTTCAAGAGGCACAATCCCTGATCCTACAACCAACAGATGGGTCTGGCACTGTCCTGCTCCTTCGGACCAGCAGTTTGATCTGGAACTGGCCCAACAAGCCTGTCGTCAATTCCAGAGGACACACAATTTTGCCTCTTTTCAAGGGGCTCCACGAGGGAAAACGGACAAGGAAAAACGACAAACGGCATCTCCCATTTGCACCCTTCATTCCATTTCCGTGCAACCACAAGACACCACCACCACAATACCGTTTCCATCGGCGCCAACGATTACCGTCACTGTCACGGGGGATCGATTCCTCTACAAAATGGTACGATTCCTAGTGGGTGCCATTGTCGACATTGGACTCCACAAGAAAACGTTGCAAGATCTAGAAAAAGCTTTGGAGGAACATGACTGTACATCCAATAACGAATTTACCACGTGTGCTCCAGCCCATGGACTGGTTCTGCAAAGTGTTCATTACAACAGCAGCAATCAGCATCCTGACGACGATTGTTTTGATTGGCAACCGCTGAGGAATTGAGTGGAGTTTGCGTGGGTTTGGGCCAATTGCTGTTTTGGGAAACCCATGGCTTTGCGGTACACGACACGATACGTCTTCTTGCCAACGGGGCCAATCGATCTCGACCCAATGCTTCCATCGCCGTCTCAAGAAGCTATCTCTAACCCTGAGTGCGTTGCGTCTCAAGGCAGTCTTGGACATTACGCTCGGCAATCACATTGTTGAGTTTGCTGTTGGCACTGACGTATACTTCAAATGGCTCAGGGATTGAATTCGTGTGTCCCTCTTGTCCGACATGAATATGATCGACTCGAACTTGACTTCCGATGCCACGCCGGCACAAGTGAACAGGATAGCGCAATGGAAGAATATCATCCTTAATGCTGCTCACGCAAGCGAAAAGGACCTGGGGCTTCGGGTTGAAGGGCCCGATAGGCCTTTTTGATTTCATCCAGAAGGTCACGCAGTTTGTCCATGATTTGCTTCTTGAGCTCTGCGCTCCTGGCGATCCGTCTCTCGAACGCCGGGAAGAACTCGTCTGGGTGATACCTCAACCGCAAAGCACGCAGGTACGCTCTTTGTGCCAACACTGACATCTCTTGATCGAGGGCCAAAATGTTGGAATCATCAGGGGATGGCCACTCGATATCTTCAAGCGAGTTGATCTTGCGTCTCGAGGACTTGAAGGTATTCCACGCTGAGTCTGCTTCGATGCGAATGCATCGATAAGAGGGGAGTGCCACATTGTGAGCCCGGAACTTTTGGGACAGCTTCTCCAAGCACGTCTGAGCAGGTTCGCAGAGGAATAGATGTTCCTTGGCCCTTGTAACGGCCACGCATAAGATGTTGGCTTCGTCGTCTTGGCAAACCTTGGATGTTGTTGAGTTTATGATCCGCCCAAAGTCGAAGTCATCAAAGACCAGCACACGAGAGAACTCGAGACCTTTCGCCTTGTGGACTGTAGATAAGACCACCCCAGGAAACTCATCGGGGTCACCCTCAAGCGGACAAAACGACCGTTGAATCGAAGAGATAAAGTCTCGTAAGCTCTTCCCTTGCCGCTTTAAAAACAAGAGCAAGTGAAAGGACTTATTCAAGTCTGAATCACCCTCATCGTCAAGGAAAGACTTGATTTCCTCAATACTTGAAAAGACCTCATCCTTGTACCTAAACCTATGGTCATCGTTTTGATAACTGTACTCGGGAGCCACTGCAAGGAAACACCGGTATTCCTCATCCTTGTACCAAAACGTATGGTCATCGTCTTGATAACCGTATTTGGGAGCCACTGCAAGAAAAGATTCCAGATCAAAAGTCCATTTTGGTGGATCGGGAACGGGGCGCCTGGACCCGTCAAGAAAACACCATCTGGTGGGCTCGTTGAAGAAAAGGTATCTGTACAAACCTTGGTTGGTCCGGCACAGAACCACGCCGCGATTACCAAATCCCTCGTCGTTGTGTACTTGACCGGCATGTAGAGCACGTCCAACGAGCTCTTCGCCGCCAACGACCTTTAGCACTAGAGAAGCCAACTTTGCGATGTTGCTGCCAAAGCGAAAGGATCCTGTCAAATTGTACTTGTGGGCAGTGAGTTGCCACATTTGATGAAATGAATCGGAGGCACCTCGGAATCGGTCGAGCTGCTGATAGCGATCTCCAAACAAGTAAATGGCCCTGCCTTGTCGGACCCCGGGATCGCCCCAAAACAGATCGGCTTGACAGGGCGTCAAATCTTGTGCTTCATCCACAAGCACAAACTGAAAACCACTAGTGACGTCACACTCCAACTGGCATACTTTCATGTAGCCATCATGGGATATGCCTTGAATTGGCGTTCCTAGGTCTCTGACAGAATGACATCTCTCTGTCACCACAGCAAAGAACTGGGCCGCCCATTCCTTGTATTTCGAAACGGGGATCTTGTTACGCCATTGGAATCTTTTGGACATGTTTGTATTGTGTTTGGCTCTCCAAAAAATGTGCTGATCATCTAGCAATGCATGGTCTGAAGCCTGAAACTTGTGCACGGTCTCGCGTACATACGATGCAACCGAGTTGACCTGTCGTTTGAATTTGCGGCTATTGGGGTCAGCATTGGGTAGAAACATCTTCATCTCCTCTTGCAACTTGACCACAGCTTTGATGTCATCCAAGGTACAATCCTCTTGTGGTTGGAAGCACATCATGTTGGTCCCAAAGTAATGCCTCAAGACAAAGGCATGGGTTGTTCTAATCTCCATATTCGTCTTGGGGAATTTGCCAGATTGCATTGCTTCAGTTTCGTTTTTCTTGCTGAAGACCAGGTAGAGTTTGTTGGAGCCTGGATATTTGGTTTCCAGATTCTGACATAGAAGGGCAATAGTTGTGGTCTTGCCACACCCGGCCAGAGCATTGACACAAACAGGATTGCCTCCGAATTGTGGCGTATGGGCCAGAATTTCTTGTTGCTGGGGGGTTGGCTGAGTTGCCTCTTCATTGCTTTCTTCCTGATGATCTTCTTTGGGATCTTGGAACACCAAAGCTGCGCCATTCTCGTTGCTTGCTTCTTCCCCTGGTGCCCTGTTCTGGGGCGGTCCGATGCCAACCTCGGCTGATCCTTCGTAAGTCAAACGACGCCTTGTCGAAGGACGCTCTTCGTCTGCAATGGCATCCGTACTAGCACGACGAAAGTCACTCATTATGGCTGTCATTCCTCGTCCTTCGTCTGCTTCACACCAGACATGTACCCATCCACAACTCTGTTTCTCGATACAATCACCAATGCGGATCCGAAGAGAGCAGCATTGGCAGTTTTGGCTCATTTCCGCTTTCCAACAACCGCATCGTCCCTGGTGCTGTCGTAGACGACACTGCCCACTGTCGGGAGTGACTGCTCGAGTTCTATAATTGGTGAGCATTTCCGTCTTCAAGCTGCGGCTATCTTATGAATGAAGCTTCAATGCGATTGTGCAATTGACTAAAGCAAAAGTACCGCAGAGGTTTTCGATGCCAAAGCCAAGACACAACAAACAAGCGTCTGTGTCCTACCGGTAGCTAGCTAATCCTGAAAGAAACGAATGGGTACTTTATCTGTACTAGTACTTCGTACCTCGTTCGTACTGCTTGAGCTTCAAAGGGCGGATCGTCTGAGAGTCTGAGAGTCCTCCAGATCCAGATCTAGTACGGTATGCTACCTGTTGGTACCTGGCTGGAAGGCTAGTCACGTGTTCTGGTAACCGGGGGATGGAGAAAATCAATGCCGTCCCATGCCCACTACTGCTTTCAGTCATGGAATAATTGCCAAGCACTTTGCCAACGACTGTTTCGAGAAACAGTGGTGGTTTTCAAAATGGCCTACAACTATCTTACCACTGTTTACCACAATCTTTATCACTAATTTTGCACTGTTTAACACATACTCGCTGACAGTGTAACTGTTTGCCACTGTCAACTGTCCTCCAAATTCTTGATCATGGTTTACCTTGCTTGGCACTGGATGACACTGGACTTCTCCATCCCCCTGCTACAGCCGTACAAGGTCAGTTGTTAAAGATCTTCGAGTCTTGCTTTTTACCCTTTCGTAAGCTCCTGCGTCATGGGCACACGAGTGCAATGAAGTGTGCAGCCTCTCGGCCACGAGCTAGCTATCACTATGGCCAGTAGTAACAATTAGGATCCTCTATCTCAAAGGCTTGCGAAGTGCTAATACTGGAACCTGGTAAGTTGCACAGCACAGCAAAAGAGGAGATGCAGTCTCCCGAAACATTTTTTTGTCTCAGAAAGCAAACTGAAGCGTCACGCGGACCATTTGAATCCGCCCCTGTGTTGGCAGTGTCCATTTGAACCGTCCAGAACGACAACGGCATCGTCCAAGAGCTGTACTGTACTCTTAGAGTGCTCAAGCCCATGGAGATTTGTCCGCGACGTCAACCTCGTTGTGAACCCTTCAGCTAGAGGAGCCGACGATGCAAACGGACAGCGTGAGACGTCACATGCACTTGGAAGACCCAACAGCGCAAGTGCCACATGGCATTGGTTGGATTAATTAAGATCCACAAGTTGGATTAGACTAGAAAAGAGTGACGAAATGTCAAAATTATTGGAAATAGCCACACAAAAGATTGGTGAGCACTCTCGTTTGATCCGCATCGGAAGTTAAGGAGAAGTATTTCTTTCGAATGTAGATCCATCCCACTTCTGAATGCCGATGTTCTCACAGACGAGGATCTTTCCAGGTGCTGGATACCCCTTCCTTCATGGAGGTCATGGAGGGATCAAATCCTTTGAGTTGTCCCACGATTTCATATTTGTTTTTCAGAGTAAACATCCATCCCGCCAGTGCGGCCCTCTCTCCCAGTGTCAATGGTTTTTGTGCTTCTTCCTCTGTCTCTTCTTCCGTCATGGTACGAGCCAGCAGCCGTGTGGCATCTCTTCCTGCAAACAAGTGATACTCTCCTCCCGATCCATAAAAGTTGCGTCCCTTATACACATTGAATACAAGGCCATCTGCCGCCATCAAGATGGGCCCGTCTTCGTCTTGTTCGCCGTTGTATGGTGCCAGTTCGGATTCTGTCCAGAATTCTTTGGGTTCAATGTACGCCTCTCGAGCTCGTTGCTCTTGATAGGCATTGTAGATGGCTTCTTGTTCTTCTCGCATTTTGCTGCGAGATCGATCATCGGCTCCATCGATATAGAGCCATCCGGCAAAGCCAGCGACCAAAACAGCCACTATCTCTGGGGCCGTGACAGACAGCTGAAGTGGTCTTCTAAGTTTACTAGTAGAACATGCACCTATACCGGTAGAAGAGTTGACTCTTTGGTCTCTGTGCACAGCCTCATTTCTAGTAGCTGAAAAAGGAGGAGGGTTCAGGAAAGCGTGGCATGGATAAGCCAGGAGAAGAACCCAGAGCAAGGGTCGACATGGGCTCCTCATGGTTGCGTCGCTGGCTGTCTTCTATTGCTTCAACAAGAGTCGAAATGGTGGGGGGTGACAATGGTCCCAAATCCGCAATGGCGCCAAATCGTTGACACCGATGACGTCAGTCAATTCAGTATCCACGAATGGTGGTAGAAAATAAAACAGCCAAGTGGCTGGCAAAGACGCGAAAGCCTCGACTGGCTGACCTCGAAGAAGATGGTGAAGGTCTAGTTCCTGCAATGGTACCAGTACCGTAATTGGTATTCTGCCTGAGTGAAAAACTTGCATCGGAGCAGGTATTTTTTTTCCAGATTTGTAGAACAGACGATTGGTCTGATGGGCCTGTGGATCAGGATGGAGGCAAGATACTGGTATCTACTGTTGTAGCATGGGAGATTGTTTCAAGAGTTGGTGAGGCGGTTGCTTGTTGGCATAGAAACATGGAAAAGCTGCAGCCATGCATGAAAGGGGGTTTAGAGTGGTACGGTAGGAAGTTTCCAATTCATTTTTGACGGTAAGAAAAGGAGAAAGGTATCATACATGTAGGATAATCTTTCCTCCTTGAGTATGGTAGAGCCTTGAACCTTGAGCCAGTGATGCTACATGTATTCATAGTATGTACACTACATCATTTTAACATACTACTTTTAAAACTACGGTATACATGTACTGTTGTACAGAATTCAAGTTATTCATGCTTTATTCAGATGTATTATTGCTGTCCTTTTACCATAAGTCCTTAGTCTCCGAATGAATCAGAAAGGGGAAGAGCTGAGTGACTCAGAGTCACTCAGCATGCAGCAACACTCAAGACAGACAACAACAAAAGACAAAGAGGAAGAGCACCCTCTGACATAAAACAAACCCACAAATTTAAGAAAGGGGAGCAAGCAAACTTAGTTTGTTGGTTGTGTGCTGTATCGGTACGGTTGCAGGATGTCGTCTGCATCTGCATCTATTACATCTCCTTATAGTGACTACCAACTTGAGGATGCCAAGTACATTCCCTTGGTGGTGATTGGGTGTATGGGGAGTTTTCTGTCCGTGTTTGGAAGCTGTGGCGTCATGTACATGTCTTGGCAAGACAAGGACTTTTCCAAGGACCTTCAGAGTCGGTTGCTGTTTGCCTTGAGTTTGTGTGAAGCTCTGTTTTCTCTGTCGACTTTTTGGAGTCCCTTTTTGACTCCTGCTTTTGTGGGAATGCCAGGATCCATTGGCACTTTCAGTAGTTGTTCCTTTATTGGATTTGCGTTCATGACTGGCAATCTCATGACGGCTTGCTACAGTGGCTCACTCAGTCTCTACTACTACTTGGTCGTACGACGCAACTGGAAAGACCATGACTTTGCCTCGTGGCGTTGGGAACCAATTCTACACGCAGTGGCGATTCTTCTTCCCCTTTTGATCACCACGGTGGCGGCTAGCACCCAATCCATCAATCCCATTGGCTTGCAAAGTCAACTGTGCCTCCTCATGGTCTGGCCTTGGCAATGTGAAGAAACTGATACCATCCCATGCACTCGATCCTCTCCCGAAATCGTGGGACTCCTCACGCTGGCCATGTTTGCCTATCAAGGATTCTTTACCATTCTGGGATTGATCTGTACCGTGCTCGTATGGAAAACTGTCCGACAGACTCTTCGCCGAAGTGTTCATCGAACCATGGATAGTCAACAAACTCAAGCCAGAATGAGACAAGTCAGAATACAAGCTACCCTCTACTCACTCGCACATCTCAATACATTTCTATGGCCGTTAATGTGCATGATCTTGAGCGCATCTTTACATCCAGCAGACGTCAAGGTGGCGATCCAGACACCGGGATTCTATACCCTCGTCTTTTTGACGTGGACATTGTTCCCATTACAAGGAGTCTTTAATTTTTTCATTTACACGCGAGTCAAGGCACGAGAATGGAGAATGCTACAACCAGAGCAATCCAGTTTCTGGGTATACCGGCAAGTTTTGAATGGAACCGAATTGCCACGAGGAGGAGGACGACGAAGCAGCAGCAACACTAGTCGAAACAACAAACGCAGTGTCAGTCGGCTATGTGGTTCCACCGAACCCATTTCCGCACCCTGGTCCACATCAGAGCACGCGATGATGCGCTCCAACAATAACCCACAACAGCACAATAATAAGAGTGAACACCATGATTTGTCCGAATGCAACCAATCCACGACGACAACAACACCGATTCCAGTATTGGATGCCTCTGTGAAAATGGAAGAACAATCGTCCGTAGATAGCACGGAACACGTGGTACTCTCCAACAGTGAACCCAATCCACAGAAGTGACCCGGAATTTGGATCAGGAACCCACCCAAGCACGACGACAACATTGGCACAACAATCGGACTGTTCATGACAGAGCAAGTCGTTCTCTGCTAGCCAAAGAGGAACCAACATGATGCCAAGTTCTTTTATGATTAAATTTGGCAGGAGAAGCAGCAAACCAACTTTTGCGATTGATTATTCTCGTCGTCGTCTGCTGACCAATCCAACAGTGGTGTTGTACGATGCATGATCGATGCAAATCTACAAGCCCGACGAGATTCAAGTAACAATCAGCATTGAGAGATGGCTGCATCGATGCATTTATTATTGTAAATGAGATCCTCTACGTACGGTTTCGGCTATAATAGCCCGTTTCGTGGCGTCGTGGAGTTCCATTGGGAATTTGTTTTGGTCAGAACAACCAAGCTATCTCTCGTCATAAACGAAACAATGGTTGGAACGCGTACTCGGCGGCGCTACCTCGTCTATTTCTCACTTTCCATCACCCGACGAACTGACAGTCCTACGGTAAAGATCAAAGAAGCAGCAGGGGAGTACATCATTGACGGGCTTGAAGAATTTCCTCCAGAGGGGAAAACCGTTTCCATTTGAGCAAGATCAATACTACCGTAGCTGCGGTGAGAAAGCATGTCTCGGAGGCAATGGCAATGCCACCGGAAGGCTTTCGATCCCAGGACTCTTACAATGTGGAACAAGAAAAGGTCTTTGCCAAAACATAGCAGGTTGTCGCCTTCACCGATTAGCTGCGGGAAGTGGGAGATGTCGTGTCCGCCAATGCGGGTGGCCAGCCCATCGTACTCACAAAGGCAATAGATGGAGAGATCCGTGCCTTTTTCAAAAACTGCCGACATCGTGGTGCGCGTGTGGTAAAGGAGGAACACGAATGAAGAAGAAATGCATTGCTTGTGCTTAGTAAGAACTGCTGTGTCGATCGATAAACCAAGGATCGAGGGAACCAAGCACGCTGCGTCGGGGTGGTTCCATCTTTACTTCCCGAACTTGTTCTTCTTTCTCTTGCCCCACAGTCTCTTTGTGGTCAATATCGAGCCCACGGGACCAGCTACCTCCATGGAGCACGTTCGACTGTTGAAGCACAAGGACAGCCCAGAGGAAACGGGCGAGGCAGCTGCAATCGTCGGAAGACTTCTCCATTTGGGAGGAATGCCAAAAGGGTGCCAACGTATACAGCGATTCATGGGAGGATTTTGGCGTGGACATTGGAAGAGAGCTTCAATCGCTTCCACAAACTGGCGGGCAACTGTATGGTGGGCCCTCACGATATCGACTCTTCTTGCTTAAGCCTGCCCCTCCCTACCGGTGGCTTCCGTAGATAATCCACCTACTAGTACTCTGGTAGTCTACCGGCTTCGCGGATATCCTGATAGAAACTTGCTGCCGACAATCCCGTGCAGTCTTGCATCATCGTGCGGCACGCACCCAGCTTCCAGCTCGAGCATGACCTGGATTCGCTTCCTCGATTCGTCGTAACTCGACCGGACACAACATGTACCCGACTCTACTGACTCTCGAAGTCGACTCTGTTTCAGTCAGGGCCGTTTTTCCCTGCAGAGAGCAGAGGATCGAAGGAGCATAAAAACAAAGATCAGCAAAAACAAAAAGCAAACAACAGCAAGCTCACATTGCAGCAGCCAGAAGCAACACCAAGACACACACACACAAGAACAGCACAACAACCAAAGATGCCCCTCCATGAATCCCTCACCAATTTCTCCATCCGCCGCTTCAGCGGGTACATCTGCCTCAAGCCCCAAGTGGGTGATGATGATAGCAAAGTCTACAACCTCAGCGCCATCAACACTGTCTGGAAGAAGTGGGCCATGGCACGCATCACACAGAAGAAGCCGCACGTCGGTATCACCAACACTGAGGAGTCTCTGAGCAGCATCGGCAGTGCCAAACATGAATTTTCCCAGGATCCAGTGGTGAAGGTCAATGGCGAGTTGAACTCTTCTCATCAAGATTTGAGTGATGAGGAGGTGATTGAGACATTGAAGTCTCTGTTCTGCACCCTGGCCAAGGCCCTCAAGCAGACCAAGACCAAGTTCAAGTTCTACGGATACACCGATAAGTTCTTGTGCCAATACAACATCTCCCACTCCAAGAAATCACTCCCTGAATCAAAAGAAGAGTTCCAATCTCAACCGAGCACCAAGAAGCCTGAATCAGAACAAGGCACCAAGAAAGTTCAAACACAGTCAAGCACGCCCAAGCTGCAGCACCGTGAAAACCTACAAGAACTCAATGCAGAGCCAGGACCAACACCAAGGCAGCAAGGCCCCAAGGAAGTGGGGGTTGACGGTCCTCAAGACTCGGTGGATGACCGAACTGAGGTTGAATGTTAGTGGGGGCTGGCTTGGCAGAATCCATATCATGAACAAACTTACACACAAGAACCTTAGAATAGGCTGTAACACCAAAGAATAAAAGGTACATGTAGACGTTCGTGCTAACTACTCCGACTGGCCAACTGGACACATTATCGTCCCTTGGGCAGTGTCGGATTGAAGGATTCGATTGTTCATGTTGCGCTCTATATAGTAGCCAGATAGAAGCACGAAAGATGTGTCTGGCGGCAGCAAATGTCTGCTTCAGCTAGAAATCGAACAACGATCCTGTCATAGCTAGAAGTTCGTGTCTAAGTATTAAACCGGTGGCTACGAATACTCTGATCTAGCTGTTTATGCCATCCCCAACAGGTGTTCCAGAAAGGCGCGAACTCGTATCATGTACACAATCGGTTCCAAATTTGATGAGGCAATATCCACCAGACGAGTGGGAAGAGCATTCAGCATGGCGGCAGCTAGCCAAGCTGGCATGGCTCCAACTCTTGAAGTCACATAACGAGGTTTGGGGTACTTTCCAAAAATGGCATCATCAATACTATCACACGTCTCCTCCATCCTTCCTGTAGTTGTGGCCACCTCGGTGAACATGCTCATGTATGATGCACCCACAACATGAAGATATATTTCCATTGCCCCCAGCGTTGCGTTTTGGTCACTCTTTGGCATTGCTTTTTCCTGCATCACTTTTACATCCTCCAGAATGTTGCTTTCCAACCATCCAGGTGCAATCAAACTCACAGAGACATCATGGGGTGCCACTTCCACTCGCAGGACATCAAACATGACCTCAAGTGCATGCTTGGAGCTTTGGTAGGCTGTCATTAATGGTGTCCCTTGCACCAAACCGGAGATGGAACTCACTGCGACAATTCGACCCTTGCTTTCCCGGAGTGCTGGCAATGCTGCCTGTGTAAGTTGATAGGTTCCCACTACATTTACTTCCAGGACTTTCCTCAGCCTTTCCGCACCTAGGAATTCAAAGGTGTTCATATCATAAAGCCCAGCATTGTTGACAACGGCAATCAAAGGCTGTTGGGCTTGTTCAATTTGTTGAAGGACTGCATCCACATGCTCTTGATTGGTAATGTCCAGAGTAACTTGCTTCACATTTGGCAAGTCAAAGGGAGATCCTTGTATCTCCCTGCGAACGCCGCAGTAGACAGTGATCTGTGGATGCTGCTCTGCTAACCACCCGCAAGTGGCACGCCCAATTCCAGATGATGTACCAGAGATCAAAATGGCACCGTCACTGTGAACTGGAAACTCTTTACGCACCACAGTGTAGTGAACCAAGAAAATCAGGAATGCAAGAGCAAAACCCAAAGTCTTCATCATGGTGGTAAGATGAAAGTTGTACATGCTAGTTAGGATAATCAAAAGACAAATAATGAACTGACTTGGCCGAGACCACGCCAAGCGCCAAGCTCATCCTTCCCACTTCCCACCACTGTCATCCACTCACAGTGCCGTCATCGAATTCTATTTCGGAACAGACTGAGACTGGATTCACACCGGTCCTCACGTCCTTCGAGACAAAAAGGCCTTTTAGGCTACCACCGGTACCCAAAGCTTTAATGATCGTGTCCCAACATACACTATGTGCTGTATTCGATCTTCATTCATTCACGACTTCAAGACCGACCGCCACCAAAAGTGCACACACACCCAGCGGATCTCGAGGTGGGGGGATGTAAGATTGCCTCGTACCAGACAGTACCGCTACGTGGACGCTAGAATTGGCTTTGGTGGGATTGATCTCTCTTCTTCGCCAGAGTGACGGCGAGACGTAACCAGCGACGGTGTGCAAACCTGCCATTCTGCTGAATTGATTTGATGTGCAAAACGGGCTCTGGCAAATACTACCAGGAAGCTAGATTAGCAAGGAGTGCGTAAAGTTTTGGATACCGGTAGCTGTCGTGATGAAGCGCAACAGGAAGTGAGTTGATCCCGAGACATTCCTTTTCTTGTCCGAAGTCCGAAAGCGCGAGCTGTATTAGTACAGTAGGACTTCTTAAAGTACCGGTACCGTTAGAACCTAAACCCAGACTCACCGCCATGCCCAACATGGATTTTCACTTCAATAGCTCGCTGGCTTAACTCAACAGCCTGGCTGGATTGAATCATTCGATTCTCCAAGATGAGAGGGAGAGGGACAATCCCTCGATGGATATGTTTGTGATGACAGTGATGACAATAAGAATGATGCCTGCTATGGTTTCCTTGTGATCTGACTATTGCTATGTACATGTATACCAGTACTGGTACTGGAACTCTTCAAATCCTCAGCAAATTTTCTTCTTGTGGGGTTGACATTGGTCGTCCTTCTTCTATCTATTGACTTCATCTATACTGTACCGGTACCGGTACCGGTAGAACCCATGCCAATAAAGATGGTACTAGTATCAGTTCAACTTCAAAACAAAAACCAGCATCTCGAGATCTCGAAGCGGCAATTGTAGAGGCACTGATCGCGAAATCAGCATCCCTAGATTTGGAGATCTTTTCTGAAAAAGCCATTGGTCAAGATGGAGCCATCATGACGGCGTCTTTGGCTGCCTTGGCGTGGATTGTGAGCCCCAAGCACATGCAAATGCACATGGTACTGCCAGCACAAGTGTTGATGATGCTGCTGGGTTGTATCATTGACAATACTGCAGCTACTAGTGCATGTAAGGACGAGGCACTGTCAGAGAAGGCATGCAGTGGCCTATTGGCCAACCTTCAAATCCAAGAAAGCCAGGCACAACGATTGTTGGGGTATCTTCAGCTTTTGGGGGTCTTGGTACTTGTGCAACAAGATAACGACCAAGGCAAGTCCTGCCATCCATTCTTCCAACTCAGTTATGGTGTCTCATTGCGAGACCAAACGTCTTCGCCTCCCAACAGCAGTCCTTGGATCATGGAATTCCTGCGTCGGCTCGAGGAGAATCTGGAACAGACAATATTGCACAACAAAAAGAGTCATGATGCCCTGTCCTTGTTTTATTGGCGTCACCTGCCGGGGCTCATTATTCGCTTGGGAGGATACAAGTCATGCCACCGCCTTCTACACGACAACCTAGACTATGCCCGTGCTCGACTGCACCACTTGGGGCTGGAAGCTACCGTGAAAGCCTACGTGGTCGAGTGGCAATGCTTGCAACACAGCATGCAAGTGGCATTAGTGTCGCTGCCTCCGCCACCAGCAACGACCAAAACATGGCTCTGCGAGCAAGTGTTGTCCATGGCGGCAAATCATCTAGCTTTGCCGAAACAACAAATCACCACAAAACAACCACAACCACAACCACAACCACAACCACAAGAGATTGCCAAGGCGTGCTTCACCTTGGCCACGTTCACTCCAGAGGGTAACAACAATCAGCCGTTGGCCACAACGCTACAACTCTTGCAGCTTGGACGTCTCCTCCAATTGACTGTGCTGGATGGACACTGTCGTCGAGTTGCCAAGGCTATCCACAACCTGGGAATTACCCGGCACGTTCGATCATCATCCAAAAAACAAAAGGGAGGAATGGAAACGGCCCATGAAACGGCCCAAGCTGAAACGGTCACTTGTACAGCCGAGCCAAAGCCGCTGTCCAAACAGTGCTTTGATCTCTCGGCACACCTCTTGCAGGACTTGTAAAAGATTGCTTGCCGTCACAACCACAACAACCACCAGAGTCCTGACATGGACAAGCTCATGGACAAAACTACTACTACCATTGTGGAACAAGTGGCAACCTCCGTCTGCCGGGCTCTCCTTCCAGTCCAATTGTGCTTGCAAGATTTGCTGCCGCGCATGGGTAATGGAGTCCAGGATGCTAGCACTCCAAGAAACGACGGGGTCCAATTCCGTGTTGGGTGTGTTCTTGATCAGCTCCATCAAGCACAGACAGATTTGCAACTATTTGCCCAATTTCAAATTGCTCTCTGCCGTAATCCATGCTCCATGGTAGTTGTGGAAGCTACCAATGAGTTCTTGGGAGCGCTGGAGGCATTGGAAATTAATGGAATTGGGCTTGGCAGAGAAGCCTCTGACCATTATGCTTGAAGCGACTCTGTAACAAGCTAGACCTCCATACATCACATTGGGATACAGTTCTGGCTTTCCCTTCATATCATCTTCCCCTCTTTCTTCGACACATCCAAATCCACTACACGGGAAACAACCCTTACATATGGAGTGGGGCCTCCAACAACACGAGTAGCCCACATGAGCTGTACGTTGCCTTGGGAGCCCAGGCTGCTGCCTGGAAGATTGATAGAGAGCATGGACATCTGATCAGGAAGGCAGAGGCAAGCTGAGTCGTACCATGGATGATTGGTGCTACCTCTATTTGGCCCCTTGCATTTTTGGCTTCGGGTTGCTCAAGAATCCAAAGCGGGCGGGTGTCTCAATGAGGTTTGCCTGTCTTCGTAGTGGCCTCCTCTTGGTGATCAGGAGGTAGAGATATAGCTCATCGCAACCCTGATCGGGAGCACTAGTAGCCACAGGCGCCGCCCAGGTGATATGAATGAGTCTGTTGATCTCTAGCTGTCCGGCCAGCGACCGGTGCGTTGGTACTGTCGAGTGGAGGTCAACTGCTGGTCTCTAGCTAGCTACTGGTAGGTTTCTAGCTGTCTAGCGACTGGTGCGTTGATGCAGTCAAGCGGAGGTCAAAAACTGTTACTGTTACAGTTATCTTCACAAGGTGGAGGATTCTATAGCTCTAGCTGCCGTGGCCGTCAAGAGGAGGTGTTCCTCTATGGAGGAAATCAATGCTGGGCAAGGGAAGGGAAGCGGAAAAGGTTCTAGATACAGAGAAAGAACTTGCGGACAGTCCTCCAAACCACCGGAAGGTGGTTTGCTTGTTCTGCCTGAACTCTACAAGAGCTGACAGTGTGGTTGCTGTTTTCCACCAGCACACTATTGGAGTCGTCGTCTTCTTCCTTTTCTTCTTCGTCTTCATCGTCGAAAAAGTTTTGGTATTCCGGAAGCATGGGAGATTGACTGTATATTTCTAGCGCAGTTTGTTGATCGTTGATTCCTAGTTGTCGTGCTCTATCGCCACTGCCACAGGCGGAACTGCTGTTGGCAGTGTAGTCTGCCAATGCGGTGGGACAGCTGCGTTCCAGGACTTGTTGGAAATGCAGAACATTGTCGCTATGCGTGAGACGCATGTGTTTGCGTGGATATCGTTGGAGGACATACTCGAATCCACGCCATGTCCACTGATGGTCTTCGGGATAATCCTCTTGTGGGCAATAATCGTGACCGCATTGCGCCATTCGTCTCTTCATTTCTCGCATGATGGAAAAGCTACCCTCCTTGATGGCAGCGTATTCTTGGTGATTGTACCAAGATTGACGGATGGTCTCTTCGTCGCATTCCTTGTCGTAAAAGTGAATCTGAACTTTCACACTATTGCTGCTGTCGCTTTCTGCAAAGCTCACCTTTCTCGAAGAAGGACAACGACTGGAAGATTTCTTTTTTAACGTGACAGCATTACTATTGTGTTCCGTCACGCGAAGCATTGGCTCCACTTCCAATTCCAGTCCCATCGGCGGAACCATCAAAATGGGGGTAGCTTGACTTTCGATAATCTTGCCCATGGTTGCTGCTGGTACTGGCTGGCAAGCTAGATAATAGTATAGAAATAAATTGTTGTTTGAAATTGTTCTTGTGTCTTTTTGTGAGATAGGTACCAGATGGAGTTGTCTGGAGGCAGTCTTGGTAACTGTAGCCGTGCACCTTGGTTGGCTCAATCTTGCTTTGGTTGCTCTTGCACTGATTTTATGAGCTTCATGCTTCCATCCCTGGTCCAGTCATGGCTTCCTTCCCTCCAAGCGAACATTCCCGGGTTGTTACAGTAACAAACCATGCAGGGTTCGTAATCCCACCAACAATCGTATCGTTGACGTACTGTTACCACCTACGGTATGCACATGCAAGATGCAAGGACCAGTCACCGAAAACTTACTGAAATCTGGTCGCTTACTATGGCCAGTGAGACATCACCAGTCATCAAAATTGTTGGTTAGTTCAGATACCGAAATAGAAGATATATCCGAAAATATAGTGTTTATCAACACCAATTCCAACAAGTAATCGGAATAATAGGTTCCATTATATTCCAAACTGGTTCCGCATTTCAATCCCAATTGCGTCGACCTAAAATGTCGGGTCACAAGTCACAACGCAAGTGTGAAGGTCCGGTAGACTAACCAAGCAACGAGTGGAGTGGACCAGTGATGCCGGTTCCCTCGAGCTTTTCGGGAACGTGTCAGGATGCTCGGGGAAACTCGAGCGTGACACAAAAGAGATCCATGGGTGTGGAACGGGTCGAGCCAGCATCGCAAGTCTGCGGCCAAAAAAGAGAAGCGATCGTGGCGTTCGGATTTTTCGAAGCGGCGGCAGTAACAGTACTTGCACAGCAGCTCTAATGGTTTAAGCTTTCTCTATGTGCACACAGGACTTCTAGCTGCTTTGATGGTTTAATCTTTCACGAAGGCGTCCACAACCACAAGCTCCAATCCTTACTGTACTGTACGATATCTAAAAGGCAACCATGGACGACAAGAAGAGCCCTCTGTACATTGATCCATTCCGGTATCCCAGTGACGATGATATTGACAAGAAACTGAAGCTCTGGGAGAAGGAGGAAGGAGAGGCTTGCCAGTCGTCCGCTGTGAAATGGTTGAACTGCATTAGATTTGTCAAGGTACGTGAATCGGTACGGTATGATTCCGGTAGCCCAAATAAATGATGTTTGGCATGGTAACAGTGAGGCGAACGGTGAATGGTCCAATAACAATGGTGCTGTGATAATGATTTTACGTTTTTTGTATTGACTAAAGAGTTTTTGTTTGTTTGGAAACAGCAATACTATAGGTTGGAGGGTCGTGACCTGAAGGACGGAATGCAGTGGCAGCAGTACATGCTCCGAAAATGCTACGTTCCCTACACGGATTACAAAGGATGTGTCCTGGATGAAAGACATGCGGAAATGGAACGGCTCAAGGCGCAATATGGACCCGAAAAATGGGAAAATAGTCAAGATTTAGTCAAGGCAACCTTGGCAGAAAAGTACGGAACGGATGTCGCACATCAGCTGGTCAATTACAGCCAGGATTATCGGGAACGATTCTACGCCATGCGCAAAATTGTCGATGAGGAAATGGGCGTCATTCGAAATGGAATGGCCGCACCTGATATACCCACCTCCAAGCCAGATCTACCAATAATGCAAGAAACCAAACCAGCAGCACCCACCATCGCATTACCCAAGCCGACCACCACAGCAGACAATCAGCAGAAGAGTAGTAGTTCCAGCTTTGGATTCAAGGGATGGTGGTCCCAGCCAGAATCGAGATTCAAAAAGCCCAGCAATGATACTGGTACTAGTGAATGAATAGACAATCAACAATAGATCTTTCGGTAAATTTGCGTAAGCTACCGTAGCTAGCTAGGTATCCTTAGTTTTTCGAGGCTCATGGCATGGCATGACATTCCTTTAGCTTTTGTACCCGTAGTGTGAGCCCGCAGCAATTGCAACAAAAATGAACTTTGTCCTTTTGGACAGGAAGATAACTATATAAAGGTAGTTGAGGTAATTATAGGGGTTAAGTTATTGTACTCCAACATTTGTTTCAGAAGTGGTTTACCGCATCTACCTCAACTCCAAAAGCTGCTTTGACGGTGGAAGTCATTGAATTTCGGTTCATTGAATTTCGGTCAGCAGCAGATTGTCAAATAGACACACGTTCGTCGTTGCTGATCGCTGCCACCAGGCACTAAAACAAGAAGCATCTTTCACCTCAGTCTCTCTCCATCTGCCAAGCTCCTTGTTACTATCAGCCACCCGTCAGCACAAGCTTACTAGTAGGACAGGAGGAGGCACAGGTCAAAGATAAGATGGAGAAAGCACCCGTCCAGATCGGACAGTTCATCCTGGCCAAGAACCTGGGTATCGGGGCTTTTGGAAAGGTCAAGCTTGCTACCCATGCCGTGACCGGACATAAAGTAGCTGTGAAGATCCTCAATAAGGCAAAAATCAAACAGCTGGGGATGGAAGAGAAAGTCCAACGAGAAATTAACATCTTACACCTGTGTACCCATCCTCACATTATTCGCTTGTACGAAGTTGTCGATACCCCTACAGATATCTTCTTGGTTAATGAATATGTCTCGGGAGGGGAGCTATTCGATTACATTGTATCCAAGGGACGTCTATCCGCCGATGAGGCCAGGAATTTCTTCCATCAAATCATTTCGGGAGTCGAGTACTGCCATTTCCAAAAGATTGTTCATCGCGATTTAAAGCCCGAGAATCTTTTGCTCGATGCCAATTTGAATATTAAGATTGCTGATTTTGGGCTCTCCAACTTGATGAGAGACGGAGATTTCCTCAGGACATCTTGTGGTTCTCCCAACTACGCCGCACCGGAAGTTATCAGTGGTCATCTCTATGCTGGGCCTGAAGTGGATGTATGGTCTTGTGGAGTCATCCTCTATGCATTGCTTTGTGGTTCACTTCCCTTTGACGATGAGTCCATTCCAAATTTATTCAAGAAAATCAAGAGCGGAATGTACAGCCTACCAACTCACTTGTCACAATTGGCCAAAAACCTTATCCCACGCACTCTGGAAGTCGACCCGATGAAGAGGATCACCATTCCGGAGATTCGATTGCATCCGTGGTTTCAGCACAAACTGCCTCCTTATCTACGACACCCACCAGAGCTTATGGAAAAACAAGAACGAGTAGTTGATCGGGAAGTCATTGATGAAGTCATGAAACTACCTTTTCACAAGGCCTACGGGAACGTTCACACCAATGGCGACCATTTGATGAATGGTGTCATGTGTATTCCCCAGCACCAGTTTCCACAAGGCATTATCACCCGTGAACTCGTCGAGCAAGCTGCTGCTTTGGAAGACAATCGAGACTCGGACACCCCAAAGGTCTTGAGGGATCTTCGTTGTGCCTATGAGCTCATCCTCGACCATAAGCACACCAGATTGCGTGTGATGGAGGTCGCCAGAGCTATCAAGGAAGCGGCCAGTGCTACTCCGCCTGCGTTCAGCCTGGGTGGTTCCAGAGGAACAACCCCTGGAGGAAGCCATTATGGCGGGAATAGGTACGATGGAAAACAGTACGGCAATACTTCCCCCGGTGCTGCTGCTCATGCAGGATCTCCATCAAGTCAAGCTAGATTGGCAGAAGAAGCGGCCAGAGCTCTCATGAATCCAGGGGTCAGGCATCAGTCCCAGTATCAAACTCCTAGTCAACAGTCACCGAGTCCTGTTGGAGTGGGAGGGCCTCCCGTGGTGCAAATGACTTCATCGATTCCGGGGAACACTGGCATGATTGCCCAGCATCAACACGGGCGACGAACACGTAGGTGGTACCTGGGTATTCAAAGTAAGAAGGACCCCGGACACGTTATGAATGAAGTGTACAAGGCGCTCATGGCGTTGGGGTGTGAATGGTTGCAGTTGTCACCTTACCGAATCAAGTGTAAGTGGAGGCCGAATGTGTCTCGAGGAGGTTTCCGAGCGGCGGAAGGTTCGTTTGGTATAGTCCCGTCCGCTGGAGGGGAAACACCACAGGGTGCTTGGAACAAAGCTGATGGCGAGGCGATGGATGTTGATGCGAAAGAAAGGAAGGATTTGCAATCTAGGATGAAAATCATCTCGGGAGATGATGGACATCTTGCTAGGGTCCCAAACCTTTCTATGCACGACTATTCGATCAAGATTGGACTCAGTTTGTACAAGGTGCAGCAGAACATCTACCTTCTTGATTTCCAAAAAGCATCTGGCGATGCCTTTTCGTTCATGACACTGTGTGCCAACATCATCACAGAGTTGAAGACCCTGAGCGCCGCAAGCAAACAGGCGCAGCAGCAAGCTGCAGCAGCCGCTGCTCAGCAGCAATTCCAAAGCATGTCAAAGTGATTCTTGTTGGCTACATAGTAGGTTTCCAGTGCTGTAAACTAAAGGCGGAAACCAAATCGTTAACGCAAGTGTCCATAGTAGCAATAGTACGGTGTTCGAACAAACCATTTGTGGAAAGATCACTGCGCAAAGTTGTGCTGGCTAGCTAGTTTTGAATCGATCGCTCCTACTCTCTTCCCCCCTTCATCCGGGAAACATCACGTCCATGCTAAATCCAACAGTTTTTTTTAACAATTAACCAAATAATTTTCGAGCACCGCCATAGCACGAGCACTATTTAAAATAGCACGAGCTAGTTACTGAAGCGATTTCCTATGGGCCTCCTACTCTCTTTTTCCCGACCCTGCCTGAAGGAAACATCTCGTCTTCTGATTTTTCGGGAGGGCCAAGACTTGGAAATCCTTCCTCGTCCTCATTGTTGCCAAGAATTCTATCATTGCATCGGCGACCATCACAAACGTATGCCAGGTGAACATCGGCGCCCATGTCTTGGTAGGTTGCAGTGTCCCAATTGTTGGAAATGATCAGAGTTCGCGGAATGTCAAGCTGATTGAAGGGATCCGAAGATGCCCCCCATCCCGTGCCCATAAAAATCGGTTCCTCCACAATCCAGGCTCCATCCACACCAGCGGCTCGGACAGCCCTACTGGTGGCTCCTGTTCCATCGCTACTGGATAAAGCCACTGTGACAACGTTGGGATCTTCGGTAGATGTGACTTCCACGTTGACTTGTGCGACCGAGGGAAAGTTGTGACTGTGAGCATCTCCTGTGAATAAAATGTAGAATTCCTCCGCTGGCTCGTCTTCCATGCTTTCGACGGGTTCCAACACGGGAGGTCCATCCACGAGGAGCAACGCCGCACGTTGCGCTCCGGATCCTGCCGTGCCCTTGCTGCCACACCCACCACACGTGTCGACCGCCACCGCGGCCCTTCCTTTGGCGGCACTGTAGGCGACACGGCTGGAGTATCCACCCGTATCGCCACTCTTGCGCCACGTGCCCACACCACCCGAGGAATAACCCTCAAAGCCTCCGGATGTGATGAATTCGTTGTTTGGATTGGGGAGAGGACACAAGAGACCTTCGCACCAATTCGAGACACATGTGCACGCCGCAGTGGCAGCATTCTCCAAAGAATGAGCAATGGCAAGGGCGTCGTAGAGTTTCGTGATTTCGTCGGAAGCAGGTGGGAGACCTCCAAACACACTTTCGTCAATGGGAGTTGGCATGCCAGCGTCGACGTAAAGGGCCGCGAGCAAATATTTGGACACGTCTTCGAGTGTGGAGCGCAGCGCCCCATTGCCTTGCAGAGTCTCGTAGGCACCGAGACGAATCGTCTCTTGACCGCGTGCGAGTCCACGGGAGCAACCCACCGCGGCCTGTCAAAATCAAAAAGTGGATGGATACATGATGGATACATGGGTGGATACATTGCGAGTTAGATTATGCATGGCGAGAAACGGCTGCAGAAGACGAGAGATCATGCTTACATTGTCCCATCCTGGTTCATCGTACGTGACAGAAGTATCAAACATTTCGAGGGGAACCAGAATCTTTTCCTTGATGATATCTTCATAGTCTGGTGGGTTTTCCGAGTCGACTGCAAGGGTCAAGACATAGCCCAGAGTTCCATAGGCATAGTTACTGTAGGAGTATCGGCCACGCGTGGGGAGTCCATTCAACTTCAACAGGGATGCACACAACCTGTCCTCAGTATACCCAGCGAATGGGTTTCCACCCACGGAAGGACCGCGATCGGGAGGTTGCGCAGGGAATCCCGACTGATGCTGAATGATTTCCAAAAGAGTGACGGATGCCACCTGGCTGTTTGCCTCGGTCCAATTGCACGGCAAAAAGTCACCAATGGCCGAGTCGAGAGTGACGACCCCCTCTGCTTCCAAGATGAGTGTGGCCACGGCAGTGAAGGGTTTGGTAATACTGGCAATCTCCCAAGTATCTTGGGGGCCCCAGGGAGCCTCTCGCTCACCCGGTCCGGCATTGTAAAACCTCGTCTCGGCTCCGTCGGGACCATTCAAATCGACAACGGCAGCACCAAACCCACAGCCTTCGCAGATGCCAGTTTCAGGAGAACAGTCGCCTAAAATAAGTGAAAGGGCATCAGAGAAAAATGAGAAGAGCCGTGGTGTGAGTCTACGAAGTTGTTGTAGAACGAATGATTGAATCTCTCCTCTGCGCAACGACGTACCAATGGTGGTCCAGGCATCCACGAGTTCACGCTCCCATTCTTCACTATCACCATAGACGCCAGTGGCAAGGCCAGGCAGCACGCTTAGAAACAGCGCCAACTTCATCGCTGAAAGCAACTTGACTTGATCAAATAGCTTTTTCTTTCGGCCAAGCAAAGCAAAACTATGATCAGGGGAAAATGTGGGGATCTTCTCAAAACTTTCCAAAGATATCAGACGTCTTGAAGCCAAGAAAGATCTTTCTCGCCGGTACAATTAGACTATTGTGCAGGATTGACAGGCCTCTCCACCGGGACGCTTGACACTCCCCGTTTGTGACCGCTCAATTGATCCTCATCATTAATCCATCAGCCAAAACTAGTCCATCGGTACCGGTATCTCAGAAAGTGTCACTCTGAAAAGCTTCAAGGTTTCAAGGGCTTTCTGCTCAGAACACTGCGTAGCCAACGACGCACCTACGAGAAGAGAAGGGAAGATTTTTAAAAAAGGAAAATAGATGCCAATTAATACGGTACCACCAGAAAAAGAGTTCTCTTCGTGTCTTAACACAGTTAACACCGTACCATCGTGATATATATATAATATGAATATATATTGCTCATACATAATGGCCTGGAATGGCATTAAATGGAGCTTCCTGCTTCTTCGTGGCTTAAATCGTCGCCTTCAAAGGCGATTTAAGGGGCCCTTGGCTTCCCTTCTCTTGATGCTGCCTCCGTGCCTCTGTGTGATGTGTGATGTTCAGCATGACTACATGTCACTGTAGTTACCGGTAGGAGTTGGAGTACAGGTGAGAGACCCTCAAACGCACGCGATGTAATACATGTAATACGTACAATGCGTATTCTACGTATTCCCGTATAATACGTATACCACGTATTACACGTATTACACGGTCGCCAGCCAGCCACCGTGACCGTTCGAGTGACCGTTCGCAAAATGGCTTCAACACCAATCTCCACCAATCTCCACCACAAAGAACCACCATGACAACAACCTCTCTTCTCTTGTTTGTTTGAAGGATACAGAGGTTTCTGTTGTTATTTGAAGATAGTACCATCATTGTGGGTAAGTAGGCAATGTGGTATGGCTTTGTTGAAGCCAAGAAGACTGTTTCTGTGGAAAGATAGAAGGATTTCTCTCCATTCAACTCCTTCTTCATTCTCCTGCCCCCACTCTCTTTATCAGGCTTTGTCAAGCTCACAGGACCATTCTCTTTGCATTCATATACTTCTGAAGGCTCACTGACGAAGCCTGTGGAAGATCTGGCCTTGAATTCTACCATTGTCAACCACTTTCTGTAGGGACCAGTACTGAACCCATGTAAGTACCTCAGTCAGCGCGCAACACGTGTTATACATGTTACGCGTGTTATACATGTTACGCGTGTAACACGTGTTATGCATGTAATGTGTATTATATGTATCACCCGTGTTATACGTGTAACAGGTGTAACATGTATTATGCATATCACCCGTGTTATACGTATCACCAGTGATTCAGGATCAATGTTCTGAGGTGTGGCTCCCCTATGTGATTGTCTGATTCGAAGAAGGCCGGAGTCATATGAGGCAAATAGGACAACGAACGATTTTGTTGGGTCGGATTGCAATCGGGCAAGTAGCCTGTCTGCAGCTGTCGTCCCCTGATGGGGTACTTGAGAGATGGTACCGTCTGGCTTCACCAAAGACAAGACAACTCCTTGATGCAAACTCTTCCTTAGAGATTCGATTTGTTTCGAAGTTAGAGATGAGCCTGTCCGTTCATAAAGTAAAGTCTTAACAACACTTGCGAGAGTGGTTCTTTAGCATTGTTCCGCTAGTGTAAAGGCTTCTGTGCCAATATGAGTACTTAACACTTTCACTTTTGCCTCTTCTAGTTGTACATGGCCACGATGAAGCTTTGTTGCCTTCTGGAACTTGGGTAGATACCATCGTCTGTGTCCTGGCTATATAGAACATTGAAGAGAATGGACATTTGACACCCTCCCCCTCAACAGGAGCTGAGTCTGGGTGGTTTTGTTGCTGTCCTTTTGGGACCTTTTTTTGTAAAAACGACTCCTTGACAACATATGGTAATGTGATTCCGCCTCTTATCAAATCCCTCTGTTTTTGATGCGGAATCCAACAGTCTTGCAAGGAAGTAAAAAGTATGGCATAAAAACTTCTTTAATATGCACCGGATCACAAGATTGATAAATCGAAGGTAGCCAATACAACGTCGATTTCTCCATTCGATAATTATCGAACCCCAAGAGTATCCATAATGTTTATCTCCTTTGGCGTATCATCAGCTAGTGAGGTTGCTACATTCACAATGATGAAGCAGGAGTCCATTCTTCATCATTGATATTGTATCTAGCAACATGAGAGAGTTCAGATAGGTAAGAGTCCATTTTACTGATAAGCTGTCAGGTATTATGGCCTGCAACAGTGCATCTTCCTCTCTGCCTCCCAAACACCTGGCAAAACACCTTGCTAAGAAAACACCTGGCAAAAAAACTTAGCAAAAATTCGTCGCTGTGTATTATACGTAAAATACGTATAACACATCATACATGTAATACGTCAAATACGTACAACACATAATACATGTAATACGTATAATATTGTTCCACTTGTGTTATCTGTGTTATACGTATAACTTGTTTAATACATATTAAAAATGTTATATGTGTAATACGTATGATCTGTAGAATACATAGTGAAAATGTTATACGTATAATACAACCGCGTGCGTTTCAGGGGCTCTCATCATGCAAGCGCACGTACCGGTACATGTACAGCTCTTGTACCTTGCACTGAAAGATGAGACACAACCTCTCATGAAACTCTCACCAGAGTACAGTACGGTACCAGTTACAAGCTCCGCGGTCTACGACGGTCGGTATGGTTGGGAGGTTGGGACACGGCAAATAAATGAGGTCCACCGTACTTTTGTACTTTCTGGCTGGCTAGCCAGTAGAAAGTCCTACCATGACATGTCCCGGTGAGGGCTTGCTTTCACATGCGAAGCTGGATGTTCCAGGCCCGGCCGCGGTCTCACACTCTCGATGGCTTTCCGATCCGATTAGCCGATTAGCGCCACAGTAATAGAGATTCGAAGGTTGAGGTGAAGGAGTATGTAGTTTTTGGTGATGATAGAAGCTTGATGGATTGACGTGAGAGTGCTATTCTGAAAGGACTTACTTGCATCCAGACGGGCCAGCAGAACTCCGTGAGTTGTTTGGCTCGAGTAACAGGCCCTATCTACGATACCGGTACGGTAGGCTTGCAGGAAGGTACATGGAGACCTTGAGTTACAAGAGTGTGTACAAAAATGATTTCATAAATATCTAATATCTACACGTATACAAACGCAATCATTGCTGCCATCCTCCTGCTTGCCAAGTATCAAAAGTCGTCATCTAAAAGTCTCCATGGACAGCTTCAGCCAGCTCCAAATCACCCGTGACCATGACATCGTGGATGCAACCTTGCAAGTTCTCCGCACCCGCTGCAACACATGCCTCTTCCGCAGCTTTGGAAGACACGGTCGTTGCTTCTCCCAAAAGACGGCGACCACCAGACGAATGTTAGCTTTGGCAAGAATGCACTTATCGGGAAACTGGGCGCTCGAATCATCTGGAAAAGGTCGTGATAATCGCGGACCTGCCACTCGGCCGCCAGCGCATTGGGTTCCTCGACCAACGTGACTCCATCCCTGCCCAACAACCTTCCGGTTCCATATTGTCCCATCATTCCAGAACTCTCGCGGTATCGTTTCTCGCTCGGGTTCAACAGCTTGACCGAGACATAATCCTTGAAGGTACGTAGAAGAATGAACTCATCATCATCGTTGTCGCCAAGAGAAATGGAGAAAATGCTCATCCTCTCGTCGTTGATGGTTGTGCGGGTAATGGGGTATCCGGCAATGGTGTTGGACGAGAGTGGTGCGTTGGCGACACCCTGGAGGGCGTAGTCCCCAAAGCTGCTGACCTCTAACACCTCGTCTCCAATTTTGACGACCACGGATTGAATGTAGGAATAGTCGATTCGACTCCTGGTGCGGACTGCAATGGTCAATGTCTGTTGATTGGCTTCGTCAAACAAGGGGGCATGGATCCACGTCAAGTCGCACTCTCCATGGTATTCATACGTGTGTCCATTCCACGTCTGGAAGGTCAGTTTGATTCTTTCTCCGGCAGCCACACTACGAAGAGTTGCGGTAGCCACCATGCCTGATTGATCCTGGGTACCAGTAGTCTGTGTCTGTGGGTGACCTTCCAAGAGCTCTTGTTTTCTGACTGCATCATTCAATGCAGCGAGAGATTTGGAGGCGTCGTCTTGGGGGCTACTATTGCTACCAGTACCGGTAGCATCCACGGAGAAGGTGCAGCCTGTGCCTGGTACTTCGTTGCTACCGGTACCGGTATTGTATATCCCCAAGCCTCTCGTGCAACGAAAGCAGGATCCTTTGATTCTGCTTCCATAAAAGACTCGAATCAACGTATGCTTGCAATCGTCCATGTTTCCCTGAGCGGAAAGGCAATCAAGTAAGCACTGCTTAGGGTCCATGGCGTCCGAGAGATGCTTCTGATCGTTTCCCACGCAGTCTTGATTGGGAGTGCATTGCAGGCCAGCAGATACCGGCTTGACCAAGAACATCAAAGAAGAAGCCAAGCTCAGGAGATACAGCATGGTCGCTCCTTTACGTGAGGGGAGAAACATCTTTTTGGTGGATGTTTGATCGAGATGTGCTGCTTTGCTTTTATGCTCTTGTGAGCTCTGTTGTGGGATGGATGCAATCAACCTTACCGTTGCATCCTTGGGAATCTTGGATTTGTTGATCCGTGAGGAAATTAGGTACGGTTCAGCGTAGAGCGTAGCTAGCTACACTGTACTAGTAGCTATTTTAATTAAGAGTAGCAGGGTACCGAGTTTGATGCAATGTTCCGCGCGGTACTTCTTTTGTAATCGAACACGGTATTTGATTAAAGCGTTGTTATCGCCTTTTGTCCTTTCCTTCGGAGTAATAAGTCTCTATACTCGTGACACAGAAATTTTGTATGCACTCGACCGTCAACCGTGAATGGTCCATGTATGTAGAGCTCTGGTACGTTGAATGATGCTACAGTGATCCAGTACATTGTAGTACAATCGTATCCGTTTAGAAGCTAGCATAGGTAGGTATATTATGTATGTACTAGTACATATAGAAAGGAGCTGTGACAGATCGTCCTTTCAGAAGTGCGGTACGGGTAGCAGTCTAACTTTACAAGATGAGCCTTGTTGCACCTCTTTTGCAATGAAAGGTGGCTTGAGTTGCTACTAGTAACCATTTACGGTGTACTCTAGACTACCTTCTATGCATATAAGCATGATGTGTTTTTCTTTTTAGAGCAAGCTCCAGACAATGCGCCAGCTACCAGTAGCTACCAGTAGCTAGGGCTACAAATATATGGTACCGGTACCCGTACCAGTATTGTGGGAAAAGTTCGAAGAGCGTAGGTTGCTTTTATACAGCTCTGCTAGCTGCATTTATCTAACCAAGGTTCGGGTCATCATAAGCGAGAAAGAAGTGACAACATCCAGTTTCCTGTTCAGCGTTTCTCCATTGCCTGCGATAGTGTCAGCTCATCATCATTCTAGCATTAGTCTAGTCTAGCTCAGCTTGGCTTTGGGTAGACTACGGTATCTATGCGCCAACTGGAATGCCTGGAGGAGAAGCGTGTGACAGTAGACGAAGTATTGGACCATGCGATTGCAAGAGTTTGTCTCTGCAGTTCGAAGTGGGGAGTTCATGGCGTTGTCTTTGAGTTGACCAGTGGCAGACGAACGGGGTGTTTGTTGGACGAGAACGAGATTCCTGTGGTGCTGACGGATCGAAATATCGGTACGAGTCCTTGGGTATCCGTGGAGCAGCCGTATGGATTTCTGACCAAGGTCTCTGGATACTGCCACAATCAAGTCGGTTGTCTCTGTCATTCCATCCAACTTGAATTTGCGTCTGGCCAAGTCATATCTACTACTAGTAGTACTGACAGCACCAACTTACATGGACTAGTATGCAGACAAGAATTCCAAGGAGAAAGATTCTTGACACCAAGGTTGCCCCAGAATTTCTTATTGAATGAACTCGTCTTGGGATTGGGATTGTGCTTGGGGTATACGGGAGTCAGTACCAGTATAGACATAGACATCAGTCAGGTCCTTGGTTGGATACCAGAAGAATCCATTCCTGTGGAAGACTGGTCCCAAGATCCATTAAGGGTGAGAATCATACCGGATGAGGAACCCAAGAAAGATATCTCCAAAATGATTATGAAATCGATTTGCCTGGCAGATCCGCAGTGGCAGGTCGACGCCACTGTTGTTACATTCTACCATGGACGCATACAAGGACCTTTGGTCGTACATAATAATCGACCCTACCAGATACCCAAAATAATAATCGACAAACAGCGACACTGTCGACTACGATCGAACCACTATCACAAAATTCAACAACCAGGAGGATACCTCATTCGAATCAGTGGTTATCAACTGATACAAAAAGCACAACCACCAGAATCAACACCAACACCACAACAACAAGTTGCCTTTCATTCCTTACGTCTCGAATTTGCTTCGGGGCAAATCCTACAGTACCAACCACTTCTTTCCAACAAGACAGGACGAGGACACTACTTTTCGTACGATATTCCCGATCCCAAGAAACTATACGTCAATCAACTCGTGTTTTGGGACGGAAAACTCAAGGCCATTGGGGCTGTAAGAACCACACAACACACTCAACACACGCTCGTCAATAATGCCTTGACCAACAATAAATTAAAGTCAAAATGGAAGATCAACTCAAAATTCCCTTGGAAATAAGTGTAGTAAGCATGGCGTGCGGACGGTAGTACAGGGAGGAAGACCTTGCATTGATGCCCGCTCAAAGTTGCTTAGTTGAGAGTGTGTTTGGGGTTTGAGGGAATATGAAACCAAACAAAGAGAAGCTGGAGAGGGGAAGAGGTGCACACAACACACAGAACGCCAACGTTTTTACAAAAATACATAGAAACCAAGCAACGAACGAGCAGCCACCGCCATGAGTACTACCGGTACATGTACATCGTAGCAATCGGCAATCTACCGTTATCCCCTCCTGGCTCCGAACTTGCAAGGAGCATCGATCGGAGCATGTACACACACACCCAGTCAGAAAGTACCACTGTAGATTAGATACGGCAGACAAACCACTCGATCCGAGGTGGCCCAGGGAACCAAGAAAGGCGTGGGCCATGGGGAAAGGCACACGGGCCCATCGTTCGGTTCCAAAAGAGCCACTGCATGTGCTAGCTGCGAACATTCAAAAACATGTACCGGTACAGCAAGCGGGCTTCCTGGACAACAAGCGGGCTTCCTGGCTAGGGTCACGGTTGCTATGATACGGCTCGTTAGTACCACTGTCTCGCGTTCATTTTTTTTTTGTGCGCATGCCCTCGTATTAATTAAAATACCGGTACGTCGTTTCTGTCTCTTCGTAAAGCGCGACAGCATCCACATATGCATAGCTATCCACATGTACCGGTACTTTGACTTCCATATTTATATTATTTCCCACACGCTACGCCGCGGGTAAGGGCTCGCATGGTGGGTATACCGGTACGTCAGTAAAAGGGGGTTTAGAGGTCTTTTCTTCTGATTCCAGTAGCAGTACTGGAAGTATTCATTTTAAGCAAAAAGGATGCATCAACAGTCACACTGAGTCCTTGTCTTGCAAGAAGCCCAATCTCAGTATCTTTCATATCTTATAGCACTAGCTAGCCGCTATTGTCACATACCGGTACCCTAAAGCATGCCCTCAGACAGTGAGGAGCCTCAACCAAGCCCCAGAAGTGTTCAATGGGGAGTTACTATGGATTAGTCTAGAGAGAGCTAAGATGAGGATGGGGACAGAGCTCGAGGGGAGGGCAAGAAGAGGGCAAGAAGTGCAAAGCAAAAATATTAAATGGTGAAACTAAAACTCGCTTATCTTTTTGAAGCGTGACTGAGGAGCTGACTCAGGAGTGCAAGGCGTGGAGTAGCTAGCGTTCCCGTAGCTGTTCCCGTTGCTGTTCCCGTTGACTGGTATTACTGAGCGTACCGGTATGCATATCATACTTGTGAGCAATTTTTACTTATTCAATTTTTGAATTGCTCTTGGTTCGAGTACCGGTAGGTTACACCGTATCAGGATTCAGCAAGTAATTTTTACTTATTCCTGGTTCGACCTAGTATTCAGCATCCATGCTAGCATGCACCATGCAGCATGCAGGATGCAGGGAGTGCGCTGGTTTTACGGAACTGGTTCTCGTACATGTACCTTGTTCCCATGCACACAGACTGCTACTCCACCGATTTAGTTGAGAATTCTGGAACCTACTGGATTCTACACAAATCTGAAGATCAAGTTGAGAATTCTACTTTCACCCTAACCCAAACCATCCGACTGATTCAAAATCCTGACTGCTCATTCTGAGGAGTTACCAGAGATTAACCTCATTGGGTAACTAAAATGGACCCAAAGTGTAAACAACTCTGTCGGCTTATCGAGATGGGATGTCGGTCCAACCAACATCGTCACATGATCGCCAACAACACCCTGGAATTGTTGGCAATGAACTGCAGTTGACTGGATTGGCTTCTTCCTTCACTTCTAAGCTCCTGAAGATGGTCTATTTTTGGGATAGTTACTCAATGTGATTTGCCGTGTTATTCTACCTGATAAATAATTACATATCCATTATCTTTCTACCCCAACAACAGACGAGCCGACAATGGGCATTCTGCCGCTGTTTCGACTGGCCTATCGACTGCATTCCTTCACCGACAAACACCAGAAGACTAGTTGGTAAGCGATGGTGATGGTAGCACCGCGCTAGACCGTCTGCGGAGCGTCGAATCGGCGGCGACTGTCGCTCGACTCGTCGTTTTGCGTTCCCGTTGACTGGTATTAGACTACTGAGCTTACCAGGTATTGCTGTGGAGTTGAAGTTGGAGGAACATGCAACATCTTCTATTTGGCTTGACAGGCTCGAAATCAATTGTCGTGTATGTCGACATGTCGACTATAATAGGGTCGGCTTTTACTACGGATTAAAAGAATTGACTCCAGGATGAGAAAACCGGTTTTGTGCTTATGGGCAGTCACAGAAATCGGGGCATGACCTTTAAGTAAAATGGATGAAACGAACTGAGGCAGCAGAAATTGTGTATGACTAGTCTAACTAGTCCCGTGAAACTGTTGATTTTGGTGACACAGAAATTGATTTCCGCTCCTAAGTCTTTATACTGAGGTCTACATGAGCCCAATTTCTGTGCTATGGTGGTGCAATTTCTGTGACACATACATGGACAATTATTCTGGAATCCGTAGTAAAACCTTAGCGGTACTTGTGAGCAATTTTTAAAAGATTGCTCTTGGTTCGAGTACCGGTAGGTTATCAGGATTGATTCTGCAAGTAATTTTTACTTATTCCTGGTTCGTCCAAGCATTCAGCATCCACGCAGGATCCAGGGAGTGCGCTGGTTTTGCGGAACTAGTACCAGGTATTAACTGGTACCTTGTTCCCACACAAACTTTATGAGCCCTCATGTATCTCCCAGCTATCGTGCTCTTCAGGCTCACAAATCTGCAACCAACAAGTAATACTATACAAAATCCAACGAGCAACAGTGGGCGGCTCCAGCTTAACCGAACAAGAAGAAACGAGCAAAATGGGCGGCTCCAGTAAGACGCAACTAGAACAAGACTTGGAGGCTGGCCCCTTTGATGACGAACAAGATCTCGAGAAGGACAATGACAAGCAAGTTCCAGAGCTACGCTTCAGTACCATGGAGCTGATCCGATTTTCGTGCAGCATTGGTGCCTATCGCATCCTACGGTTGTCCTTGGAACTCTTCTTGGTGATGCGCATTGACGAATTGGATTTCGCCGTGAGTCAAGCAGGCACCGTGTTTCTACTGTACCTCATGGCCAGCATCACTGCTGGTCTCTTCTTCTTGTGGCAACCTTCCATCTTCTTTGGAAGTGCCGTACGAGGCACTGCTTTTGTTGTGTTGGGTGTTTCTTTCATGTTTGGAGGATTTCTGGGCATGTTTCATGTCCAGTCATTTGCAGCAATCACTGCACTGGCCATGGTCTCGGGTATTGGATCTGCAAGTTGGAATATCAATTTGCAGGCAATGACCAACTTGGCCTTTCCCAAAGATCAGTTGGGCAGTGCTGCCATGATGAGGACGCTGCTCGAATCCATTGGCTTTCTCATACCCAGCATTTGTCTAGCCATTGTCATGTCCACTGGACGAGATTCCTCCGTTGTCCAAGTCAGTGCCACTATTCTGGGCTTTCTCGGTGTCGCCTTTTCACTTATCAGTGCCGATCAAGTGATTCGATCCGCGGCATTCATCCAACCAAACAACACAGAAACACCAAAAGAAGGATTGGCACGAGATATTTGGAACGTCATAAGGACCTACTTTGGAACTTCCATCGTCAGGAATTTCATGCTCAACACCATTCTCTTGGCTGTTGCCAACATTCTCATGGGGACGCTGTCACTTATCACCGAGCTCTACTTTGGGCTTGAACCTGAATGGCTTTGGCTCGCAGCTATCGCATTCCCCATTGGAGGAATGGCTTCCATCGCATCTCAAATGCTGCGAAAAGTCAAAAAGAACGGCAAAGACATTGTACACACGGGTCTCTGGAATTTCAGTTTCCTTTTCGCCGTTTGCATCCTATTGGGTATCTTTGCTTTCCCTCCAACACAGCAAGACGCGGCAAAAGGGTTGCTCTTTTTGTTTGGGTTTCTGGCGGGGGCGATCTATGCCGTAACCTTCTCGGCATCGGTGGCACTTTGGTTGGTCAAGCTCAAAGGGCACGACGCCGACTTTGTTTCAAGAGCTTGTGTGGTGGATAATCTCGGCGTGCAAGCAATCATTGCGCTCGTCTTTCAGCTGCAGACACTGCTGGTCGACACGGTCACTCAATCTAATTCCACCGTGACAGCTTCAGCTCTGGTGTTGTTTGCCCCTCTCCTTTTGCTGATTATTGTATGCCATCTCCTCGCCCACGGTCTGCCATACGCCAAGGACGACATCTTTGGTTGGCCCTTTCCAGAGCCATTCGGTGCATTGCTAAAAGCTACGCTCTTTGTGCTGGATCTGTTGGGACTCTCCAGTGAGAAAAACGTGCTTCTGTTTTCTTCTTTCGGTGACTACCGGACTGGATTCTTAAATGCACATCTGGGCAACTCCAAGGTTCAAGACGGGCCAGCAGTACCCGCCAATGCAACACTTACTCCTGAAGGCTTGCGAGGTCACCTGGCAGCTTTTGACGAGTTGAAAACACAGGAAGAGTGGTGGGAATCTGATTGCAGACTCTGCAGCCTCTTGCTCAACAATGAAGACGCGCTCGAAAAACGACTTCAACTCATCGAGAGGGCCACCTCCAAGATCTGGGTCATGACCTGGCTCATTGAACATTCTACGGTGGGAGAGCAGGTTGCAGATGCGCTGATCAAGCGTTCGAAAGAGGGACTCGATGTCAAAGTAATGGTGGATGCTATTACCCTCTACTACCTCCGCCAAAAGCTGTTGTTACGCGGCATCAACGACATGGCAACGTTGAGCCGTCTTGTGGACGCAGGGGTGACTGTGAAGATGTTGGACCGCGTTCACGAGGAGGTCAATCCACCGTACGTTGTTGGGAGTCACCGCAAGATCATGATTGTGGACGATTGTTGGGTCTTGACTGGCGGGCGCAACATTACCACCGAATACTTTACCACTTCCGACTTCCACTATCATGACGCGGACGTTTTGCTGTATGGATCTTTCGCCACGACAACCAGTGCCTTGTTCAAAAACTTATGGGTGGAAGCAAGGGATGTAAGCATGATCTTTGAGGAAGAAGGCTATCCAAAGCAGAATCTTGAAAGTGAAGTCCCCGCCACCGAAAGAAGTGATATCATGGATACTGACTATGAACCCAAACAAAGCAAACGAAGTTTACTACAGAGTCAGAGATCTATTCAGAGCTCTATGTCACGGTTGCTCACCGAGTCATCATACTTCACAGCTGGATTGTTGGATGAAGACGAAGAGCTTCCCAATGAAGCCGAGAAACACACGCTTGACTGTATTGGCGAATCAACCGAGATCGATGTTGAGAAAATCGATTGGGGTCCACTCTCGAAGATGAAAATGGGCCATAGCGAAGTCTCAGTGCGCAGGTCCTCCTTCTTCAAGAGATCCCTGCCTCTGGAGCTTCGTGGCGAGGATATCACGTTGTTCCAGCTGGACCACAAGGCAGGTCGAATTGACGGCCAAGACATCATCTACTCAACGCTTCTCTTCCTGATTGAGACCTCGCAAGAAAAGATCGACTTGATCTTGGGTTACTTTCAACTTTTCCCTGGACTGGATGCGGCAATCAGCCGCGCCATCCAAAGGGGCGTTAAGGTTCGCTTGGTTACCAACTCGGACGCTACGAATGGCATTAGCTTCTTCAATCCCTTGTTTCGGGCAGCATTGGAGCGGGTGATCGAACTTGGTGTTGAGGTGTACGTTACGGCGGCGGATCCAACCAAAGAGGTAGATTTCTGCCTCCACTACAAGATGGCTGTCTTTGATGGCCGCGCAGCCTTTCTTGGCAGCTGGAATTGCTTGGGCACTTCGGTTTTTTATGACAGCGATTTTCATACCGTCATGTTTGACGCAGAAGGCTCCGACATGTTTGATCCAATTGATCAGCTGGTGGATGATTCGGTTGCAGAAGGGCGTCTTGTTCGCATGGAGACTATTCCAGAGGGTAGTTTCAAAGTTCCATTCGTTTTCCAACTTCTTGCTTCCCGCAATGGACTCGCACAGATGAAGCGTGGATACTGATGACAACGGAGGACTCAATAGCTAATGTACATGTATAACAATCGAGAGTTTCTGCAATCCGCGCCCATGTTTTGCTCGAGATTGGATTTGGAGGAGCCTCGTGGTGCGTGAGTGTCACAAGCACGGAGTTACTACGGAGTTGGTAAAAATTTTAATGGTTTCAAGCTACAAATAGAAGCCTTTTCACAAGGAAAGTGTCCAAGCAAGAATGTCAACATTTCTGAAGAAGCCTTATGAGTGATGGAACGTGCTGAACGACTCGACTCGACTCATCCCTCTCAAGGCAGTACCGGTATCGGTATCGCTAGCTACGGTACGATGTACTAGCTAGTACGAGCTGCATCATGTACTCTAGCTAGCTAGTACCGATAGAAGTCAACCTACCGACCTACCGCTACCGTACCGGTGGTAGAGCCAGCCACTCCCCGAACCTCGAACCACATGGCAGGACGAGGGAAAGATGATCAATCAGCGCCAGCTCCAGTTCTAGACTAGAATATGTACACGTATCCAACACACTGCCAACATTCCGTACTATTCTTGTGGAAAGAAAGTCAGGGCGGGTCCACTATCTGGAAGGTCTGCCAGTTCCAAAACAGCACAAACCAACATGGCCTGAATATATTTTCTTACATTCTTTTGCGTGGTCTTTACAGTTTCTGGGTTTTCTTCACTTTCACTATGGATCCATTTACTCATGACGAAGCAAGAGGTTACTAGTACTAGTATGGTTTAGAGTGGACGATGGGTGGGAATGGACTCCAGGGGATTACTTTTATGGATGTATTTTCTCGTTTGGCTATCTCTTTTTCTTTCACTCCATTGTTCTCAATGCGATTAGCTGATGGAATTACAAGAGTAGCAAAGATTTTGCCAATCTCCACTAACAAGAGTAGGTGCAGTATCTGCGCTGGGACAAGCTGTGGAGTGGAACATGTTAGCCACACTGTCAGCAAGGCTATCTAAGAGATTGGAGCCCCAATCACACAAATCCTGGTTAAATTGGGATGCGTCGTAAAACATTGTGTTTCCGTTGGTCAAAGAACCCAAGTGCCATCCAGAGATATCTTGGTTAAAGCCTGAAGACCGGAACATTTTGCTGCTGTTTTCGACTGAGCTTACATCCCATCCACTAACATCTTGGTTGAAAGAAGAAGCGCCCTGAAACATACCCGACATTGTTGTCACTTGGCTCAGATTCCAATTAGAGATGTCTTGGTTGTATGATGAAGCTGCATAAAACATGTTGTTCAGGCTGGTTACTGAACTGACATCCCAGGTAGAGATTGTACTATTCATGGCAGAGGCACCCCGGAACGCGGCCCACATTGCAGTCACTTGGCTCACATCCCACATTGAGATATCTTGGTTGAACACAGTAGCATCTCGGAAAGTACCTCCAAGGCTTAGCACTCGGCTAGTATCCCAGTTGGAAATGTCTTGATCAAAACTGGATGCACCGCGAAGCACATTGTTTAAGTTGGTAACCTTGCTGATATCCCAACCTCCGATGTCCTCGTTAAAAGAAGCCATGTTTGAATTTCTTTCTGAGCTGAGCAGCTGATAAAATGACATCGCTTCAAAGCACCAACTATAGATTGGCCCATAAGCTTCTTCTGCAGCAGCGACATTGTCCACAGCAAACTCAGCAGCATCTTGGTCTGGAATGCAAGCATAGCTTGGCGCCTGAGATGGTTGAGGGCTGTTCGAGGGTTGGCTACTCTTGCTGGGGCTGCTTGATGGTTCCATACTATTGGTGGGGGTGCCGCTGGGAATCCCACTTGGAGCAAAAGACGGGAAACTGCTTGGATGCCCCGTAGGATCTCTAGATGGGACAGAGGAAGGCACAGGTGTTGGGCCTGAGGTTGGTCCAGGTGATGGAGCAGGCGATGGTTCTGGAGTGGGGCCCGGTGTGGGACCGGAAGTAGGACCTGGAGTTGGCCCAGGAGTAGGACCAACAGTGGGACCAGGTGTTGGCCCAGGTGTGGGACCTGGAGTGGGGTCACTGGTGGGCTCACTTGAAGGAATTGAAGATGGTGAAGCTGATGGCCCACCTGAAGGATTTGAAGAGGGTGAATCTGATGGGATGATGCAGGGATGGCAGAAGTCACTCCAGTAATCGTTCATTTGACCTGGGGTACCATTCATTTCACATTCTGTATTTTGAAACATTTCAGACACGGTGCAGTCAATGTCAAGTTTTGACTGCCAGGAACAAAGGTCGGTATTGAATGCTGATTCCTTGAACATATGGGATGCAAAGGAAGCACCGCTGACATCCCAGTTTGAAACATCCGAATTGAAGCTTGAAGCAGCATAGAACATGTAATTGAAGTTCGTCACTTGGCTCACATTCCAATTAGAGATGTCTTGGTTGAATACAGAAGCACCGTACAGCATGTTGTTCATGTTAGTCACCAAACTGACGTCCCAACCTCCAATGTCCTCATTAAAAGAAGCATGCGATGCATCCCTGGAAGTGCTAATAAGGTCGGAAAAGGACATGGGTTCAAAGCACCAGTAATAGATAGGCCCGTAGATTTGCTCATTCTCAGTGACATCCCCCAAAGCTGCTTCCACACTGGCTTGGTTGTCAAAGCAGGGATATTCTTTTGTCTCAAGATTGCTAATACAGTTTGGATCCAGCCAGAGCTTGGTTTCATCACTAGTGTCAGAAATACAAGCTGTCTTGGCAATGACTTCTTCCAAGGTGGAAGCCAGCTCACGATGCCCATGGGTTCCCAATTTTCTGTGTTCTTGAAGGTCAGCGACGGTGGCTTCTACCGTATCCAGTTTCTCTGCGTGGCCATTGAGATCGGCGGTGTTGAACTTGACAATGGTTTCCATGTCTTCCATCTTCTTGGTGAGTCGAAAAATCTGCTCACCAATGCTATTTTCTCTCATTTTCATCTTTTGCTGCAGACGGGTTACTGTGTCCTGGAGGTCCACAATCATCTCAAGGGCATCCTGGAGAGTGGTTGGGTGGCGGGGCTCTGTGCGAGCCAATAGAGAAGACAGAATAGTGTGTGAAGTGAGCTATTACATTCATTGTCGAGAGGGAGCCCATCGTTCATGCATTGCTAGCCTTACCAACGGCGGACACAACCGCAAGAGAAACAACAATGATCAACCTAAGCAACATTGTTAATTACGGTAGTGTGGTATCAGGGTCGTTGTATTCAGTATCAGTTTTGCTTTCTTGGTATCGTTCTTTATGAGCAAAAACAACAAGCAACCCTCCCCAAACTCTCAAGTTTCTATTCAGCCAGGAATTCAGAAGGATCCAGCGTAGTGAACCCAAAGCTACCATCTCTTTAACTACTTCGTGACTGATGGGTGCATTGGACCTGTGCCAACATGTCCTTTTCTCGAGATCCTTTTCTCGAGATCTCATGCGGACCTTCATTGCGACCGTGCCAATGTGCCAATCGAATCGAATGATTGTGGGATGTTATGGTAATGTCTGGGCAAACACTCATCCCTCATCATCTCCCTTGTTGGTACGTTGGTAGTTGGTACAGTAAGCTGTAAGCTGTACCGTACCAGAACTGTACGGAAAGTAAAGACTTAAAGTTCCATACCCCTTGGATCCGAGTTGAATCAATCGAATCATTCAATTCAAACCATTCAGGGATGAAAGAAGAAGGCTGACCAGGACCAGTCAGACACAACAATAAGCAACATAACCATCATTTGTGTTGCTTCATGGTTTCTATGCATATGTACTGGGAATTACGCAAACAGAGGGCCAACGAGGGCATTCTACTACAAAGATGTGATATCCTGTCATCCTGTCCAAGTATTGTTTCGATTCTTGGGTGATACCGCTCTCTAGCTACTATCTAGTACAAGCAAAATGTCTCCAGACCACTCGAAGGAGGCAGCCTCAGTGCTCCTTGGCTATAAGACAAAGCCACCATTGTACTCTGAGTAGTACGCTGCATATAGCATTAGAGAAGCCAAGTACCGTAATACATGTAAGTCTAGCTAGATCTAGCTAGCAATTAGTCTGAGAGAGAATAACCATTCACGAGAACCGTGTTGCCATACCAACCTCGAACCATGAATGCCCGGTCGAGCCGAGTGGAAAAGCCATCCCCGGCCATTTGCCAAAAGACATCCGTGTGATTGGTCATGGTGATCCATCCGTCAGGACCTAGGCCATTGCCGGCGCTGTCCTCGATGCGCAAATAGTAGACTCCAGCTTCCACCTCGTCAAAGGTTTCAGACCAAAGTTGGTTAGCATTGGCGGGCACTGGAGTGTAGGAGTAAAAGTCGAGCCATCCCGTGTTGAAGTATGTATCATCTTTTTTCTTGATGGTTACCGAAATGTCTGTTGGGTCTGTGCAATTCAATTCAATTCAATTCAATTGATGAGAGGTGAAGTGAGGGGGGCACCGGTGGGTGAGTTTCTGAACGTCCGTCAAGATCAGTGCCTGAACCAGATAAAGCAAGAGACTGGTCTTGCTTTGTGAGTTATGACTCGAGCTGACTACCGGTACTCACTCTGATCAAACTTGATGTTGAGCGAGAAGGAGTGATCCAGCTCGTCCGAAGCAAATCCAGGCCACTCTGGGTCGCCATTGCCTCCAAGTGCAGTCGGAGGGGGAGGACTCACTTCCCGTGCATTGACCACGCCTTGGGCACTGATTTGTAGGTTGACATGTAGGGCATCGGTAAAGATTCCATAGCGCTGGTAGACAACTCCGGCATCGTCCGCCATGACGATGGTTCCCATGCCACTGCCGCAACAAATGCCATTTCCCGCACTGTCTTCCATGACAAATTGGTAGTTACCAGGAGTCAAATCATCAAACGTCTCGGAGCGGTCTAGACCATCCGTAGTGGCATTCCAGCTATTGAAGTCTTGCCGGAACAGTTCAGTGCTTGGACTACCAAACGTCCACATGGTTTCCTAGTACGAACAGTAGGATACGGTAGGACATGATGGCGTGCACCGGTGTGAGGAGAAAATGCAATGCCGGCATCAAGTCCTCACACACATAGACACGTAGACTCTGTACTCACCTCTGGAAACGCATCGTAAGTCACCGTGATGGTCAAGTTGACGGCGCTGGCCGTCATGGTCAGACTTCCCAAATACAAGAGGCCCAGTACGCCGCTCATGGTGCTACGTGAAGATCGCATTGTCGCTACTGTAGTGCTATGGGGAAAATGGTCGATCGATCGTGTCAAAGTCAAGGTTGGATCCAATGCAGTCAATGAGAACAAAAGTTGCAGCAACCACTCCAATCCAATGAACCTCCAGTCTAATCGTTTCAAACAGCTATTCAAACAACCTCAAATGATGAAAGGTTAGACGTCTATGAAAGCCGATGGGTGTGATCGCTGTCTCTCTTTTGATGATGGATGGGTGGGACAGTGGAACCACAAACACATGTAAAAAATGGCGGAAAGATAGAGGTGAAAAAGTTGGCACCCTTCTTGTTAACGCTTGTGTAAGCAAAAGAGTTAACCCTGGCATTGTCACTTTGTAAACACATAGGCCCGAGCATTATCTCACACCCTACTGGAATATCCCGCACGATTGAAGACAAGTTTTTTTTAATGATTTTTTGATTTTAAAGTTTCGAAATGGTGCAACTACAGTACCTGTATCTCGGGCACACGTTTCGTCCATACAGGTAGACTGTGAGATCTTCACACGATAAGTTCTTGAATCGATATCTTGTGGGCTACTCGAGAGCTACTTTCAGTGACCTACAACATCAGCTCATGTGGACTAGCCTGTGACTGTGCCTATGGTGCTAGCACTAGAAGGCACCCCAAGTTGGGCTTTGAAGCAGCATTACTAGTGTTATTGCTCTAAAGCTCACTTGAAGTGGATCAATTTGCATAGGCTTTTGATCCATAGAACCTCCATTTGTGTAGTCAGCCCATGTGAAATGTTATGGGCTGATGAAGTTGATGGTCCATGTGTGTGATGTTGTGTGAGGTTGATGAACGTAGTGGGCGGTTCGTGCCATGAAAGGCCCGGCTATGTTCAAGTCACCGATGTAGGATGGGTGTTGAAAGAGTGCTGTGGGTATTAGTTTGGAAATGTGAAATAAGAGACAATCTAGTAGTTGAGACTAGCTAGTCTTTTAAAATGGTGTGTTGTTAGATGTGGGTGATCACAAGATCGATCAATCCAAGAAAAGAACAAAAGTGAGGAATGAATCGGGGCTGGAGAGGTCCAGAGGTGCATGCGCCCTTTTCGCGCGAAGCTTCACTACGTAAACCCTCGCCGAAAGAAACAAATGCGAAGCGTCGAAGACGCCGTTGCGAAAGACAAAGCTGTTTCTTTGTCGAAGCTCACAAATAGTCGTTCAGTTCGACCATGACGATGATGTCGTTATTGCTGTGCTAGCTTCTTGTGTGATCCTCTCGCTACTGCTGCGAAGGCCGTCACATTACACAGAGGGGAGAAGGAGGAGAGTTAAGGTAGTCTGGACAAAGGAATCTAGTTGAACATGTTTCTTTGAGTTGAGGTACCCGTAAAAGTGATAAGTTGAAGGGGCTCCAGAGGGAGAAGGAGGAGGGTTAAGCTAGTCTGGACAAAAGCATCTAGTTGCACATGTTTTTTGAGTTGTGGTATCCCGTAAAAGTGATTTAGTTGAAGGGGCTCCATAGGGGAGAAGGAGGTGGGGTAAGCTAGTCTGGACAAAGGCATCTAGTTGCACATTTTTTGAGTTGTGGTACTCGTAAAAGGGATTAGTTGAAGCGGCTCAAGAGGGGAGAAGAAGGGTTAAGACAGTCTGGACAAAGGCATCTAGTTGTACATGTTTTTTGGGTTGTGGTACCCGTAAAGGTGATTGGTTGAAGGGGCTCCAGAAGGGAGAAGGAGGAGCGGTTAAGCTAGTCTTGACAAAGGCATCTAGTTGAACATGTTTTTTGAGTTGTGGTACCCGTAAAGTGATTAGTTGAAGGGGCTCCAAGGTGGGGGGAAAGAAGGAGGAGGGAAGCTAATCTGGACAATAGGCACTAGTTGCACATGTTTTTTTGAGTTGTGGTACCCGTAAAAGGTATTAGTTGAAGGGGCTCCAGAGGGGAGAAGGAGGGAGGGTTAAGCTAGTCTGGACAAAGGCAATCTAGTTGCTCATGTTTTGAGTTGTGGTAACCGTAAAAAGTACCCAGTCAAATGCACTCCAGACGGGATTATGTACAAGTACATTTAGGTGCGGTATGTACCCTTCCGAAATATCTTAAAACCAGGGGGGAAGCAAAATAGTTATCTTAAAAATAGTGTGTTGCGTGCCTTGATTCGAATCGAATCGCTCATCACCGACTCGATTGATTCGACTCATTCGATTCGATCGCGCGGTGTGCGCGACTGACGTCATTCGAGTCGTGCTTGCACCTCTACGTGCAAACGTGTAGAAGGCTACGTATTAGACTATTGCACCTAGGCTTTCTACAGCCGTGTAGTAAGCCTACGTGCAAAAGGTATGTAGGTTGCACGTAGGCTTCTACAGCCGTGTAGAAATCATACGTGCAATACGTACGTACATTTGCACGTAGGCTTTCCTACAAGCCGCGTGTAGGATTGTATCTCGCACGGTATGCAGGAGGTAGATAGTCGTCATTTTGCTTAGTAAACATGACTAATCGGTCCTCTTTCTTCGTGGTGCCGGTGGTAGAGCCAGCCACTCCCCGAACCTCGAACCACATGGCAGGACGAGGGAAAGATGATCAATCAGCGCCAGCTCCAGTTCTAGACTAGAATATGTACACGTATCCAACACACTGCCAACATTCCGTACTATTCTTGTGGAAAGAAAGTCAGGGGGGTCCCTATCTGGAAGGTCTGCCAGTTCCAAAACAGCACAAACCAACATGGCCTGAATATATTTTCTTACATTCTTTTGCGTGGTCTTTACGTTTCTGGGTTTTCTTCACTTTCACTATGGATCCATTTACTCATGCGAAGCAAGAGGTTACTAGTACTAGTATGGTTAGAGTGGACGATGGGGGAAATGGACTCAGGGGATTACTTTTATGAGATGTATTTTCTCGTTTGGCTATCTCTTTTTCTTTCACTCCATTGTTCTCAATGCGATTAGCTGATGGAATTACAAGAGTAGCAAAGATTTTGCCAATCTCCACTAACAAGAGTAGGTGCAGTATCTGCGCTGGGACAAGCTGTGGAGTGGAACATGTTAGCCACACTGTCAGCAAGGCTATCTAAGAGATTGGAGCCCCAATCACACAAATCCTGGTTAAATTGGGATGCGTCGTAAAACATTGTGTTTCCGTTGGTCAAAGAACCCAAGTGCCATCCAGAGATATCTTGGTTAAAGCCTGAAGACCGGAACATTTTGCTGCTGTTTTCGACTGAGCTTACATCCCATCCACTAACATCTTGGTTGAAAGAAGAAGCGCCCTGAAACATACCCGACATTGTTGTCACTTGGCTCAGATTCCAATTAGAGATGTCTTGGTTGTATGATGAGTGCATAAACATGTTGTTCAGGCTGGTTACTGAACTGACATCCCAGGTAGAGATTGTACTATTCATGGCAGAGGCACCCCGGAACGCGGCCCACATTGCAGTCACTTGGCTCACATCCCACATTGAGATATCTTGGTTGAACACAGTAGCATCTCGGAAAGTACCTCCAAGGCTTAGCACTCGGCTAGTATCCCAGTTGGAAATGTCTTGATCAAAACTGGATGCACCGCGAAGCACATTGTTTAAGTTGGTAACCTTGCTGATATCCCAACCTCCGATGTCCTCGTTAAAAGAAGCCATTTTGAATTTCTTTCTGAGCTGAGCAGCTGATAAAATGACATCGCTTCAAAGCACCAACTATAGATTGGCCCATAAGCTTCTTCTGCAGCAGCGACATTGTCCACAGCAAACTCAGCAGCATCTTGGTCTGGAATGCAAGCATAGCTTGGCGCCTGAGATGGTTGAGGGCTGTTCGAGGGTTGGCTACTCTTGCTGGGGCTGCTTGATGGTTCCATACTATTGGTGGGGGTGCCGCTGGGAATCCCACTTGGAGCAAAAGACGGGAAACTGCTTGGATGCCCCGTAGGATCTCTAGATGGGACAGAGGAAGGCACAGGTGTTGGGCCTGAGGTTGGTCCAGGTGATGGAGCAGGCGATGTTCTGGAGTGGGGCCCGGTGTGGGACGGAGTAGGACCTGGAGTTGGCCCAGGAGTAGGACCAACAGTGGGACCGGTGTTGGCCCAGGTGTGGGACCTGGAGTGGGGTCACTGGTGGGCCACTTGAAGGAATTGAAGATGGTGAAGCTGATGGCCCACCTGAAGGATTTGAAGAGGGTGAATCTGATGGGATGATGCAGGGATGGCAGAAGTCACTCCAGTAATCGTTCATTTGACCTGGGGTACCATTCATTTCACATTCTGTATTTTGAAACATTTCAGACACGGTGCAGTCAATGTCAAGTTTTGACTGCCAGGAACAAAGGTCGGTATTGAATGCTGATTCCTTGAACATATGGGATGCAAAGGAAGCACCGCTGACATCCCAGTTTGAAACATCCGAATTGAAGCTTGAAGCAGCATAGAACATGTAATTGAAGTTCGTCACTTGGCTCACATTCCAATTAGAGATGTCTTGGTTGAATACAGAAGCACCGTACAGCATGTTGTTCATGTTAGTCACCAAACTGACGTCCCAACCTCCAATGTCTCATTAAAAGAAGCATGCGATGCATCCCTGGAAGTGCTAATAAGGTCGGAAAAGGACATGGGTTCAAAGCACCAGTAATAGATAGGCCCGTAGATTTGCTCATTCTCAGTGACATCCCCCAAAGCTGCTTCCACACTGGCTTGGTTGTCAAAGCAGGGATATTCTTTTGTCTCAAGATTGCTAATACAGTTTGGATCCAGCCAGAGCTTGGTTTCATCACTAGTGTCAGAAATACAAGCTGTCTTGGCAATGACTGCTTCCAAGGTGGAAGCCAGCTCACGATGCCCATGGGTTCCCAATTTTCTGTGTTCTTGAAGGTCAGCGACGGTGGCTTCTACCGTATCCAGTTTCTCTGCGTGGCCATTGAGATCGGCGGTGTTGAACTTGACAATGGTTTCCATGTCTTCCATCTTCTTGGTGAGTCGAAAAATCTGCTCACCAATGCTATTTTCTCTCATTTTCATCTTTTGCTGCAGACGGGTTACTGTGTCCTGGAGGTCCACAATCATCTCAAGGGCATCCTGGAGAGTGGTTGGGTGGCGGGGCTCTGTGCGAGCCAATAGAGAAGACAGAATAGTGTGTGAAGTGAGCTATTACATTCATTGTCGAGAGGGAGCCCATCGTTCATGCATTGCTAGCCTTACCAACGGCGGACACAACCGCAAGAGAAACAACAATGATCAACCTAAGCAACATTGTTAATTACGGTAGTGTGGTATCAGGGTCGTTGTATTCAGTATCAGTTTTGCTTTCTTGGTATCGTTCTTTATGAGCAAAAACAACAAGCAACCCTCCCCAAACTCTCAAGTTTCTATTCAGCCAGGAATTCAGAAGGATCCAGCGTAGTGAACCCAAAGCTACCATCTCTTTAACTACTTCGTGACTGATGGGTGCATTGGACCTGTGCCAACATGTCCTTTTCTCGAGATCCTTTTCTCGAGATCTCATGCGGACCTTCATTGCGACCGTGCCAATCGAATCGAATGATTGTGGGATGTTATGGTAATGTCTGGGCAAACACTCATCCCTCATCATCTCCCTTGTTGGTACGTTGGTAGTTGGTACAGTAAGCTGTAAGCTGTACCGTACCAGAACTGTACGGAAAGTAAAGACTTAAAGTTCCATACCCCTTGGATCCGAGTTGAATCAATCGAATCATTCAATTCAAACCATTCAGGGATGAAAGAAGAAGGCTGACCAGGACCAGTCAGACACAACAATAAGCAACATAACCATCATTTGTGTTGCTTCATGGTTTCTATGCATATGTACTGGGAATTACGCAAACAGAGGGCCAACGAGGGCATTCTACTACAAAGATGTGATATCCTGTCATCCTGTCCAAGTATTGTTTCGATTCTTGGGTGATACCGCTCTCTAGCTACTATCTAGTACAAGCAAAATGTCTCCAGACCACTCGAAGGAGGCAGCCTCAGTGCTCCTTGGCTATAAGACAAAGCCACCATTGTACTCTGAGTAGTACGCTGCATATAGCATTAGAGAAGCCAAGTACCGTAATACATGTAAGTCTAGCTAGATCTAGCTAGCAATTAGTCTGAGAGAGAATAACCATTCACGAGAACCGTGTTGCCATACCAACCTCGAACCATGAATGCCCGGTCGAGCCGAGTGGAAAAGCCATCCCCGGCCATTTGCCAAAAGACATCCGTGTGATTGGTCATGGTGATCCATCCGTCAGGACCTAGGCCATTGCCGGCGCTGTCCTCGATGCGCAAATAGTAGACTCCAGCTTCCACCTCGTCAAAGGTTTCAGACCAAAGTTGGTTAGCATTGGCGGGCACTGGAGTGTAGGAGTAAAAGTCGAGCCATCCCGTGTTGAAGTATGTATCATCTTTTTTCTTGATGGTTATCGAAATGTCTGTTGGGTCTGTGCAATTCAATTCAATTCAATTCAATTGATGAGAGGTGAATGAGGGGGGCACCGGTGGGTGAGTTTCTGAACGTCCGTCAAGATCAGTGCCTGAACCAGATAAAGCAAGAGACTGGTCTTGCTTTGTGAGTTATGACTCGAGCTGACTACCGGTACTCACTCTGATCAAACTTGATGTTGAGCGAGAAGGAGTGATCCAGCTCGTCCGAAGCAAATCCAGGCCACTCTGGGTCGCCATTGCCTCCAAGTGCAGTCGGAGGGGAGGACTCACTTCCCGTGCATTGACCACGCCTTGGGCACTGATTTGTAGGTTGACATGTAGGGCATCGGTAAAGATTCCATAGCGCTGGTAGACAACTCCGGCATCGTCCGCCATGACAATGGTTCCCATGCCACTGCCGCAACAAATGCCATTTCCCGCACTGTCTTCCATGACAAATTGGTAGTTGCCAGGAGTCAAATCATCAAACGTCTCGGAGCGGTCTAGACCATCCGTAGTGGCATTCCAGCTATTGAAGTCTTGACGGAACAGTTCAGTGCTTGGACTACCAAACGTCCACATGGTTTCCTAGTACGAACAGTAGGATACGGTAGGACATGATGGCGTGCACCGGTGTGAGGAGACAATGCAATGCCGGCATCAAGTCCTCACACACATAGACACGTAGACTCTGTACTCACCTCTGGAAACGCATCGTAAGTCACCGTGATGGTCAAGTTGACGGCGCTGGCCGTCATGGTCAGACTTGTCAAACACAAGAGGCCCAGTACGCCGCTCATGGTGCTACGTGAAGATCGCATTGTCGCTACTGTAGTACCAAGGGGAAAATGGTCGATCGATCGTGTCAAAGTCAAGGTTGGATCCAACGCAGTCAATCAATGAGAACAAAAGCTGCAGCAACCACTCCAATCCAATGACCCTTCAGTCTAATCGTTTCAAACAGCTATTCAAACAACCTCAAATGATGAAAGGTTAGACGTCTATGAAAGCCGATGGGTGTGATCGCTGTCTCTCTTTTGATGATGGATGGGTGGGACAGTGGAACCACAAGCACATGTAAAAAATGGCGAAAGATAGAGGTGAAAGAGTGTGCACCCTTCTTGTTAACGCTTGTGTAAGCAAAAGAGTTAACCCTGGCATTGTCACTTTGTAAACACATAGGCCCGAGCATTATCTCACACCCTACTGGAATATCCCGCACGATTGAGAGACAAGTTTTTTTTAATGATTTTTTGATTTTAAGTCAGCGGGAGCTGCGATACCTCGAGAAGCAGATGAAAGGAGACTGTTGAGCACTCTTCAAGGTAGCCTGCGACGATGTGTGTTGCGCCATACATTCCTCCTTAAGGTAGCCTAACAACACCGCTTGTCGTGTGCCCCATAACATAGCTGTCACCGTATGACTGTAATTGAGCTTCTCGCATGTTCACTACCTTGACATGATCTACGATGATCACCGCTTCACATAAACGAAGAGCAACGCACGAGAAATACAAAAAGGTGAGGGCTAGGCAAACTGCCGAGTAAGTTTCGAATGGTGCACTACAGTACCTGTATCTCGGGCACACTTTCGTCCATACGGTAGACTGTGAGCTTCACCGATAAGTTCTTGAATCGATTCTTGTGGCTACTCGAGAGCTACTTTCAGTGACCTACAACATCAGCTCATGTGGACTAGCCTGTGACTGTGCTATGGTGCTAGAACTAGAAGGCACACCAAGTTGGGTTTGAAGCAGATTACTAGTGTTATTGCTCTAAAGCCACTTGGAGTGGATCAATTTGCATAGGCTTTTGATCCATAGAACCTCCATTTGTGTAGTCAGCCCATGTGAAATGTTATGGGCTGATGAAGTGGATGGTCCATGTGTGTGATGTTGTATGAGGTTGATGAACGTAGTGGGCGGTTCGTGCCATGAAAGGCCCGGCTATGTTCAAGTCACCGATGTAGGATGGGTGTTGAAAGAGTGCTGTGGGTATTAGTTTGGAAATGTGAAATAAGAGACAATCTAGTAGTTAAGCTAGTCTTTTAAAATGGTGTGTTGTTAGATGTGGGTGATCACAAGATCGATCAATCCAAGAAAAGAACAAAAGTGAGGAATGAATCGGGGCTGCAGAGGTGCAGAGGTGCATGCGCCCTTTTCGCGCGAAGCTTCACTACGTAAACCCTCGCCGAAAGAAACACCCACATATCGCGCGAAGCGCGAAGTATCGTTCGGGGGAGGAGGAGGGGGAGGCGCCGCAGGCGCCGTGTAAAGAAGAGGGAAGAGGAGGGGGAACTCACGAGAACAACAACAAACAACAACAACAACAACAGAAAGATTCAACTCGAGACCAATGCCGACGACCACCGGAGGTCCTGCGAGCTACTAAGCAATGGTCAAACAGTAGTAAGTGTTCATGTTGTGTTGATTATCTTTGATGGTAGCGACCATCCTATCCATCTTTGTCCCATCGTCGAATTGTTCTGTTGTTGTGTTGGATGGTCGTTGTGGGGGCAAGTCGGTGATACTTCCGACTGTTCCACTTAACGATCTGAATGCCGGTTCGTTAATTCTGGTCTTGTTTCCTACTGTTTCCTCTATAAATCTTTGGTCCATACTCCGAATTGCGAGAGCACCAACGGATGACGTGATTCGAAATGGCTGACACTCGTGTTTGCTCACAGGCCATTATATTGGAACAGCGTGCCGATTATTTCATTTCCAGCGACAATGGCATAAAAAGACCGGTAGGAACATGGCAGGTACTGTTACTACGTGGACTCGCAACTCAGGAGGCCATCGCCCAAACCCAAGCGAACAGCCAGCCATCCAGCTATTTGACAAAGTTATGGCTCCCACAAAGTTTGGATCTATTTCGGTCGATGATCTTGTTGGCGACAATGGGCTGAATTTGATGAGTGACTTCTGTACTCGCATTGGTGAAAATCCTCCCATCGGACAAAGAACGAACAAGCCCATGGCGGCCTCCGCTGTAAACAAGTACATCGAGGCCTTGTGCAAGCATCTTCGGATCAAGTATGGCCGGACGCAACAGTTTTTGAATTTCCCATTGTTTCCACCAGCGGACGTGAATGGACTCAAGAAGACCTTCAACGATTTACACGGCCGGACGCTCATGCAGGGAACCGACGATGACGCTATCCTGCGCGACTACTATCCGATTCCGCGGCAGCACTCGCCCAGAACCAAGCTTCTTCCACTCCATGATTTTTCGAATCCGCAACAACACCAGCTTGCGAGGAGCGTGGACCTACTTCGTCTGGCAAAAAGGCTAGTACAGACGGAACAGTTTACGGAGCTACTTATGGTCCTGATTACAAACAATGCAGTGGGCAGAGGTGGAGAGTGCAAGTTCCTCAGCTATGACAAGATGTTTGGGATTGCTATTTTAACATGGCATTCTTTCAGTGGTTTCAGCGGAAGGAGCTGAAAACCAGTCCATCGGCGTTTGTCCAAGACTTTGAGCATCCAGAGCTGTGTGTTATCTTTGGTTTTGGGGTCTATTGGTCTCTGTGCAGTGGCTTGGTTCGCCCAGCACCAATGATGGCAGCACCTGGCACTGCTCTCTACCGCAGCTCCAAGTTTGTGTTTCAACACCTCCACCAGACTCAGGATAGTACCGTGGCTGAGAACTTGACCAAGATCATCCGGTCCTGCGTCCACCATCTCATCCAGTCTCACTACACAGTCAAGAGTCTCCGTGCCGGTGCCATGTCACGTTTGGCATGGCTGCCCACTGTCACTTATGAAGAGTGCATCGCGTTGGGAGGATGGAGCACCAAAGCCAGCCGAGATTGGTATGTCTGGCAGTACTTGGTGGCTGTCATTCCAGGAGCCCTTGCTTTGGCCGGATACCCAGATCCTCGACAATTGCCCTACGCTCCAACGTGTGAGATTCTTTTCGCTGACAATGATCCAGCCAAGATTTTTCCAAGGGACAAGTTCGTCATTTTCCAGCGAGATCTCTTCCCCAACAGTTTGCCGGAGCTTGCTCCGGGTGGCAGACTGAGGCCTTTCATGGACATTGTGACAGCCGTGATGGTCAAGAACTACCGCTACATGGAAACGAAATATGGAGCTGACCACCGGTATGTGCATCGAATGAGAGTGGTGGTCCAGCGTGCTGGATTGGCGCAAGATTTGGTGGACGCATCAACCAAGCTGCGGTACTGGTCCAAGAAAATCCACGATGATACCACAACAAACAACAACAGCAACAGCGGTGTACTGTTGCGAGCCACCATATCCGACAAACTACAGGAATTATCTAGCAATGTGGGAGATTTACTGCGTACCCGACAACAAGAACAGCTGAACCATGGGCTTATTCTTAGCGGCATAGGCGATTTGAAGTCCGGCCAGTCAGATATTGCACAGGCAGTTCGCGATCTACAGACACAAGTGGCACAATTAACAACCATGGTCCAGAATGCCAGTCTTCGAACTGCGGTACCATCGACTCCATCTCCACGCAGGTCTCCACGCAGACGACAGACTCCGCAGCAACCTTCGCCCATTCCACCACCACCACCTCCTCCTCCACCACCACCACCTCCTCCTCCACCTCCTCCACCGCCAGAACCAGAACAACGACGTATGGCGCTGGTCAGAGCAGGAGCGGCTGGGTCATCAGTTGCTGGCAGGGGAGCTCGAAGCCGGGAACGCAGAATGATGAACATCCTAGTGGGTCTCTACCAACACGATGACTTTCGAAATCTACGGACGAATGTGGCACTACGTTCGCTGGCTAATGTTGTTAATCTACGGATCGGTGGGGATGGTCGCAACTTGAAGAAAGTGGAAGTTGCACTGGATCTTGTCGACTGCCTCTGGTCACCAGATACAAGAACCAAAGCAATAAACAAGAGCTTCCCCGATGAAGCTGCTGCTACACAAGCGTTCTCCGAGGTGGACCAACGTGTTAAGAGGGCATGTCACATCCATGACAATCCAGGAGACAACCCAAAACCCAATTCGCGTCGAGCTACAGCTGTTATTGGAGTGGGCAACCTCATCTTGAAGAGAGGCCGAGAGTCCTTTTTTGATGCAATCAACTCGAAAATGCCAAAGTGGGGCCGGATTCCACCAATCGCCGCTGGTCAACAGACTCTATGGGATGTGGTCATGGCCAAAGAAGATGCCATAAAAGCAAGAGTACGCACTACTAGCCGCAGAAGATAAGATAACAGAAGCAAACAACGACCATGAGGATAACGTGAGTACTGCCACTGTATTTCAGCGATTGCTTGGATCTGTTCCGTTGTTCTCACCGGTTTTCCTCACTGGCTCATTGCTTCGCCAAAGGCTTAATAGGCATCTTTTTGAATGAACTTTCGCATTCTACACAGACACCAGTACATCACCCTGTATGTACACTCTAGTACTCCTCTACCTACTCCATCGATACTTACCTCAGATAATGAAGAAACAAATGCGAAGCGTCGAAGACGCCGTTGCGAAAGACAAAGCTGTTTCTTTGTCGAAGCTCACAAATAGTCGTTCAGTTCGACCATGACGATGATGTCGTTATTGCTGTGCTAGCTTCTTGTGTGATCCTCTCGCTACTGCTGCGAAGGCCGTCACATTACATCTAAAGTTATCCTCTTGCTATTGCTGCGAAGGCCTACGATTAAGGTGTCAAGCTTCTTGTGTGATCCTCTCGCTATCTAAAGTTATCCTCTTGCTAAAGCGAAGGCCTACGATTAAGATGACGCACAAGCTTTCTCCGACTGTCAATGTGATCCCCTCCCTGTTGTATTGCTTCGTGTGATCCTCTCGCTATTGCTGCGAAGGTAGTCACTTGCATCTAAAGTTAGCCTCTTGCTAAAGCGAAGGCCTACGATTAAATGACAAGCATGTACGCAACGGTATTTGGTGTTTGGTTCGTCCTCGAGCGAGGAAACGTTGGTTCTAGTGTCTTCCTCGTGTGTGTGTTTCACCACTTTTCGCTTCCCTCGTAGGTCTGGTCTACCTGATATCGGATGACGACACGCTTCTTATTGTCGTTGCTCAACCGCAACTGCTTCTTCGACAATGCATGCATGACGATGACACCTTTTCCGGTGCTGCTTCGGCAGCCGCTCCTTCGGGGGCCCGTGGTTCCTTTGGAGCCCAGTGGTTATGGCTCGCCGGCTTGTTCCCCTCGTCAATATACGCTGGGAAAGGTGTCGTCTTACGGTGGTTCCTTTATGGTGTGGTTCGTCCTCGCAATCGTTGACATGTTCGGTCTCTTCTCCTGTCAAAGGCAACGAGAATCACAACAGGTACGGTCCACGAGCCCGCATGCATGCATGCATTAGTAGTTCGGAGTTCGTTTGAACCTTGAGAAGATGATGGGGTCAGCCCTCCGGAGCTGTTCCTCTTTGCCTTCGCTGAACAAAAGTGGCATGCATGCATGCGGTACTGCTTCTTCTTTTGCTCTCAACTCAAGTCTAACATCTTTCTTGTTCCATTCTTCATTTTCAAGGATTGCATCTCCCATGGTGGTTCTTTGGTCCTTCTTTCCTTGGGCCCGATGGTGTGTTGGTCGCGAATGGTTCCTTGCTCGCGTACTCTTTCCTGTTTCTTCAACACCACTCGGTCTCCTGATCTTGATACGTATTCTACGCCTGATCCTGATGCTGCATTTTCAGACAAGCCGCCCGACACGTCTTCCTTTGTCCCCAAGCACAACAACAACATCATGGGACCCACCAGCCATCCTGTCGGCGTAGAACCAACCAAGACTGCTTCGATTCCAAGAGCTACTGGCACGACGCGAACTCGAATCCAAGAAATGCACGCCGCCCTCGATCTCCCAGTACGTCTCTTGACAACCGGCAAGGTAGCACAACGACAAGTAAATCGACGGTTGCGTCGTCCAAGTCTTCAGTCTTCCATTCAAGTAGAGCCGCAAGCATAGATGCTTCTGGTTCACCCTTAGAATAGCTTAAAAGTCTCACACTTCTCTCTCTTGGGCCCGCCGAATCCGTAATTTCAAGTTCTTCAGGGCTTTCGGAGGACTTTCTTGCCGACCGGGCTTTCGGAGGACTTTCTTGCCGACCCCGACCCTTTCGCTTCTTGGGCTGGTGTCAAGACGCTCTTCGAATACGATTCTTTGCCGACGATGAACTGAGAATCCATTTGGTTGGTGTTGGTTGGCGGTCCAGCATCGATCCTTTGGAGGACCTCCTTTCCGACCTTCCGTTTCTTGGGCTGATTGCGGTGTCAGCCAATCCTCTCTTAGGACTAGTATGATTCTGTGCCGACGATGAACTTCTCTACTTGCCGTGTCATCCTCACTCTTGTCACTCGTTTCAAGGTTGCATTTCAGCTCGTTCCCTCGCAAGTCTTGCGAGAGCTCAACCCGTTCCCCCCATGATGTTTCTCTGCTCAGTTCTAGCTCTGTGCTCATTCATTCGACCGAATGAGGCATCATTGATGCCCCCTTCGCTGTGACCTTGCATGCCTAAAAACACAGGTACCAGGTACTCGTTAAGTTAGTTGTACCTTGCAGTATTATTTTATAACTAGGAAGTCGTGCGGTCTTCTAAGCTAGTGGTTTTGGCCAGTCTATTTACTTTTACGAGACATCTATCTGTCTGCGGCATAATATATAGCCACCGGCCTCCCTTCCTTGAGTTAGCGGTATGATAATGCTAAAGCCGCCGGGAGTAGTGTCGATTCTGTGGCTTTGTATTGTCGTTGCTGTTTGTGGCGCTTGTATCGTCGCCATCATCTTTCTGATCACTTGTTGTTCCATCATGACCAAAGCCATCTGCCTCGCCACTTCTGGAAGTAGCAGTGCTGGTCACCGCATCTTCCGCAACTATCCAATAGACATGAGCGACGAATCCATCTTCGTTGATGAAAAAGTACACGTTCACCCCCGATCCATATTCGCCATCACTTCCCCAGACAAATCCATTGTCCATAGTGGTGATGATGGGTGCCATGATACTGATCCATCCCCGACGAAACTGGCAGCAAATGCCATTATTCCCCAAGTCAGATACCTTGAGCCAATACCATCCCGCTTCCTGTTGGACGTATTGACGTGGCACGAGACGATTGTGTATCCCATGGCGAATCCCATCCATGCTGTCAATGGTAGTCCATTGTTCTTCGGGCAATTCGGTGAGCGTTTGTGCGGAATCTTCCAAGACGCCGGGTGTGTACAAGACATCATAGTCGGATTCAAAAGGATAGGCATCAAACTTGAAATTGATATTGAAGGAAAAGAGTGGTGCTTCGGGCACCGGTCCCGGCCATTCGGTATCAAACTCGGGTGGATAATTGGGCGACGCGAGTTGTTCCCAACTTGGTCGGAATCGTTCCGATTCGTAAACGACGGCAATGTCACCCGTAGTGGAATCAATCCGGATGCGCACTTGTAGATATCCCCGGTACTGTCCATCGTGTTCCCAAACGGTTTCTCCCGTCAAGTCATTGACGAGTTCCAGTTTTCCATCGCCAAAGTTGCAGCAAATGCCATCGAGTCCATTATCACCAAATTCTAGGTCGTACTGTCCCGGTCTCAAGTTGTCAAAGCTTTCTTCGAGCTCAGCATCCTCTTCTTCAATGGAATCGGGTAGTAGAACATAGAGTTCATTTTTGGTGGGCATCAAGTACGAAGACAGAGAGGATGGGTCCTGGATGATTGCGGCATTGTTGTTGTTGTTGTTGTTACTGTTGGTATTGGTATTTGGTTGTCCCAGATAGGTCAAACTCCATGCAAATTCGAGTGGATAGTCGTCGAGTGTCATGTAGAGTGTCATGGCGCCCATGGTTTCATTGGTAACTCTGACCGTAACGACCCCACTGGGCAGTGGCGGTGCCGCTCGCGGTGTGCAATACGGCGGTGGAAAGTCCGATGCTTCGCAAATGATTTCATCAATCCAAGAAGCGACAGAGGAAACACGAGCATTGACGCCCGCGAATCGTTCGCGGGCACATCCAATGCCGTAACTGACGACTCCGGCCAGTACTCCTCGTGTGACATCGACCACGGGACCTCCCGAGTCGCCTGAAGGTTCGCAAGAAAGAAACAAAGAAGAGAGAGTATGGTTGAGATGGATCCTTTCATTCATTGATTCATGACTAGCTAAGGGTGTATGTGTGTTCATGCTTACCTTGACAAGTATCCTTCCCACCTCCCGTGACACCCCCACAGAACATGACATCGTCTAGGAACTGATCAGCTCCGTACTGTCGACGACACGTGTCATCACTAATATAGTCAATCTGTACCTGTTGCAAGGATGCACTCATGCCATGGGCATCTTCGGCCGTTTTCCCGAATCCCATGGCGACGAGTGGATCTCCCGGTTCGGGATAGTTGGGACTTCGATTGATGGGTAGGATTTGCATTCCCGTGGGTTGTCCGTGATCATCGACCAGTGCACTTTGACTGAGTTTGAGCAATGCAAAGTCATAGTCTTGCAGCGTGGGAAGATAGGAGGGATGCGCCCGTGTGTATTCAATGGTCCGCAGCGTTCCTTCTCGTATTTCTGTAGACATGAATAGAGCTCGTTTGTAAAAGGGATGTGTGCGTCGTTCGCAGTGCGCTGCTGTCAGTAGAAAGTCGTCGTGAATGAGTACAGCGGCACAACTGGCATCGGCCAACTGGGCAAAGTAGGGAAATGCGTGGGGATCTGAAACGTCGGTTCCACCTACAACTCGAGTGCCCAATGCTGCTGCTTGACTGGAGGGAAGATAAGGGAGTAGTAGCAATAGCAGGTTGATCAGGTTGATCAGATGGTAAGTGTAGAAGTTGGTCTTCTTGCCATTCGAGGAGGTGTATGGAGATGGGGTATATGGGGTATATGGATCAGGATGGGTAGCATCTTGATAAGGCAATGCACATGCCAATGACTGAGCTTGAAAGTCTTGAAAGTCTTGAGAGCGAGGGTCTTGAGGGTCTGATGAAGTTGGTCTTCTTCTCTTTCTCTTATTACTAGTGATACCAATGCAGGTATGCATAGATCTACTGGCATTGCTGAAGGACATGATAAGATAAGATAAGGTTCAGGAAGGAGAGAGGAGTGGAGATTGAAGGTCAATCTCTTAGCTCAGCTTAAGTCAAGTCTTCTACTAGCTCTCTATAAGATGGGCTCAGTAGGTTCAGGCAATGATGGAAGGCTGATCTGATAGAGTTGTCTCTAGCTAGCAGAGGTGTCTATAGTAGCTAGCTGTATATAGAGTAGTAGTGGTGTTGGAAAGCAACCTGATGAGTGCAGGTGCAGGTGCTCGCTCAAAAGTGAGGCTCTTCAGTCCAAGCCAAGTCGCCTCTTGTCTTGCCTCTTCCTGATGATGCCTTGCTCTATGCTTGACCACAACAACTCTGCTTTCTTGACCTTCCATCGAACTGTCTTGGGGTGGGAAGCTAAGCAACATACAAACTTACATGTACTACGGTCATCCTACAAAAAGCCCAGCTTGGCCACCCTATTGCTAAAACGCGGTACCAAGACTTACTTGTAACTGTAACCTGTAACCACTCAAACTGGAGAACTGGTCATTCAGTACAGAACTCACACAGTCAATGCGACCAAACAGGCACAACTCGGTCGTCCAAGACCAACATCCAGTCTACAATAAGCTTCCATGTCCATAGAACATCGCTGATTCAAAATCCATAAGTCTAATTCTGCTTTACAGGTCTGCTGTAAGTACATTTCTTCAATTTAAGAAATAAAGACATCAGCCAAGAGTACAATCCATCATACTAACTTATTACAAAGGAAGTACCCAAGCAATCATCCACATACAAGGATAACTCTAATGATTTAGAATGCATAGCTCCAATGACCGGCACTGGCACATGGCAAACAAAGACGCGATCTCTCATGCCAAGTAATGACCATTGGAAGCTGACCAAAGAGTCACGCAAACACCCTTTTCCCTTTTCCCTTTTCTAGCTAGACCTCGGCAGGGAGAAGCGGGGGGAAATGGTCAAAAGAGAAGAAGAAGAATGAATCTTTGGAATCTTTTTTTACTCTTTTCCGACCTTAGCTTTGACCTTGTGGGTGATGGTCAAGGACCGGTGATGGGTCGATAGATAGATAGCTACTAGTACATGTAGTAGGCTTCTTTGCGTCCTCAGGATCGCTCCACTGCAATTGCTCGCTCTGGGATCATGGAGGATGGAACGATGGAACTCAAGAAGATGCCGGCCGGCTAAGAACACACATACATAAAGAGTTGCCATCACGACTCTGGAGCACTGGAGTTGTCTAATGAGTATGGAACTACATGTACAAAGACCAGGTGAGAACCAGGTTTGCAAACCGGTAGCAACAGGCGAGACTTGATTGTCTGCCTTTCGCATACAGTATCGCTGGAGGACGGCATCATGGCTGCAGGTTTTTGCTTTTGACCAGCCAGAACGAGCGGATCATGGTATGGTCCTCCACTTTCTAGCTAGCGCATGCTTGCTTGAAGCTTGGCTTGGCTGTCCTCTTGAAAGAGCCAACTTTCATTCAGTTTCTTTTGGTGGCGGTCACTCGGTTTCCTGAAACGAATAATTCGAAATGCATACGGTACCAGGTACCCATTCGATTGGATGTGGGGTTGGAGTATGTGTGATACAGTGTGCGTCTATTATAACAACCTTGAATGTTCAGAGCGTCAGAAAACAGTACATTAAAGGCTTAAAGGGGGTACCGCCAGATGGAGCCCGAATCTTTTGCAAAAGATCTCGGAAGGGACGTTCGGGCTTGGAGGAACTGGCCATTTTGCCACAACAACAACGAGCAATGATCAAAGTAAGCTTTGCTTCTAGCTACATAGACAATACCAACGATCGATAGCTAACCAATAATCTACCCAAAGACAAGCACCATGAAGTTTTCTATCCTTTTGACATTGATGGCCTTCCTGAGCCAGGCGTCGGCGGAGGAGCCGACTCCTGGGGGACTTCAGTTGGATCCATCGAAACTCAACGATTTGATCGCTGACAAGACAGCGCAACCCCCGGCGAGTCAAGACAAGCCAATTGACGATACCGGTACCTTGAAAGACCAAGTACTGGACGTTCTCAACAAGGGCAAAGTAAACGAGAAAAACTCGGCAGCCACACAAGGTGATCCGCACTTTCTCATGTGGAACGGCCGCAGGTACGACTTTCACGGTGGTTGTGACTTGGTCTTTCTAGATAACCCTGATTACAACCATGGTCAGGGCCTACGGATCGTCATTCGCACAAAGATTGTCCACTGGTGGTCCTATGTCCAGACTGCAGTGGTGCAGATTGGAAATGACACGCTCGAAGTCAAAGGGGGCGTCGCACACAAGGAGTATTACGTCAATGGCAAGCCCGGTCCTCACGAAGAGCATAGCAAAGCCATGCCATTCACGATAGCTGGACACAAAGTACGATTTCGTGTCAAGAGCAAGACGCAGTTCCAGTTCAAGATCTTTCTAGAAGATGATCAGAACATTGTCATTCGATCCGTAAAGGACTTTTTGAAGGTTGACGTTCAAAATCACAAAAAGGTACGTATGTGTGAAGGTTACTGATGATGACTGATGTGGTGTGTTGACGTGATTAAAGATTGGCTGACACAATGTGCTTGTAATGTCGTTTTGATTCGATTCATCCATTGAAAGGCAACCTTTGGAACCAGCCGAGGCCTGCTTGGATCGTACGAGGACGGTCTGATGCTGGCACGGGACGGTGCCACCATTCTAGAGGATGCCAATGAGTTTGGTCAAGAGTGGCAAGTAAGGAGTGATGAGCCCATGCTCTTTCACAGTGTCGAAGGCGTGCAACACCCCCAAGCATGCACGATCCCCAATGCCGAACAAAAGGACCAACGCCGGCGCCTTATCGAAGAAGCGGTATTGATTAGCTATGATGAAGCCGCCAAGGCTTGCATGACTGAAGCAGGAACGGACTTGATTGAATGTATCAATGATGTGATGATCACCGGGGATGCTGACATGGCAGGCGCTTACTCGGATGAGTGAGGAGCTAGATTGATTTCTGTTTGTTGTTGCGCAGCACAGCCAGTGTTTGCACGTTTGTGCAAACAACAAGTGCTGCCATCCATGGTCTCAACGGAGGGCCCTGTAGAGTTAGTTGCTAGCAACTATTAGTCAGACTCGAGCCCCCTCCAATGCTGCCGCCGACCTCTGAAGCCCATTCCCATACATACGTAAAGTCCACTCTAACTACATAGTATCCCGTCGAAGTCGTGAGTGATCGTCATCCCACTTGTTTCTTCGGGTTTCGGTGCCAGACTCTACTCGTACTACAGGTTATCTTCTTGGTCTTTTGCGATTTCGCGACGCCTTCGAGACCCGTTCCGGATGAATTGTGCTGGCGTCCTGAGTAGCCACCTCGCCCCAGCCCCACGTCCCCTTGCCAAGAAGCCTCAAGACCTCGTGTCACAACGAGATACAACAAGCTTGGCTTGGCCACGTCCATTTCCTACGTCGGTGTTCGTTCCACCACCCGAGAACACGGCTTTTGTGATCACACATGGGCACAACTTGGCCTTTCGACAATCTCGGAAGCAAGGATGCAAGCCAGGCCTGGGCTGTCCGCCCTTATTTGGATAACCCATTTTTCATGTGTGAGAGGCGGTACAGCAATTATCCTGGCATTGTGATCAAGGACACGAAGCAGGCGTACGATGCGATTGAACGCCTCATCCTTGGTGGGCCCAACAATAACAGTCACGCCCTATTTATGCTACATCTATTTGGGAGATAAGCATGCTCGTGATTCTTGCAACCCAGAGGCTTCGGAACATGCGGTGTGTGAACGCTGCTACAGTGAATTCCACCATTGTCATCAAAGGAACCAATCAGGCCTGCAAGGAGATTGAGGGACGTGGCGGGCAGTTCCTACACAGCACAGACAAAATTGTCCCCCCCTAATTCGATTCGTCATACTGAACCTACTAGCTAGCTAGACTGACTAGCTTGTCCCGAACCCCCTTTTCTTTCACTACCGTACCGTACCGTACCGTAAGCCACTAAGTCTGGCCCCAGACAGCTTCAAGAGATGACCTCCCTACCGTACTCTAACCCCCCCTCCCGGTGTAACTGCTAGCTAGCTAGTAGCCGGCGGGATGGGCAATGGGGCCTGTGGTACGGTCCTGACTTGGCTACATTGACCCTGTTACGAAAATTTTCATTCAGTATAGTAAGAAGAAGACCTGCCCCGCAGCGGCAGGATAGTTAGAAGAAGAGAAGAAGAGGAGGAGGGAGGAAGAGGTTCTTAGCTACCGGTATAGATGCAATACCCTTCTAGCTTATTGGCAAAGTATTTCAGGATCTCTGGTTCCCCCCTATTGTTAGTTGCTCTAAGCTCTCTTCTAGTTTACTGTTGCTATTGAGATACTACTGAAAAAGTGGGTTCCTTTGCTTTTTCTACTGGCATCAAATTCTAGTACAGAGGTACAGGTTGAATCCCTAATCGCGATCCCCAACACACTCCTGTGTCGTCGAGCTTGTCCTAGTCTCGACCATGCTTACTTACTTACTGCGCTTAGCGCTCCTTCTTTGAACGGACCTCTTGTCCAACCGTACCCTCCTTCTGAGTGCCCTGGCTCTGAGTTTCCACAACACCCATCAACTTGTCACGTTCTGTTTGAACAGTCGACCTTGGTTCGCTTCGTCCAGAAGTCCGCAACCATATCATCAGTTGGACACCAGTCCACACTGATCTCCTTCTTTGCGACTCTGTCGGTCACAAAGAAGTACCTAATGTTGATGTGCTTCCTTCGTTTACTACTAGAAGCTTTGCCGTTCTCTCTAGAAGAATGGCACTCTGTTGTCCTGATAGACTATAGTTTCTTTAACACATAGCCTTGCTCCCGAAAGAACTGCCTCGTCCAAAGGATCGATGGCATCAGTCATCACTGCTACGAGTTCACTCTCAGTGAGCTTCTCGTGTTCAATTCTGTTTCGTCGAAGTCGATAATGGGTAACCGGTGCCCATGGTCAAACCACCTCCGTTGACCCCTCATGTTTGATGGACTCCGAAAGAACCATACAACATACCATTTCAATATGCCACTTCCGTCGGCTTTGAGAACTAATGGAGTTTTCTAGTACATCTAATTACTGCATGAGGTGGACTATTATCCCAATCCTGCCTATCTGGTTCCTTGACTCTAGTCGTAAGGAACGATATCGCCGTACCTGTGTCTGGTCGGGCTCTTTTCGTAGCGAATAACACCTAGCCACCAGGTTGCGACAATACCATGGTGCATTGACTAGTCTAAGATCTAAGAGATGTAAGTTTTGTATTTCCAAATAAGTGAGCAGTTATTGATTATTTCTAGAATAAGCCTGCTAATTGTAAAGCTGTAAAGCTGAATTGTAAGCTGTAACCCGTCGCACTCCCTTACAGCTGAATGAAGCTGGAGCAAGAAAAATAGGAGAGAGTCCCAGAAAAGTGCTGAGGTAAATTCTGTTGTTGGTAGGCAACACTGTAGCTAATGGCTAATATCAGTTAATTTGTTGATTTGGGCGAGCTGAGCAGAAAGAATGATCTTTCTAGCTGGTCGCTTTGAAGTCTGGATTCTGAGAATGCCAGTTTCCTTAAAATTCTACGGGTGCGGTCTTTTTCTTATACCGGTGTCCGCTAAATATCTTGACCGGCCAACACACTCCTGCCGTGGTCCCTAATGGATCCACGGAACGATTAAAACAAACTAAATAGGAGGATGCCCATAATAAAAGCGCGATGCGCATGGAATAGGGCACCTTGGAGGGGCTTCGTGAGAAGTCCCCGTGCATGTCCTTGTGGGACAATACACCACTCGCACATTTCCCTGCTTCACTTGGTCGTGAATAAAGAAGAAACGCAAATTCAGAGCACGAGTACGCTTACCGCGCTGCTCTTACCATTCCAGCGAGAATGATAGCACTCTTGTTGTCTTGGTAAAGGATGTTCTCCTGGACATCGACACCTTGGGCTTCCAAAACAACTTGGTCCACAACAAAGGGCTCATAACATCGTACGGCTCCAATGAGTTCGGCGTCGTACTGCTTCGGGCGTTGAGTTTCTGTTGCTAGACACAGCAATTGGGCACCGCGGCCGAAACTGAGCACTCCTCCGGTATGGGAACGGTAGTCTGGGTGTACAGCAAAACTGGCATCCACCCACCAGCGAATAATGCGAACGTCGTCAGCATGGAGGATGAGCTTGTCGTTCAAAGTCTGTTGAATAAACTTGAGGCCTTGGAGAAGTTTGCCCCAATCGTTCTGGTTCGGTTGCTTCACTCGAGTACAAAGGACGGTAGTCAGGGTTTGCATATCTGGACGTGCACGCTTACAGGCAAAGAGTAGCTTGGCTGTGTTCGTGTGGAAGGTATCCTTCGTATCAGGGTCCAGATTGTCACCGTCACCCACAGAAAACAAATCAGCTGGGGCTGCACTCGGAACAGAACGGACATGATCAAAGTTTACAGGGAACTCCTCGAGCACCTTGGTCAAGTAGTCGATCATGTCGATCTTGACTTTGCCCGGCTCAGAAAAATCAATCGTCATCCCTAGATAGTCATGCTTGGGTCCTCTGGTTGCTTTGACAGCACCGTAGGTACCATACTTCTCGTTGCACCAGGCCAGGAAGTCGTCATTCACCTTGGCCATCATATGACTGGACATGAGATCGTCGACATGGAAACTGGATAGTCTGTTGCTTGCCATTGACCATCCTGTGGCAACACAAGGATCGTAGGGGTTGAATTCGAAACCAATAGACTCCAAATCCTTGCGGAAAGCCTTGTACCATCTCTCTCCTTT